TAAAGGTTTTGAAAGCAGTGATGAAATGCACTGTGTACAGTATTGACATTCTATGTTGCTGAAATTAAAGCTGTATTCATTTTCAGAGAAGAGGCAGCAGTTGTGGTGTCATCCTTTCCACCTGTCTGAGGCTGCTAGAGCTAACTGTCTTGTCCTATACATGTGTATGATTGGGCTGCTTTTTCAGTTAGTCTGTGGGAAGTCAACAGAGAGAGGCACTCTTGTGTTTGTTGTGTTTTAAGTCATACTTTGCATCCCCCCACCCCTCCTACCAGGGATCAAACTCACGACCACGCGCTTGCAAGACAGGCACTTATGCCACTGAGCTAAATCCCCAGCCCGTAGTTCGCATTCTAATCTCCAATTTTAAACTGTATTTTCTTAGAATATAGTCTTTCGTAAATACATTCTCTTAAGATTTTCAAATAGTGCAAACACTTCTCATTACCTTTGCCAGAAAAATTCATGTGTATCCTAATAAATTTTTTTCCTTAGGAAATTTACATTTACATGTTTATATATTGAATGGTTTCTCTTATATGAGAAACCCAAAGTATAAAATAATATAAAGAGCAAAATAAAAGATAGGTGATAGGAAAAAGGGTTATAGATCTTTCTGAGATGGGAAGGGCAACTAAGAATGGAGTGGGAGGGTATAAGGGGAGAGATGGAGCCATCCTGCGCTACACAGTGAATTAAGACCAGCTTGAACTACATAGGGAAACCCTGCCCGCCCACAATACAATATATATACCAATTCCCCATGGTGAATGTATTCACTATGTATCACAAAATGTACTATACTAATGAAAAATAAATTTACATTTATAAAGGTACAGATATAAATAATAAATTTGTAGAGATGTAATACGAAGTTTTTGCATGTCTTTAGAATGACATTCTACCTGTGTATGTGCCATAGTTTATTTTTTTATTTTTTTGGTACCAAGGTTTGCACGACCTTGCACTTGCCAGGCAGGTGCTTATGCTGCTAAGCTAAATCCCTCAGCCCCATCAGTTTTTTTTTGTTTGTTTGTTTGTTTGTTTTTTTAAGCAGAGTTCTTACAGAAATTGAACAAATAAAGAAGGATCTGTTTTAAAAGACATAATCACAACTGGGAATGGATCAGTCAAAAATGTTGGCTGAAGCATAAAATAATACACACACACCTGAAGCACTGTGTAAAATATAAACGCACATTGCTCCATCACTCTGGGCATCTCGAGCTACGGACTTTGTGTGGGATCCACACCTTGGGGTTTTGTGTTCTACTCAAGTCAGAAACTCCAGTCAAGGTGACTTCATTTTTTATTTCTCAATTTTAAAGCAAGCAAAAAATCACAGGGCACAGAGCAAAAGCAACAAGACATCAGAGTCTGGTCAGGCCCAGTCTTAGTTATCTTTCCCATTCCTCATTTGGCTGTTACTGTTAAAAAGACCTTGTTTAACAGCCAACATCATACTAAATGGACAAAAACTTAAACAGCTTTCACTCTAAAATCAGAAACAAGACAAGGATATCCACTGTCTCTCTTATTCAATATAGTTCTGGAAATATTAGCTAGAGTGATTAGACAAGAGAATGAAATAAAAGGAGTAAGAATAATGTCTTGGTTACTTTTCTCTTGTTGCAGAAACAAAATACCGGGCAAAATAAAAGGAATGTAAGGTTTATTTAGCTTACAGTTTGTGAGATTTCAGTTCATACTCACCTGGCCACAAGGCAAGGTGGCATGGCTAAGGGGCAACTGTTTATGGTGGCTGCAAGGAACAAGAGTAAAAAGGTCATTTGGGGAAAACACGCCTCCTCTTCTCCCTTATATTATATGCCAGCTACCCACCCCTGCACTTACATCATCAATCCCAGAGCTAGACAATGAACCAATAACAAATACTAGATTCATCCACGTCCGTGACTACACGAATCTTGGGATGTGCATCAAATCATAACAGATAGGAAAGGCTGAAGTCAAATTATTATTTGCATATGACATGTTACTCTACATAGAGGACCCCAGAAACTCTACCAAAAGACTTCTAGATAATAACGAAATTCAGTAGCATATCTGAATATAAAGACAACACTCAAAAATCAATTGCCTTCCTGTACACAAATAACAAACTCACTGAGAGAGAAATTACGGAAGCAACACTTTTCACAACAGCATCCAAAAAAATGAAATACCTAGGAATCAATCTAACAAAGGCAGTAAAAGACCTCTACATTAAAAACCAATAGTACTGTGAACGAGGAGATTAAAGAGAATATTAGAAATGGAAACATCACTTGTTTTTGGGTAAGAAGAACTAATATAGTGAAAATGGCCATACTTCCAAAATTGTTTTACAGATGTAATGCAATCCCACTCAAAATACTAAAAATATATTTAATAGAAATACTGAAAACAATTCTAAAATTCATTTGGAACCAGAAGAGACCTAGAAAACCAAAAGAAATTCTGGGCAATCAAGGCAAGGCAGGGGTCCTCATAATCCCTGACTTGAAATTATACTTCAAAGCTACTGTGATAAAAACAGCATGGTACTGGCATAAAACAAACCTGAGGATCAGTGGAACAGATTGAAAATGTAGAAACAACTCCATACACACTCAGTTGCCTTATCTTTGACAAAGGAGCCAAGCACCTTCAGCGGAAGAAAGTCTCAACAAACAGTGCTGTAAAAACTGGCTTTCTACATGCTATAAACTAACACTAGACCCATATCTATCACCATGCACTAAACTAAAATCAGAATGGATCAAAAATCTAAATATTAAAACAGAAACACCAAGCCTGCTGGAAGATAGAATGGGTAGAACTCTTGAAGACTTTGGTGTAGGAAGACTTTATAAACAAGTCCAGACTGCAGGAGAAATATTACACAGAATCATCAACTGGAATCTCATCTTATTAAAAAGATTTTGCAGTTAGAGAAATCACCAACGTACTAAAGAGACAACTCACAGTGTGGGAAAATTCTCATATAAAGGACTGCTATCTGGAATATATAAAGAACTCAAAAAACTCAGACACCCCCCCCCCAGATTTAAAGACCAAATCCAAAATTGGGCATCTGAAATGTATAGACACTTATTAAATGAAAAAATAGAAAATAAGCATGTGAAAAAATGTTAAATATCTTTGGTAATTTGAGAAATGCAAATTAAAACAATGCTGACATCCTATCTCACTCCAGAAAGAATGGCTATTAACAAATGAATAGGGGCTGGGGATTTACCCCAGTGGCATAAGCACCTGCCTTGCAAGCAGGCAGTCCTGAGTTAGATCTTGGTACCAATTTAAAAAAACCCAAAAAACAAATGAATAACAAGTGTTGGACCTGTTGTAGGAAAACCCTTCTGCACTGTTGGTGAGAATATAAACTGGTGCAACCACTGTGGAAATCAATGTAGAGATTCCTCAAAAAGCTAGGAGTAGAGGTTCCATTTGACCCTACTATTCCTCTTCTTGGTATCTTCCTAAGAGAATTAACAGCATCATGCCACAGTGATGTATGCACACCCATATTTTTAGAGGCACAGTTTGTAATAGCTAAATCTTGAAAATAGTGCAGCCCAGATGCCTATCAATTAATGATAGGATGAACAAGATGAGGTTTTTTTCATGCAGTGGAGTACTACTCTTCCATAAAAAAGGATAAGCTTGAAGCAGTTTTCGGTAAATACATGCTCCTTGAGACTATACTCTTAAGTGGATACACATGTAAATACTGCATTGTTTTTCTGTTGCAAGAAACTTAAAGTGTAAATAAAAACCAAAATATATAATAGATATTGTGAAATAGGAAAAAAATGTTCAAGTGGGAATGGGGAACTAGGGAAAGGGGTGGGGAAAAGAAAGGAAATGATAAAAGAAGGAAAAAGCGAAAGAGGGGTTGAAGGTAGGGAGGAGGATGGGGATTAAAAAAAGAATCAAGCAGAGCGTGGTGGCTCATGCCTGTAATTCCAGCACTTGGGAGGCTGAAGCAGGAGGATTGTTGCAAGTTTAATACCAGCCTGGGATACAAAATGAGCTCAGGGCCAGCCTGAACTGCATAGTGAGACCCTGTCCCAAAAAGACAAAAAAAAAAAAAAAGAATCAAGTTATATCATGTACAGGTACAAATTTCCTATAATAAATGTAGTCATTATATACCTAAATGTACCACTGATGTAATCCAAAAGAAAAAAGACCTTGCTTATTTGTGAAAGGTCTCACTTTGTAGGTCAGCCTGGCTTTGAACTTACTAAGTGTCCCAGGCCTACTTCAAACTTGTAGTTCTGCCTCAGCCACCTGAGTGCTGAGGCATTTGGCACCACATCTAACTAAAAAGATCTATGTTTATTGAGTCTCCCATGTCCTCTGTGTTGAGCATTTATGAAGCATTTCAGCTGTGTTTTTTAGAAGAAACCATTTTAATCTTTAATTCATGCTCTTGTAATCCCCCGCAGGTTGGGCAGACAGATTTGGGGCCAGCCTGAGGACTCAGCATGAGCCTGTGACATCCTTCTCTGGCTGCTAGTACACAGTCCTTGCCAGAGGAATGGAGTACAACATTGATGTGGCGGGTTGATCATAAAGAGATCACATAGAGGTTATGTAGAGGCAGATGGAAGAGCTCACATGGAGATCACATAGGGTTAGTTTGATAGCTTCTGTTCTGAGGCCCCAAGTAGGAGGAGTACATGGAAATGGAATAGGTGGAAAGAAGAGCAGCTGTCTGCAGCTTCATAGTGGTAGATGTAAGAGGTATGATACATTTCCTGTAAACAGAAGTCTTCCACTAGTCAGGGAGTGTTAGATGTCTAGAGGCACAGTGCTGCTTGTTGCCTCTACATACCATCCTGGGTAGTTACATGGGGACAGTGTGAAAACTTGCTTAGGGCTGGCCCTCGCCTGGGGCCCTCTTGCTCCCACTTGATGTATCTCAGACACATTGGTCTTCCCTCACTTCCACTCATTCAGAGATCTCAGCATCTTTTCCAAACTGTTTTCAGGGCTACTACAGTACGATACAAAGGAAGAAACCTGCGGATCAAAGCACCCATGTGCCGAGCCCTGAAGAAGCTTTGTGATCCTGATGGTGGGTAACTAAAGGAAAGGCTGACTTGTAGCTCACTTGGCATTTTTGTCCCGTTTCATGGTGGACAGGCTGAGTTGTTGGCAGGTGTTTTTTGCCTACCCTTACTCCATCCCAGTTCTATCAGTTGACAGTCTTTCAATTTGAAAACTCATTTTCACTCACTGAGTCCAGTTTAACTCAAAAGTCATGGCTATATTCTGATAAATGAATCAGCCTTGTGGGAGTGAGTCTATTATAGCCTCTTTGTGGCTGGTCCATGGCTTTGCCTTGGCAAAGATGCAGGTGACCATATTGAGTTTCTTCTCTAATTTCCTTGTGTCTAATCACAAGACAGTCTGCCCACACTGCTTTCATTGTATTGGTTTTCAATGAAACACTTTGCTTTCTGCCTCAAGCTTAATCTGTGCTAGACTTTCATGGTCTCTCCTTTTGCAGGCCTGAGTGATGAAGAGGACCAGAAGCCAGTGCGCCTACCCTTAAAAGTCCCTGTAGAGCTACAACCACGGAACAACCATGCCTGGGCCCGCGTGCAGAGCCTTGCCCAGAACCCACGCCTCAGGTGATGCAGGCTTCTGGGGTCAGAATAGGGGGATGAGTTGGATGACACATGCACCACAGTATTTGTGTTTGGGTTACTGAGGGAAATTCTGGTAAATAGTCTCAACACAGTCCTCTTTCATCACCTGAGGACAGAGTCTGTTTTGCATTTTATTTTGTTATGGTGTTTTTTGCTGTGCTGAAAAAACGTAGCATTGTATATGCTGAAAAGCAGCGTAGCATAGCACAGCATAGCATAGCAGCAGTTCAGACTGGCCTTGAGCTTATTATATAGCTCAGAGTGGCCTTGAACTTTTGGTGACTTTCTTGCCTCAGCCTCCTGAATGCTTGAATTACAGTCATGCACCATGCCTGATGAGGACAGTATCTGGATGTGGCATTGTCATAGGTGTTGTAATCAAACCACCTGTAAGACCTTAAGATATTGTATTGGTTCTGTCCCTAAGCAGGGTTTTAGATAACAGATGGGAGCTATAAGATGATGTCTTGGTATAAAGATTGAGTGGTTATAGAGCCCCTGTGAACCCTCCACATTCCCCTTTCTCCGACTTTCCAAACATTTGTCTAATTTATGCATGAAGCATTATCGTTTCCATTTATACTTTTTTTAGGGGGGTTTGGGGAAAGGAACTGAGAATTGAAGTTAGGACCTTGTGCTTGCCAGGTCCCTGAGCGATATGGCTGGCCCTACATTTTTTTTTAATTGAGGAAAAGCTATATCCCTGGCCCTACATTTTTTTTTTAATTGAGCAAAAGCTGTATCCTGGGCCCCATATTTTTTTTTTAATTGAGGAAAACGTTCCACAGCCTAAAATGTATTATAGCCACTTGAAAATTTGAACAGTTTAGCAGTGTTTAGAGCATTCACAATATTGTGCCACCTCCACCACTATGTACTTTACACTGTGTTGTCAGCAATCACTCCCTGATGCTTGCCTCTCCCTAAGTCCTGGTAGTCTGTTTTTTGTTTTGGTAATTTGCTTCTTCTAGACTTTCCATATCAGTGGAATCACAGGCAGACATCAACTGTATCTGGTTACTCTCAACAGATACCCTGTTATTGAGTTCCTTCCACATTGTAGTATGCGTCAGTGCTTCATCCCACCTTGTTTGCATTTGATTTTCTTAGGGTTAATTGACTACCCTACCCTTGAACTCATAAGACATTAAGAGAACAGCTAGTAATAGAATCAGCATTTACATCCTGTATGAGTTCTCACGCTGGTGAATGATATATGGATCTCTCCATACTACTTTTTTTTTTTTTTTTTTTTGAGATGAGATGTCACTGTGTACTTCAGGCTAGTCTTGGACTTGCTCAAGCTGGCCTGGAATTTGGTAATCATCTTGCTTCAGCCTCCCAAATGGTGGAATTACAGGCATGTACCACCAGGCCCTGCCCTCTCCGTGTTATTTCTTGTAGCTTCATGTGAATGTATTGTGATTTTAATAGACAGGGATATTTTTTAGGAAAAGCAGCTGAGGTCCTGCTGGTGGTTCTTCCTTGCTACTCCTTCTGTGGCCCCACTTCTCTTTGCCACATGGCCTTGGGATGGACAGTCACAGGTGAAAGCAACTGCAGCCACAGGTAGTTGAGGGCTCCTACCCCTTTATAACAGCCTTCTCTGTCTTTCTGTAGGATGATTGTGGAGCTGCATAGAAAGGTCTCCAGCCTCATTGAGTTCTTGAAGCAGAAGTGGGCACTCCATGAAGTGCGAATTGTATCTTTTTCTAACTAAAGCAAACCTTCCAAACTCTGTAATTGCACCCTTTTTAGAATAGAACCTCACTTCTTGTCATTGCCATGGAGTCCTATGGGAGCTCTTTGTCCCCTGGATTTTGACCAACCTTTGACCTTGCAGTGGAGTACAAACCATAGGCAGCTCTCCGTAGTTCATGTTGTGCTGCCACATCACCCTGCCAGGAGACGGTGTAACATGACCTAGGAATAACCTAGACTCACTTGTTTTTTTGGTAGGCTTTTGGGCCAGCATTGTTTGTTAGTAGTGTAAGAAAAGCCCCTTGGTCAGGCATTGGGACAGATCTGAGCCCCATTGGATGCCAAAAATGGGTGTTGGTGCCATCAATACCACCATGTAGAACGAGTCTATAATCCATTGCCTCTGACTAGTTTGACCAAGGTATAGATGTATGGTGGAGATTGTTCCTTGACAGTACACCCAGCGGAAGACCCTTGAAGAGGGGCAGCTGCAGGGCATGAACCCTGCGCAGATGCAAGAGAAGGTTACACTTCACCTATTCCCAGGCGAGAACTGCACACTAACACCGCTGCCTGGTGTGGCTCGCGTGGTGCACTCCAAGGCCTTCTGCACAGTGCACTGGCAGGAGGGTGGCCGCTGCAAGCAGAGTGCCAAGGACAACCATTCGCTGCCCCCAGCCCAAATCCTGGGCATCCAAAGTGGGCAGGGTACAGCCCGGGGCCAGGTGAAGTGCCCAAGGGGCAGCACTGAAGGCAAGGGTGGGGGGCGGCCCCCTCCCACCACTGATACTTCACAGAGCTCTGGAGAGAGTTCCCCTGAGAGTGCCCTTGGGGAGGGGGCCACCCCTAGTCTGAGCAGCCCGGATGCTCCCGACAGGCCTCTCCTAGGGCACCAGGACTCCCTGCTGCATCTTGAGAAAACTCCTGCAGTGCCTCCTCCAGAGGGTGGGGATGGTCTTGCTGGAGATCCAGGGTCCCTGCTGTGTGCCTACAGCCAGCTCCCAGACCTGGAGGACGAACTGTCACTCCTCGACCCCTTGCCCCGCTATCTGAAGTCCTGTCAGGACCTCATCATCCCTGAGCAGTGCCGCTGTGCAGATGCTCGGCCCAGGAGTGAGCAGCCTCCACTGGGCAGGGCCACCTCCCCAGAGACTCTTGTCCTCAATGGCAGAGAAGCTGCCAACCTTGCTATCTCTGGCCCAGACCCTCAGTCTGGTCCTGGCCCTGGATTCCTGCTGGATGTTTGCACTAAAGAACCGGCAGACACATCTACAGAGGAGCCCCAGGAGAAAGGGAGCCCCTCAGAGCCTCTGTTGCCTCAGGGACAGTCTACTTCCAGGCCCCCAAAGGAAGTCCCTGCAAGCCGGTTGGCCCAGCAGCTACGTGAGGAGGGCTGGAGCCTGCAGACCTCTGAAAGCCTTACACTGGCCGAAGTCTACCTCATGATGGGCAAGCCAAGCAAGCTGCAGCTGGAATATGACTGGCTGGCTGTGTTAGGTCCTGAGGGCCAAGCCTCTGGAGGGCAGGGCCGGGCCACCCGTCCAGGCTCCCCACCTACCACCCTCCATGAGCAGCGCCTGCTGAGCTGCCTCTTGAAGCTCATCTCAACAGAAGTCAACCCCAAGCTGGTGAGTGAGCCAGACTCTGCCCCACAGGAATATCAAGAAAAGTATGACCAGGTCCAAAAGAAAAGGAGCCCCTAAGGCTAGGCATTTTGATGGTAACCCCTAAACTAGCCAAGTTGTAGGGCTGTTGAGATGAGTGAGCTATGAGTTTTTTAAGTATGGCTTTTTATGGAGAGATGTCGCCTGGTTGAAGTGCACTGGGGGAGGCAGTGGAAGATGTGGAACACTTGAGTATTCCTGGCAGGATATGTTAGCACAATATTGTGGAGAAGGGTGAGCAGCAAGCTCAGCAGAGTACTCAGAAGAATCAGCAGCCTCATTGTCAACTGGAACTGGTTAGAAATGCAGAGTCTAGGGTGGGGCTCAAAGACTATGTTAATGAGCCCCTAGGAGATCTGTGAGCTGCACATACAGAGTACTAAGGTAAGATGATTCAAAAAAGGACCTTGGTGTTGAGTGCTATGGACAGAGGAGTGAAGAGCTGAGGGTTCAGTCTTCTAATTAGTGTAGTGATGGTTTCCCCAGGGTAGTGATGGTTCCAGAACAAGAACAGAGATGGAATTGCAGGGTAAGGCATCTCTGCAGCGTCCTACAACTCAGCAAAAGTCTCTGCCAGGATCTCTGACAGTTGAGTCTTTGACCTAACAGGGTGCTCTTGGGCTCTATATTTTTCTCTGGAGTAAATCTGTTTCTCCTCCCTCTTGACAGAAGAGGCTAATACACTGGATTCTTACTGTGGTCTCTTTTTAAAATTTTTTTTAATACGGAAGATTGAACTCACGACCTCGTGCTTGCCAGGCAGGTGTTTATGCCACTGAGCTAAATCCTTGGCTGATTGTGGCTTTTTTTAAAAAACAGACTGTGGTCTGTACATTATTCAGAATCTGCTCCTTACATTTTGAGCCCTGTTCCCTTCCTGTGTGTATAGGACTGCTCACTGATATCATGCCCATGCCTATGTTCAAGCAGTAGAGATAATGTAGGGCTCTCCTGAGAAAAATACAAGTTGCTTTCATTATTGACAGACTGCTGATTTGTACTTCCTTTGTCTAGTGAGTTTTAAAAGTGGCAAATTGCTGAGTAACTTTGAGCAATGCCAAGGTCAGACATTATTGACCCCTGATGTTTAATATCAGGAAAATTAGGCCATGATGGCTTCAAAATTCTCAAGATCATTCTCACACTTCCTCCTTGGGGTGCTTGTTTCAAAGCTGGTTTTTGAGTGCTAATACACCCCTCCTCCTGCCCAGGAACTGCAGAAGGAACCAGCACTTTGTACTGAATTACATCCCCAGATCTTTTTAATTTTTTTGTTTTTTGTTTTTAATTTTGAAGCAGGGTTTCACTAAGTCATTGTTTTATCAGGCTGGATTGAACTTGTGATCCTCGTGCCTCAGCCTCCCACATTGCAAGGATTATAGGTAGACACCACTATGCCTCGTAAGTTTATGCACTTTTTTTTTTTCTTTTTGACTCATTTCTATTTAGGCTCCAGAAACAAATGCCTCAGTGAGGCCTTCCCAGGAGGAACAGTCAGCAACTCCCCCAGGGAAAGTGGTATCCATCAGCTCCCGGAGCCCTCGTTGTCCTCGAAACCAGTCTGCCCTCCGCAGCAGCAAGACCTTCCCACCTAGTTCCACATCTTGCACCCCAGGTGAGGTTTGGGACATCCTGATAGCTTTGGGGACTGTGCAAAAGTTGAAGACACACATGTTTTGGGGCTGACCCTACCATCCAGTCATCTGTGGCCCAGTGGCCTGGGTAAATCACCACCTTGGAGAGAGGGTGAGCTCAAGGGGCTCGTGACAAAGGACTTAATCTTAGGGTACAGCAGCCATTGAGAAGTAGAGGACTGTGCCTTTAGCTGGTTTGGTCACTTCTCATGGGGTCAGGAGAAACCTCCATATTGTGCTTCATGACTTATAGCCCCTAAAGAAGGCTGGTTCTTTCTAAATCCATGGCAGCTGTGTTTCTTTGCATCTAAAACGTGAGAATAAAGCAGCATTCCTACAGTTTACTACAGTCTGGGAAAGAAAGATCGAGTAACCTGCCAATCACAGTGTAGCTTACCCTACTTATATCTAGGAAATGATTTGTTTGTGTGGTGTTAGAGATTGAACTCATAACCTTGTACACGCTAGACAGGCACTCTACCCCTGAGCTTCACTCCCAGCTCCTAGGAAGTAGTTTAACTTCACAGTTCATTAATTTTGTCACTGGAGACATGAAACCCCCAGATAAGCATGCCCATTTTCCTGAGCATCAGTTTTACTGTATTTAAACCATTAATGTTTGTATAGTCAAAGAGATTATTGTGCTAGAGTGGTGATTCTTCTTGCATTCAGTGGTGGATGAAAAGTATGAATACTGTCTGTGTTGCCCATGTATCCCTAGGATCTCTACCATCTGCCACTGTGTAGCTGGCTTACTAAGTGATTAAGGGTAGGCTATCGTCTTGCTCCTGTATCTTAGGAAAAGTCATACAGCTCTTCCTTAGACTGATGCAGTGGGATAGGGATGGTCTGGGAGGTAGAAACAGACTTGAAACACTCTTGTCCTGTGCCTCTAAGGCCTCCACACACTTTAATATTAAGGATATTGTTCCAGATACTATGGGAGCCACCAGGAGCAGCATCTATGCATCTCAAGAGTCAGCCCCACCTCTATCCTCAGGGAGATCACATCCTAGGGTAGGCAAAACTCAGGTGCAGACAGGTACAAAAAATGCAATAACTTTTTAACTAACAGACGTACAGTCCTGGTGTGTTAATAGTCTCCAAGATTCTTGTCTATTCAGAGAATGTAATTGTCCTTGTGACTTCTCTCTCTTAGTGTATTGCAAATGACCTGCTCATTAAGGACTTTTATTTCCTTTAGAAGTCCTCGCTGGTGGCCTTTGAGAGAATCTAGACTACTGCCTAGTTGGGGTTGCATCCTCCTCTAGGGACTTGTTTTCTGTTTCCTCTTTCCTTTTCTCCTTGTTTTCTTCCCGCGGCTGCCTGAGACACTGGCCCTTGCAGGCAAAGGTACATTCACTGATGGGAACTAGCTGGTATCTCTTCTGGCCTTTCGTGCCTCGTGTTCTCTCTTTTTTTTGAGACAGGGATTTTTTTTTTTTTTTTTTTTTTTTTTAGTTAGGGCTTTGCTGTGTAGTTCAGGCTGGCTTGAACTCAAAGCAATTCTCCTACCTCATGTTCTACCTTTAAATTTCCTACTTCTGTGCTGTGTTTAATTTCCTTTTCCTAATGGAGGATACTTATATACAAAGGAACCTATAGTTCTAGTAGTCTGTATTGATCCTTGGAGTACTTGGCCTGCATGTTTTGCTTGTCAGTTCAGAGTACCCCACCTATCCTTGAACTCTGAAGGTGCTTTTTGCAGGAAAAAAAAGTAATTGTGAAATACTTGGTGTTTTTATGTCTGCATTCATTTTGCATAAAATTAAGAGATATAGACCAGGTTCTTCAAATGTCAGTACTTAGCCCAAGTGTATAATCATGTTGGCACATGACTGTGCTCACCTGCAGATATATGGTGACTGCCTGCCTAGCCCATATTGCTCTCTTTGCAGAGGCCTAGTGGCTTTGGTTCTACATGAGATTTCCAGGCCCTGCTCACTTTGGAAATTTTAGTGATGGAAAGAACCAATGTTTTAGAGGAATAAGATACCATAGCTGAAGAGCTGTCCAGAGAATACTTTCCTGATTTTCTTCTCAGCAGAATTCCCTTCACCATGGACATGTTGTCGGTACATACTGTTGTGTGACTCTCCTTTCTGCTTTTTCAGGTTTAAGAAACCCCCCAAGACTCTTGGTGGCTGGTCCCTCCAGCACCGGAAGCAGTGACTCAGATGGTGGCCTCTTTGCCGTCCCTACAACATTACCGCCAAACAGCCGACATGGAAAGCTCTTTTCACCCAGTAAAGAAGCCGAGCTGACTTTCCGGCAGCACTTGAACTCAATTAGTGTGAGTGCCAGGTCATATTTGTATGCCAGACCAGGCAGCCAGCACCTTGCAGTATGAGTACTTAGGGCTCACATGCTGTTTGCCTTGCAGATGCAGTCAGACTTCTTCTTGCCAAAGCCTAGGAAACTGCGAAACCGGCATTTGCGGAAGCCATTGGTGGTCCAGGTGAGGGATCCTTGCTCAAGTTCCATGTGTTGCTTGGCTGTCTTACTGGTCTTCTGGCCATGGCACACTGGCTTCTGTATCTCAGATTTTTAGAGTATAAAATAGGAATATTCCTGGCCCTTCCTTTCTTTTTTATGAATAAGAAAAAAATAGAAGTAACAGCAGTGAGCTTAAATGATACCTCTAAGAAGAAAAGACAGTCTTTGAACAGCATTGAAAATTTGTTTGGCAGAAAAGACAGGAAGTTACACACATTCAGGTCCCAATAATGTCCAGACTGTGGTCTTTTGAAGGACTGTCAGAACAAGTGTTAAGGGGCTGAGCCTGGTGGCACATGCTTGTAATCTTAGCACTTGAGAGACTGAGGCAGGATGATTGCAGAGAGTTCAGTGAAAACCCGAGCTACACAGTTGTATTGAAGCCAGCCTGAACTAGATAGTGAGACCATGTCTCCAAAAAAAAAAAACGCCAAAAAGAAAACAAACGTATTGGTGCACATTTAGTCAGTGGAAGCACTTGGCCAGAGTTTGGGTCATCAAAGGCTTGGACTCTGTGAAATGCATGTTGGGGCGGGGGCGCGCAAGACTCACACATCCTATATACAGCTACAGGAAAGATGGTGCATCTGAGGGGGAAGAGCAGTGGCATTTCAAGAGGAAGAGAAAAGGAAGTGATTGCAAGTCTCAAATAATTATGGCCTTATAAATTTATGAATATAGGCTTTAGTTGTAGCTCAATGGTGGTGCACTTGGCTAGCATTCATGAGGCCTGGCTTTGTTCTCCAGTACTGAAGAAAAAGAAAAATTTATGAATATGTATTTTTGGCAAGCATTAATGGATAGGTTTGCTTTTGTTAGACTCTCTCAAGTGTTTTTCTCTATTGAGATTAGTTTTAGTAAAAATAAGAATGAAAAATCTTAGGATGAGATGCATTTCAAATACAGGTAATTTTTGCTGAGACTAACTTAGTACATTTAACTTTAGTATATTTAATTCTTTGCCCCAGAAATGGAAAATCATTGTTGGTTGGTCATGATCTAGGTAACTTTTTTCTTTTTTTTTTTTTTTTTTTTTTTGGTATCAGGAATTGATCTCATGATCTTGTGCTTGCCAGGCAGGCACTTATGCCACTGAGCTAAATCTCCAGCCCCCACTCTTTTTTTTTTTTAGAGACGAGTGTCTTACTATGTAGTGCAGGCTGGCCTCAAACTCAAGGTGATCCTCTTCCCTCTGCCTCCCAAGTGCTGATATATGTAACTCTGGAGTCAGGAATCCAAAACTGTTTACCATGGACTGAATCCAACCTGATCATTCTTCTTTTTTTAAATATTTAAAATAGTTTCTGGATATATAGTTGGCATACTCAAAAGTGTACGCATTTAAAGTGTACAGTTTGATAGCTCGTAACATTTATGGGAGGCTGAACCATCACTACTCCCAGAATATTTTCACCTTCCAAAATAAACCATGTACCTGTGGACTGTGACTGCCTTGTTTCTAGTGTTTGACAGCCCCTAATCTATTTTCAGGTTTTGTTTTCTTTTGTTTTTCAAGACATGATCTCACTGTGCAATCCAAGCTGATCTAGAACTCACAATGATCTTTCCTTAGCCTCCCAGCTGCTAGATTTATACATATGCACCTATATAGTCAGCCTGTTTTCTGTCTCTAGATTTGCCTGTCCTGAGTATTTCCTAATATGGGGTCATATGGTATATGGTCTTTCCCTTTTAATATTTTTATAAATAACAGCCATGTTCATTTCTTTTGCATTGTCTATGACTCCTTTTCTATGGCTGGTCAGATATAACCCAAAGCCTACAATGCTTCCTGCCTGGCCTTTTATAGAAAAAGTTTACTGATCCATGCCTCAGACTTTGGAGCAAGGCAGGCAAAGAGCATACAGAGCTATTAATGGATCCTCCCCGATGGCATCTCCAACAAGATCTGTCCTCTGAGCTGTGCCAGTACCACTGCTGCAGTGCTGCGGAGAGGGGCTCAGGTCTGAATGTACTTTGAGTCCTTCATACATGAGCAGCTGTGTTCCAGACTGCTGTGTTCCATAATGTTACTGGATTGCCAGATATTTTTTTGTGAGTTTTATTGTGACTATACCAGTTTTGGTGGCTGATACAATTTTTTTTTTTTTTTTGTCTTTTTCCTTTTTACTGGTACCAGGGATCGAACTCACGACTGCCTGCAAGGCAGGTGCTTATGTCGCTGAGCTAAATCCCCAGCCCCAATACAATTTTTTTCTCAGCTGGTAGTGATCACTCAGAAGGTACACAGCACCCTGAAATCTCATTGTTCATATGTGGGAACCTTGGGAAAGGGCCTTTCTTGTCCCAAGTAGTCACCTTGTTGTCTTCATCTCACCAATAAGGAAGCCCAGGACAGGATTCTGTGTCTTTCCTTTCTATGACTGTAAACAGATGTGTATATCTAGTATTGCCTCAGCCAAATCAGGATGACATTCTGGATTTAAGGGGATCGCTTTGACATTCCTCTAGTTTTCCTTGGGAAGTCTTAATTCCCTGGGTGTCACAGAGAATCCAGTATTCTGGATTTGGGACCCATAAGACATAACAGCCTGCAACTACCCTTGACATCCTTTATGTCTTCAAATCTAAAGCAAGCTGCTTATCCACTGATACTTGCCTCCCTTTTATTTAGAATACTCCTTTTAAACCAGTTTCTGGAGAGTTTGTTTTATTTTGTTTTGGTTTTTGTTTTGGCATTAGAGTCTTCTCATTACCTTGACTATTTGCATTTTTTGTTTTGTTTTGTTTTGTTTTCACAGAGAACACTGCTCCCTAGACCATCTGAAAACCAGTCCCACAATGTGTGTTCCTTCTCCATCCTGTCTAACTCTCCCATAGCTGGTAAGGACCTGGGCTTCTCTGGGCTAGCTATTTTCCCCTCTGCTTACCTGACAGTAGCCTCATCTTGGGACAGTGGGTGTTGGCTTGTTGAGCATTGCTCCTAGAATTCCTGCTTGCAATCTACCAGCAAATACCATGTGTACCTCTGTATTTTGGCTGGATGCAGCTGAGCTAGGGCAGAGGACTCTGATAGGTGGGTTACAGGGCACTTCTAGAAATGGTCTCAGCAGGCGCTATTGGCTGAATTGTTCAGTTCAGCACATCTGTTGTCCATCTTATTGTTTGGTACCGGGAATCAAACTCATGACCTCGCATTGTCTCGGTCCTCCGTGTTCTTTATTCAGAGATAATCAAGCGTCTCATGGAATAGATATGTTCTTGGGGTATATTAATCAGGCCCCTGCACTTTGAAGTACATCTCACACAAGGAGCATGTAAGTGGGACATGTACTGTGTGATTTATCTTTTTTCACCTGTCTTCCTGATTGTAATCTGTTAGTGATTGCTTTCTCTCATGCTTTTTTTGTTGTTGTTGTTTATTTTTTTGAAATAGGATCTCACTATGCAGTTCAGAATGGCCTTGAACTCACTATGTAGCCTAGGCTATCCTCAAACTTGCATTGATCTCCTATCTCATTCTGTGGAGTGCTAGGATTACAGGTGTGTGCCACCGCACCCAGCTCTCATGCTTACTTTTCAGTTATAGAAGATAACATTATGAGGGGCTGGGGATTTAGCTCAGCGGCATAAGCGCCTGCCTTGCAAGCAGGCAGTCGTGAGTTCGATCCCTGGTACCGATAAAAAACGAAAAAGACCAAAAATAAAAAATAAAAAAATAAAAAAGAAGATAACATTATGTTGCAGTGGCAGAGTCTTAGTCCAAGGTCAGATGCACTGATTGGCTGTAAAGAGCCTGCATTTCATTGCAGGGACTTTTCACAAAGGGCCATTCTCAGGAAATGACAGTGGTTATTATAGACTTTCAGCAGCTCCTAGGAGGGACAGTGGTACCACTAAGGCAGGTCCCAGACATGCACTCCCTGTTGGGTACCTTGCCTCCCCAAGTTAGCAAATATTTGGAAAGTTGTATGGATTCTCTGATCCCAGCTCTATCTATGAAGAAAACGTTCTATAGCTCCTTTATGGGCTCTTAAGACATAGTAAGGCCAAGGTGATGTTTCTGCCTTTGTCTTTCCCTCACAGGAAGAGGCTCGTTCCGGCCCATCCAGTCTTCTCTGACCAAAGCAGCCCTGTCTCGGCCAATTGTGCCCAAGGTCCTTCCATCCCAGGCCACAAGTCACCTGGCTAGTGAGTCTATAACTTCATGGTGATAGCTGCTTTGTAGTATTTTTTTTTTCTCCAAATTATGTCTCTTTAACCTTTAAAGAGAACATCAAACCTACTGACTCTTGCATTGATGTGAGGAGTGAAGGGGAAGCTCTCATGGGTTCTCTCCACACATATCATAAGGTGTCATGGAGCAGAGGTTTGAAATGTTGCTTCTGTTGCCAGGTGCAATTGACCTAGCAGCTCAAAGTGCTGGCATTATCCCTGGAAGCCCCTTACCAGTCTTGGAGACTGAGAGTTTATCTGGCATATCTCCACTGTCCTCAGATGAGGTGACAGCTACCATCTCAGGTCAGGACTCCACCGGACCCCACCAGAATGGAGACACTGTCCCCACCGCGGGGGTGAGTGTGTTCAGAAGGGCTGTTTGATATCTCACCAGCTTCTGAAGTGGGAGCCAGGCTAAGGAGCTTGTGTTACGTTAGATCCAGCTCTGTCTATAGAGGGGTTAGGCCGTATGGGTTAGAAGAGCCACCAACTCAGGGAAACTATGGGGTTTATGAGTGCTGTGCTATCCAGAGCAAAGAGGTAAAAAGACAGCCTTCCTTTGTGACTGGAGAATCGAGGAGCCATGACACGTAAGACAGTGTTGCTCTGAACCACAATCAAATTGGCCACCAGTTCAGCCCAAATGGCTCTCTGCCTAGAGTCACGACTTCAGGCATCTGGGTAAAGAATTTCTTCATGACCCTAACAACCCCTTTGTCATGATTCTCTTAAGTGCTCAGGTTTATTAGCCTGTTTAGTAATTACCTGGGAAGGGTTGGTGAATTGACCCCATAGGGTACCAGGGAGCCTTGTGTCTGAAATTATAATACTGGCTTCTTAATGGAACTTGAATTCTCTCTTAGAAACAACAAAAAAATTTTAATTGAAAGTGATTCCACTGCTTTTTCAGCTGAGAGTATTACCTGTTTCCTGTACTTCTGGCTGGTGGGAGCGCAGGGTGATTGAATAGCTCTTTCTCTGGATCTATTAGATAAACACTTGTTGCACAGTTCTGGCACATCACATGTAGCCTGCTCACTGGTATTCTTGGTGTTTTCTTAGGATTCAAGCGACCCATTCATCAGCCTCCCCCCAAGGCCAGAGCAGGAGCCCGTGGCAGACAATTTCCAGGTAGAGTGTGCTTTTGGGCTGCAGAGTAAAATAGCTATCTCAGGACCCCTTCCAGTGCTAAATTCTTACTCTTCCTGATTGCAGACAGACCTTAGTGCTCATCAATTCAGTTCTTTCCACCTATTTTTTATACGTCCTGGTGAATGAATGAATTTAGCTGTCTTGCAGCTCCCACTTCTTTTCTTCAGACTCTGTTCTGTGTGTGGGACCAGGAGTTGAACTCATGACTTCACACTTACCAGGCAGGCCCTGTGCCACTGAACTATATCCATGGCAAAACTCGGTTCTGGGCCAGGAAAAAAGAGGTTATCAGCTGGTGGCTCCCCAGTACTTGCTCTCTGCCTTAATTTCTCTAGTTGAATCACTAGTAGCAGTGGAAGCAGTCCCAGTGCATGTTAGTCTGACCTTTTGACTCTGCATTTGCAAGCAGTTTTGGGAATAGATTCTCTGATTGCATTCTCATTGAAAAAATGAGACCCCTGTACCCATTGTAGCCACAAATTGTGAGTCCCTGAGTCAGAGCTATGAGAGTGAGATTATTGGAGGCTAATTTGGCTTCTGAGTGACCACTTGTATCTGAACAATACCTGTTTCTTGGCAGGGTTCATCTGTTCTCTCCTTGTCTGAGCTGCCTAAAACTCCTCTCCAGAATGGTCTGTGTACACCTTTATCCTCATCAGAGCGCTCCAGCACCCGGCTATCCCCACCTAATGTTTCTGCACTGCTGGACATCTCTCTGCCTGGCCCACCTGAGGATGTGCTTTCACAAGGAGAGCCTGCAACACAGATCAGCGACTCCATCATTGAGATTGCAATTAGTTCTGGCCAGTTTGGTAAGACCAGGTGGTCTTGTATACCCTTTCTGGCACCAGGTTTTAGGACATGGTGATCAGACATGCTTTGAGGGATTCTGACCAGCTGAATATTTGCCAAATGTACTAGAAATCTAGTTTGGCTCTTATTTATGAGCATTGACTATTGGACACTGACAAGATGTTGTTGCTGTCTGGCTGCCCTAGGGCTTGTACATATGGCATCTGAGGCTACTAATGGTTTTGTAGGATTGCTTTTAACCTTGAGATTAGAGCAGGATGGCCCACAGAGTGCTCTGTAGCCCAATGATCAGCAGACATACCTTCCTGGTTGATTGTGAGTGTAGCAAACAGCCTGTGTGGATTTTGTAGTGCTCGGCAAGTAACTCACCTTGGAGCTGTCAAGTTTTTTTTATCCTCTCACTCTCTGTGGTATTTGTCGCAATATAGTGTGGCTGTTGCTCACTAATGTGAGTCAGCTCATTGGTTCAGACATGTAAGTCTGCAGTGATTAGCACATGCTCTTGGTCAGTCTACCATTACATTTGAGCCTAAGTTTCTGGGCAACCAGTTGTAAACAGCATATATCTGATGGTGCTATGGTAGACACTGTGGAGATGCTCATGATGGAGGTCTGGGACAAGGCCTGGCTCCATCTGTGGAGCTCGCTATCATTGCAGTATATTTGCATCATGTCCTTCCTGTAGCACAAAGCCATCCTGGAAGCTCCATTGTCCTTTCTGTAGACCACACCAGGAAGAAGTTGGGGCCCAGCAAACCCTCGTTAGCAATACACAGCATCCCTATTACTGCCTCTTCCTTGTTGACTGGGGAAGCATCGTTTGTGTGTGTGTGTTTGGGACAGTTTCACTATGCAGTTCAGGCCTTGAGTTCACTTTGTAGCCCAGGCTGGCCTTGAACTCACAGTGATCCTCCTGCCTCAGCCTCCTGAGTGCTGGGATTATATGCCTGTGCCTCCACACCTGGCTTGGATAAGTATCTCTGACCCAGGGTTTTGGTTGGCAGGTGAAGGAGTACCTCTTTCTCCGGCAAAGCTGAATGGCAGCGACAGTTCCAAGAGCCTTCCCTCCCCATCTAGCAGTCCCCAGCCCAACTGGATTGCCTCTCCCACACATGACCCCCAGTGGTACCCCAGTGACTCCACGGATTCCTCACTTAGCAGCTTATTTGGTGAGTTTCTATAGTCACTAAGATATTGAGGTGGATATTGCAGCAACATATTCCACATTCTCAGCCACGCATGGGAGAACATAGGATGATGTGCCTGTCTTCCTCTACCTGTTTGCTCCCAGGTGTTAGTGTGAGGGAAAGGAGATGCCAAAAAAGCCCCACATGGCTATTATTGCCTACATAGAATTACTCCTATTTACACAGCTGAAGTTTTACAGAGTGGTAAATATTTAGAGATGGTTATAGGACAGACAGCCCCAGAGAAGGGCATGCTGTATACACAACGAATTGATCAACTGCAACTGTGGAGCTTGTATGTGGTGATTCAGGAGAACTGGGGGGTTCTGAGTCTGGAGTGTGGGAGGGAACCAGCCCACCATGAATGTTCCTATGGTCAAATATAGCAGTGCTGCAGACATGAGCAAAGTCACATGGAAATCATGAAAAGTTGGAAACAACCTTAGTGTTTGTCAGTGAGGAAGTGGCACAGAGAATTAAATTTTTGGGTGTGGCAGAATAGCAACCAGAAAATGTATCTCTTTGTAGCTTCTGGAAGATGATAAATAGTCAAATCATATGAGAGAAGTCAATATGATGGTATCATCTAATCCTTTCAGGCAAGCATGAGGGTAGAGGCCTGAAGGTGGCTTAGCCTGGCTACCTCCAGCCCTCTGGACCTTCACTGGACTCAGGGTATTGTCCTTGGCATTCTCTGCAGCCAGCTTCATCTCACCAGAGAAGAGCCGAAAGATGCTCCCAACTCCGGTTGGATCTAACAGTGGCACATCCTTGCTTGGCCCCAGCTTATTGGATGGAAATTCACGGGATTCTTTTGTGTCCAGGTCCTTGGCTGATGTTGCAGAGGTAAGTATACTACATGACCCTGAATTTGAAGGCCCATTCTGTCCCAGAGTACTTGGTCCATCCTAAGAACTATTTGCCAGGAGGTGACATCAGGAAACAACATGTACAAATCTGGGTCTGTGACCTCTTAAGATCTGCCAACTGTAAAGTCAACAGCAGACCTTAAGTAATAGCTGGCCCCAGTGGCATCAGAATCTGGGAAACCCTGGAGTCAGGGTGGAAAGTAGATCTCTGAAGGTAAGTGGAGCTGAGTTAGATCACATCCTGTCCTTGTTCAGCTCTGTGACCTCAGGCTGCTTTAGTTTACAGATATGTGAGGTACAGTGCCATTGTGAAAGAGGAAGGGGTAGCTGTAAAAGATTGTGTCATCACCATCCCATCCTGGCAACAGGAGACCTTAAAGCAGCATTTTTATGGTCCTGTATCACAGCCATGGCCCAGAATAGTTTAAAGCGAGTTCTGCAGAAGAACCCTATCCAGTTTCCACTGACACCTCTCCCACATTCAGGCAATATGGTAGGAGTCACATTGTGGCAGGTGCTTGATATAAAGGCACGATTTGGGAGGGCAGAGCTTTGTTCTTGTTCTCAGCTGGGTTAGCTGTTCTTGTAGTCACTCAGATGTCCCTCATATTGTTTGTGTATATCTGTGGCCAGTCTCCCCTACAGGAGCACTGCCGGCGGGTGAAGTCAAGACAGATGCTTTTAACTGTGCTTTAAGAGGTAGAGCCTTGGTTGCAATAGAGAGACTTGGAATAAAGCACGTAGCTAGAAGACGAAGGATCCTAAATCTAGAGTGTTGCTTGTATTGATTTAGGGCTGTTGTCAAGTTTCTGGAGCAACATTTCCCAAACTGGTCCCCAGGACTCCCAAGACCTTGTCAAGTATTCTGCAAGGTTCTCTAGTCAGGCACGTAAGAGAAACCTTGGGTCACCCACAGTTCAGAAAAGCTCTTTCTTATGGGCTCCATTGCTTCTCATGTCCTATTATGAATCTGGAAATGATAAACTTATGGGAAAGCTTTGGAGAGTTCTGAGCAAGCCATGATATGATTGAAAATTTCAGCTGGTATAAATATAGACACAATAACATAATGCCTTTCCCTCACACAGTACATACCATTTCTCAAACCTGTTTAGCCACAGCAAAACAGCTGTCACAGGAATATTCCACAGTGCCTTTCATTTTCCACTGAACACTGTTAGTCTTCAGCAACTCTAGAAATGAACCCTACGGAAACACCTTGTTGTTAGGAACACACTCGGTCCTATGTATGTGACAGTGAGCTATGTGGAACACTGTCCATAGCAAGTAATGTAAACATAGATTTATCTGCAGATTCAGTAAGTGTCTAGCAAAAGGTTTTCCTGGGAATTTTATAATTAAAATGCCACTGGAAGAGTTTTTAAGGGTGTTTGGAGCCGGGCATGGTGGCACTTGCCTGTAATCCTAGTACTTGGGAAGATCGTTGAGAGTTTTAGACCAGCCTGGGTTACAAAGTGAACTCAAGGCCAGTGTGAACTGTATAGCGAGACCCTGTCTCAAGAAGACAAAAATAAAAAACAACAAAAAGAGTGTTTGAAAGAGTCTTCTTTATCTACAAGAGTGATCTGAAAACACTTAATGGGTGAGAGACTTACTCCCTCGTCAGATTCTGGAGCCATAGAGAGCCCTCTTCTGACCCAATTCCATGGCAAAGTCTGCTTTTGTCTCCTTCAGGCTTTTAATGAGTTTTTACTTTCATTGTATACTGTTTGTTTTTCTGTAGAATGTTGTCCCCCAACACCAAGTTTCAGGGGAGGCTGCCAACACCCTTAATTCCAGTCATCAGACTTGTCAAGTTCCCAGTGAGCAGTTCATGAGTACTTGCAAAAACAGTGCATGTTCAAATCACAGAGGAGATTTCAAAATTTTCCACTGAAGACTCGTTTCCTCCACTAATGTTTCCACCTAGTGCAGTGGTATACCAAACTAGCTGCTAGCTTACTTAGTCTTCCTTTTTCTTTCTGTTTTGCAGGTGGTGGATTCCCAGCTGGCATGCATGATGAACGAGAACAGCATTGATTATATATCTCGGTTCAATGACCTGGCCCAAGAGTTGTCTATCACTGAGCCTGGCCGCCGAGAGGCTCTGTTTGATAGTGGTGGAAGCGGCCCTTCTGTTGGTGACCTCTCACAGTGACTGCATCTTGTAGGGAGAGTACCATGAATTTTAGAGAGAAAGCTTAGTGGACTGGCTATCCTCACCTGTGGCAGATGAAATCCTCTTCAATTTAGAGGAAGAAGGCAAGCTCAGAATCCCCAGAAGACTGCCTCTCTGACCCTGAACTTGCAACATCCAGGAGCAGCCATCCCAGAACCCCCCCCCTCCCAGCAAGCAGGGACCATAATGAACTGAGCCAGTATGACCTTTGAGAAGGGCCAGTATCAGGAACTGCCCTATCTTTGTCCTGGGACCTATCCTGAGGTCTGCTAGGCTATCTTACACTGCCTTCACTGTGGCGTTGGGTACCCCACCAGGCTTCGTTCTGAGAGAATGAGTGTAATCTGCCCTAGTTGTTACATCCTGAAAGTTGTGACCTAAGGAAGATACCAGGATATTGCTTTCTGACATTCTTTTGCTCCACTTAGCCATTCATTTATAATGGTGAAGGGGACAATGGGTATAACCTGGGCTCCCATGTGGTCCACACCCTGAGATTGCAGACACTTCAAGAGATTCCCTGATCATGGCCCAGAGAAGGACCCAAGGCAGTATAAGCAGTGCTATCTCCTCAGAATACTGCTTCTACCTTAGTGATTCCCCCACTAGAAGTTCTGTCCCGACTGATACAACAGGAAGGGGAAAGGAAATCATGTCTTATGCAGGTTGCATGGATGTTTTCTGGATCATATTAAGCTGGTTGAAAATGTATTGTTTTTAAGAACTAGGAGATATAGATAAGAACAGGATTTTGTTTTCTCTGGGTCCCTATGCGGGTTCATTCTAGGTAATTTTTATTTGTTTCTACTAGGCTTGCCCCAAAGCACTAATATGACCACAGACAAGATTGTCTTGTTTAGCCTTTTATGTGTTGCTGTTTGCCATTTGAGACAGATCTACTTCTATAGGGAAGGTTTTGTGTTCAGTGCTTTCCTTCTGTTGGTGTTGCATTGGTTGTCCTTCACACGTTTAATTAATCCCTTGCACATGCCTTTGCCTCCCAAGTCTCAATGATCTTAGGAATTAGATATTCAAGTATAGTCAGAGTTCACCAATCCATGGATTCTGATGACTCCCACCTGGAACCCAATGGTGGCCAGTTAGAAATGAAGTTGGTCCATATTCAGTCTTTCTCTAGAAGGGCCCAGTATGGTATCCTTTTTCTCTTCAACCTCAGGAGTTTCTAAGTGTGCAAATCACCAGTTGCATCTTATGTGGCAGTGTTACGGATAGATAATGTTCATGTTGCCTTCTCATTTGTTTACCATCTATTCAGCAGTCAGAATTGTTATTTCTTGCCCACCTGGACCTGATATTTCCTTTGCTTCCTTCTTCTACTATCCCTTCACTTGCATGGTTCCCCTTAAAACCAGACCTACCTCCTTGCTTTCTGTCTCCATCTGTAATGATAAAAGGAACCAGTATACAAGGAGGGGGAAAGGTGAGTGATGTAAATCTCCATCTTGTTATCTCACTGTCCCTCCTTGAGACTATAGACATCAGTTAGAGGAAATACAGCAACATTTCTAGAAAGTAGCTTCCTCCTTTGCCTCACATTCTTCCTGGTGCTTTTCTCCTCCAATTCTTCCCTCCACCCTTTTTGAAGTACTAGGGATTAAACATAGGACCTCCACATTGAGCTATTTCTCCAAGCATTTCATTCCACATTTCATTTTATAGACAGGGTCTCACTAAATTGCCCACGTTGGGCTTGAACTTGTGATCCTATCTCAGCCTCCCAGAGTGCTGGAATTACAGGTATGTACCACCACACTCTGTTCTTTCAAATCTTGAAAGTCTGTGCTTCAGCCCTCTGACACTCGGTAGTCCCTACGAAAAGAAGAAATAAGAACAGGAATATGACACCACTTTATTAGCTGTATTTAAACTAGAGTATCTTGTGTTTTGTGCCTAATGTCAGCTTCCTGAAGTTAGTACCATATTGAGCTGAAGATCGCCACAGCTCTCTGGTCTGCAGTAGGTTAGGATTCCAGGTTGAGTTTGAGCCACTGCTAACTTCCTTATAGTCTCAGTCTGGGGCCTGAAATGCTGGCGTTGTGCCCAATGGCCACATGCACTGTGCCAGGCAGTTCTGGTCCTAAGCTACTTCCCATCAGGCAACCATTATTCTATGATCTCTAAAAAGAGCATAATTCTGGAGATCAGAAACAGCTTTCACAGGCCTTTTATTTGGCAGGACCACCTACCCTGGCAAACAGTGAGCTTGGTAGCTGCCAATTACAGTTGTTGTCATTCAGTGACATGCAGATAAGAGGAACAAGTAAGCTCATCATCTCTCTTGCATTCAAGTCTGATGGATTCCAGAGATTTTTGCAGTTTCTCTAGCAGCCAAACAGGTATTGTCATTTGCTTGCTATATTGAGGGAAAAACGCTGTCTTTGTAGCAGAGAAAACAGTAGATGTCTTTTTCTCCCAGCTTAAGTGAATATTTATTTATAAAACACAGAACTGTTAAAGGATGGAATTTTCAAAAGACCGAGATGCAGAAGCTTCCCAGGTTAACAAGTTCTGCCATTCCAGCAGAGTTGTGGTGGTAATCCAGTGTGAAGAACTGATAGCCTTTGTGCATTTGAGCACATGTGGTTGATACAAGATCAATTTCTTAGAAAAATCTTTCCCTAATCTAATTTTTCTGCAACCTTTTTGCTGATTCATCTTTTTGAACGATTGAAACCTAGTGTTTCTGGTGTCAGAGAAGTTGGTGTTTAACCTTTATTGTGAATACATAGTAGTGAGCATTCCATCCTCAAGAAGTCACAGAGCCATGTTGAAGTTCATTTTTCCATATCCTGTAAGTTAGGCTGTTGGTCACAGAATAGGCATTTTTGGAGAGATTTCATCAGTTTCTCAAGCCTGGTTTTCCACACCTCCATGTCTTAGTTTTGGACCCCTGTTCATTTTCATTCTGTATGGTGGCCTCACTGCTGGAGGAGGTCCTTTTCAACTTACTAGTATCTGTAATTATACTACACAATTGAGTCCAGATTTATCCTGCAGGAGCCTGAAACGTGAGGAGGGACACAGTTATATCTCCTTTTTAGATACTAATGTCTGCCGTGCACAATCGCCTGTGTGGCAAGTGTGAGGTTGTGAGTTCGATCCCTGGTACCAAAAAGTAAAAAAAAAAAAGTATCTAGATACTGAGGCTGTGAGGCGATACAGCACTTTCTCTTCAAGGGGAAACAAAAAGAAAAAATTCAAAAAGGAATTGTACACAGTACACTTTTCTGAGCTTACAGAACTCTCCCAATCTCCCAGTAACTCCTTGGTCCTGATAGGTTAATCCAGTTCTAGAAGCACTACACCAATCCACCCCTGGACTGTCAGATGGGATTCCTGGTTGTAGCCTGCAGTGTGGGCCACAGAACCCCAGTGCTGTTTGCTTTAATAATCGTTAAGCCATATCATCTAAGGTTTCTGGCTTGTTTGAGATGTGAATTTGTTTTATAGATTATAAATATACATATACAGTGTATGTATAAAGCAGAATGCCTGTCCTGATTATTTTTTGTACCATATTGTAAATTATATTATTTATTCTTTACCAATTTTGGGAATAAAAGGTGTTTTGGTTATTTAATATAATAAAAGCTGGTAAACTGTAAATTTCCAGTGCAACTTGTAAATGTTTTTATTGTGCATAAATACATACTAATACTTGATTTAACAACTGTCTTGTGCTTCTGTTTTTTATGACAGAGTGTCCTGGTGAGCCCGGCCCAGGCAAGTGTAGCAGAGGTGCAACCCACGTGTTACGTTTGCTCCCATTTAGGGAGTTGTGGCTCGGACACCTGCTTGTTCTGGGAGCTCTAGGTGTGGGCAGGTGTGAGTTTGCCAAGGGGAAGCGCCACATTGAGTGCTAGTTTGCTTCTGAGAGGACCGCGGGGCGCTTAAGCGCCCCCTGCTGCCGCGGTCCGGAACTCATGAGGCTCCAGTTGGCCTGTGTAGGTGGAACTAAGTTCCTAACTGGGCCTCGCATTAAGCGCCCAGTGAAAGAGGGCGAGCCGTGAGCCAATACGGGCGCTCGTCGTTTGAGCGGCGTTTGCCATGGCCAATGGGCTACGATCACAACGCCAACCTGTCCCGGCCTTCTCTCGTTGGGCGCGGGTGGGGGCTGGGCCTGCATTACGATTGGCGAGGGCTGCGAAATTGGCGTGTGTCCTCTCCAACGGGCGTGGGCGGGCCGGGATACCTGCGCGGTCCCGGGCGGGAACCGTAGCAGGGTTGCTGGAGAGGCTTGGGCAGCAGTCGACATGTTCCAGGGTGTGGATGGCGAGGCTGGCCGGGCAGGTTCCAGGTTCGCGGGCGCGGGGCTGCAGCTATGTGGTGGGCAGGGGCCGGGAGACTTCCGAAACTTGCTGGACGGGTCATTATCAGGTCTCATGGTGCGCGAGCGCGCCCAGGCGACGACGGAGGCCCAACCTCCCTGGAGGCTACGTACAGGGCGGGGTCGGTGAGGCCTTCCCGCGTCTCTGGGTCCTCTGTAGCTCCCGCCCCGTTGATCTTTAAGGGTGGCCGATTTAGGGTAGGTTCTGCCCGTGTTCCTGACGCGGCCAAAGGGTCCATGTAAAGGGTACTGACTGCTGGGCCTCTGGCCCCTTCCGCTTTACGCGGGATAGGGCGAAATGGGTCGTTTCTGGTGACCAATAGCTGGACCCTGGCCTCAGCATCCTGAGTATCATCCACTTTCTACGTCCTGCGTCTGAGCTACCCGAACTGCTGCCCACAAAGTGGTGGTCGAAGTGGGTAGCCACGTGAGGGACCCTGGTGTAAGACTTTCTGAGCTGGAGTGGTCGTTCCTTTGTGGAGAATATGGGAGAAAAATTAAACGTGGATGACGGAGAGCGAAACGCAGCCGTTTTTCATTGGATGATGGAATGTTAAGGAAACCTTTGTCTGTAACCCGTGAGAAGCTGTGTTTTTACGGGAGTCCTACCTGGTCCTGCAGGATAGGTACCGAGGCCTAAATCACACTTGGTTTTGCTGTAAAAGGAATCAATCTGCCTCTGTAGGATTTACCTTTGCAGGTTTTCCGGGCCTCTGACACATCTGTTTGATGTTGGAGGGACAGTTTTGTGCTAACGAATTTTGAACTGTAAATGCATTGTTTTAGCCATCTTCTAAACTCTTTTAAAGTGTAAAACTTTATTCCAAGTCTGTTTCATAAAGTTTCTCCTCAGACCTAACCAATCCCCTAAAACTTTTCTGAAACTGGGGACATGATATTGGAGGGGAGATCGGGGCCTTCAAGTTGAGATCTGTGCATGAATGTCAGTGTAGAGTACTTGTGTGTAATGCTGGAGCCCCTGGATTAAATGGGGGAGGAGGTTGCAGGTGAGTTTTTCTGTGTTTTTTCCTCCCTAGTACCACACTGCTCTAGGGCCTCGTGGGCTTTTCCTTTTTTTTTTTTTTTTTTTTTTTTTGCACTTCCGCCTTGCGCCTTGCATTCTTTTGTATTTTGAATATCTTTAAGAACTATTACGAAAGGAAAAATTGGGATGTAGCCACATTGTGAATTTGTCCTCAAGTATCTTAAGCTGGTTTATGTTCCCCCTCCCCCTTAGAATCCTGGTGATAACTGCTACTTGGAACTTCCAGAAGGCCACACTACACCATTGTTGTGGCCCTATTTTCATTGAAAGGCCTATTGAACTCTTGGTCCCATTTATGTGCGACCCTGCTGGGGCAGCCTTGCCACTTGCTGGACTTTTGCAGGCTGTGAAACCTGTTGTGCTGGCTTCATTGCCTTTTGTGATGGAGACGGCCACTGTTGCTTCCTTAGCGGCCTGGCCTCTACATAGCATAATCTCTGCTGCTGTTCCTTTTATATACTTGTTTGCTCATAAAATTTGTAATATACAGAACAGTGTTAAATATATTTAATATATGTCCACTGTCCCCATATTAACATTTCATTTCAAGTAACTACCACATCCCTCCTGTGCCTGACCACTGACTTTGGGCCTCACTGCTTATTTTGGACCTTACCTCTTCCAAAAGTGGATCTAGAGTTCAAAAAATACTCGTGCTTCTGTCATGTTACCCTTGTGATACATTTAAACCACCAGTAGCCAGATCTGGCTTTCCCGTTAGCCCTGAAGCATGGGGCAGAGGACTTGCTCTTATCTTTTTTTTCCCTATGGGATCCGGTTCAGGGTCGCCAGGGATTGGTGCTCAGATAATGTGAGAGCCAGAGGAGACTTGGAAGAAACTAAGAGTGTAAAGCACTAAGTGTGCAGAGCTGTTCTGACTGGATCCTGTGTGTCAGGTAGATGGCCATCTTCCAAATAAATCAGTAAGATAAGGATTAGAAGTCATGCTAGCATGAATCATGAAACTAAATTCAGCTTAATTCTAAAGATTACAGATCTCTGGCTGTTTTTCTAGAGATGAATGGAGACTATGCTTGAAGACCTTTGTATCTTAAGCCTAAATATTGGTGGGGTTTTTTATTTTTTAAATTTCAAGTTGGGTGATAGCACTGTTCAATATTCTCAGCTGCTTGAAAGGCTAAAACAGGAGGATCAAATGTTTGAGCTAGCCTGGTGACTTAGTGAGACCCTGTCCCAGAATTTTTAGATAAACAATAAGGATTCAGCTCAATGGTAGTAGAGTACTTGCCCAGCATACACAAAGCCCTGGGTTCAGTCCCTTGTACCTCCAAGAAAAGGAAGAACAAAACTTAACAGAAACACTTTTCTTCCCTTCACCAGAGCCTTTTTCAGACAAAAACAGGGTAGCAGTTCAGATGCCTGCCTGTGTATCTTAAAGGAGATTCTCATTCTGTATGCCTTGACCTAAAATGAACAGCGGTGCTAGTAGGTTGTTGTTTTCCCCACTGTCCTGGAATTGAACCCAGGGCTTTATACTTGCTAGGCAAGTTTTCTGCCACTGATCTACATCCCTAGCCCTACAAATGGTTCTTTATCTGTCTAATCTGGGCATTTGGGTGTTCATATTAGACCTTAGCACCATTGACAGTCACCCAGGGTAGATGCCCAGGACTCCTTGGATTGGTACTGGTAGCCCTGTTAATGGTCTAGGCCGTAACAGAGCTTTCAGTGATAGAAACAGCCCACTGCTACACATGTACCGTAAGTTTGCCATAACTAGTTTAGGCCAACATCACACAGTAGAGGATTTCTACATTTTCCAGAAGCAACATTTTAAAAGTGGGCATAGTGGTGCATTCTTGTATTCTTAGCTACTTGGGAGGCTAAAGCAGGATGGCAAGTTTAGGTCAGCATGGAACAAAGCAAGATTCTGTCTCCAAAAATCAAGTGAAACCTAAAAGTATTAAAAACAGTAATTTTTTTTTTTTTGTCTTTTTCATTTTTATCAGTACCAGGGATCGAACTCATGACTACCTGCTTGCAAGGCAGGCGCTTATGCTGCTGAGCTAAATCCCTCGCCCCCCAGAAGGTAATTTTAGGGGCTGGGAATTTAGCTTAGTGGCATAAGTGCCTGCCTGGCAAGCATGAGGTCGTGAGTTCAATCCCCAGTAAAAAAAAAAATAATAATAATAGATAATTTTAATAGGTTTAAATCAACCTAATATGTGTAAAACTGTTTTAGAGTGTAATCACCATACAAGATATAGTTACTGACATCAGATTTGTGAAAGTAATCCCTGCCTTACAGGATTATAATAAGGTTCTAAGTGTAGCATGCTCAAAATATCAGGAATATAATAAGCACTTAACAACTGTAAGTTACAATATCGAGCACTACTAAATGTGTTTATAGTACTAAACACTTGTGCTGTAAAATTAACTTTACTGACAATGTAATTCAAATTGCCTATCTTGGGGAAACTTTACTTAAGAGAGTTTATAGGAGTAATTTCTAAACATATGAATTTTTAGAGGGTTTTTTGTTTGGCATAACTGATATAAAGAAAACTTTCAAGAGAACCTTAGTGGCAGTAAATGAAGTGGACTTTTCATGCCAGCTTTAAAATAATTGTACTGTGTGATGTGTCCAGAGATGTTGAGGAAATAACTCCTGCCTTGTGTAGCTATACCATACCCTGCATAGTGCCAAGTTTCTAGGCCAGCTTTCAGTAACTCATGTTCTGTGTGTGTAGGGCCATGAAACCCCCAGGAGGAGAATCTAGCAATCTTTTTGGAAGTCTGGAAGAAGCTGTTCCTTCAAATAGGCCTAACAGGATGGCATCTAATATTTTTGGACCAACTGAAGAACCTCAGAACATACCCAAGAGGACAAATCCCCCAGGTATGGACCTTTGTAAATTCTAGATCGATTGACCTCTACCTTTCTGTTACTTTTTCCACTGAAGGTGGCTCATGCACTGGTGGTTTGTTTTTGGTTTTCGTTTTTTTGTTGTTATGATTCTTTTGTTTTGCAGTATTGGGAATAGAGCCCACAGCTTTCAAACAGAGCTACATTTCTAGCCCTTTTAAAAATTTTTTTATTTTGAGATATGGTCTGGCTAAGTTGCTAGACTGGATTTGAACTTGTGATCTTCCTACCTTAGCCTCCCAGTACTCAGCTCAAGTGCTGTTGAATGCTTGACAGGGTTGAGTGAAGTTACTAAGGGTACCAAGATGGTGGGTGGGATTGTGGTTCCTGAACCTCTTGAGATTCCTTAAATTGCATGTAAATTGTTATGCATTCAAACATTTTTTTCTTAGAGATGGAGATTACTTTTTTTCAGTAGAATTGCAGCTCTAGACAAAATTGGTGTAGTGCACATCAATACAGTTTTTCAATACTAATTCTGTTTTCTAGTAGTTACAAAAGGAGAGAATCTTTGAAAGGCTTCTCTTAGATGATAGATTGTTCTTATGCACACAGTGACAGTTACCAAATACCTTTACCTAGTTTGTTTATGAGGAGAAAGCATGGTTGGTTCTATCCTTAAGACATTTGAGAGCCACACATGGGAATGTACCCACACCTGCTGGAACTGCTTCCTCATAACAATTTTGAGTACAGACATTTCTTGAGCAGTATAGAGGCACAGAAGCAGTAATCTGCCAGGCATGATGGCATGTGTCCATAATCACAACACTCAAAATCTGAGGCGGGAGGATCACTATAAATTCAGAGGCAGCCTAGACTACAAAGTGAGACTGTGGCTCAAAAAAATGAAACAGTAAATTCAAAGATGGGTGTTTTTTATTTGGTGGTTGGGGGTAGGGGCTAATATTGCTGTTTGCGGGGGAGTGTTTGTTATGTTTTGAAAGTTTTGCTATATAGTTCAGGCTGGCCTCACACTAACTATGTGGCCCAGGCTGCCTTTGAACTTGAAGTAATCCTCCTGCCTCAGCCTCCCAAATGCTGGGATTATAGGCATGTGCCATCACACCCAGCTGATGTTGCTTTTAAATGTAGTTTATAGAAGGGAAGCCAGTGGTTCCTACTAAGTGAATAATATTCTCACTGTGCCATTTTGCTCTGTGCCCTCCTAGGTGCTCTGTTTTGCAGTGGGAAGCTGGGGGGTCTTGACTGCCCTGACTTTCTGAGAAGTAGTTTTCGGGTTTTCCATCCTGCCAAGTACTCTCTAAAGCCTGATGCATACAACTGCTAGTTGTGTCTTATCACCTGCTGTCAAGTTAACATTCTAGTTAGCTTTCCACTTGATTAAGAAAATACACAAAGACAAAGAATATAGGTGATTTACTGTGTGACTCTGTGGAAGTGTTATTGGAGATTGCTTTTCAGTGTCTCATTTTACCTTTGTTAGAGTATGTGTTCTTTGCTGGTTGCCTTTTCTAGAACTTTTGCAAATTGTTTTCCTGCTTAGCTGACAGTGATGATTCATAATTTATTATGGCTTGTTTATATATGCCAGTGCTTCAGTTATGTATCTTCACTTGGTCTTTCTTTACCACAATGCTAGGAGGTAGTTAGTGCCAGACTTTTTATAATGGCAGAAACTAAGTGGGGATGTTCACTGGTGTGCTTGAGCCCCACGATTAGTTACTGGCAGAATTGGCTTTTGAATGTAGGTTTTCCTGCCTTCAGAGCTAATGCTGTAATTTTATTTCCTGAATACATCCATTGGGATAAATTTCTCAAAATGGAATTGTGGGGTCAGTGTGTTTTATGGATTTAAAAAACACAGTTACGGGGCTGGAAATTTAGCTCAGCGGCATAAGCGCCTGCCTTGCAAGCAGGCAGTCGTGAGTTTGATCCCTGGTACCGATAAAAACGAAAAAAAAAAAAAAACCACAGTTACTTGGAGAAAGTCTCTTAAAGAACGTCCCCACTGTGTACCCATAATGTGTGTGTTTCCCCCAGTGCGGGGTTTATCTTTTGAAATTTGACTTCTAAAAACATATATTCTGAATTTTATTTTAGTTATGAATGAATTGGTCATCTTTTCTTGCTTCAAAACTTAGTTTTTCAAGAAAAATACTCAGAAATAGACATTTGGGGTGATTGCTTCTGTATTTTGTTTTGTTTTGTTTTGTTTTGTTTTGTTTTGTGGATGGAACCAGGGGTGCTCTACCACTGAACTATATCCCCAGTCCTTTATTTTTTATTTTGAGACTAGATCTTGCTATGTTACCCAAGTTAGGCTAGAATTTGATTTTCTTGACTCAGCCTCCTGAGAAGCTGGGTATACATGGGATAAAATTGCGGGTTTATGATTTTCAGAAAATTGAGGAATATGATGACCTTGGATGAGAGGGAAGGTTTACACACAGGATTTCTAACAGCTGGCACTATATTCTGTTTGCTCTGGCTATTGCCGACTTGTGTTTACATAGTAATCTTTTTCGGTAGATATGTCCTAAGAACTTTTCTGTGTTCTATTTCACAATCAGTGTTGTTGTTGTTGTTTTTTAATTTAAGAGAAAAAAAAGAAAAGAAAAACAAAAAGCAAAAGAGACAACAATAAACCCAAAGCAATAATAGTATAGGCTTTCAAAACAAAAAAAACCCAATTTTTTAAAAAAATTCACAATGTTGCCCGGTGTGGTGGCTCATACCTATAATCCCAGCACTCTGGAGAATGAGGCAGGAGGATTGTTGCAAGTTGGAGACCAGCCTGGGCTACCAAGTGAGCTCAAGGCCAGCCTGAACTGCATAATGAGACCCTGTCTCAAAAAGACAAAAAAAAAAAAAAAAAAAAAAAAAATCACAATGTCTTTGACCAAAATTTTCAAATTGTGGGGTTTTTTTCCATTTAAATAAAAATAAAAATACTAAATAGACATTTTTAAAAATATCCTGCATTCAATTCCTGGTTTAATATATATATATATATATATGAGAGAGAGAGCACCTGTATTCCCAGCCACTAGGGAGTGTGAGGCAGAAGGATTCAAGACTAGCTTAGGCAAGTTAGGAAACTGTCTCAAAATAAACAATTTTAAAAATGGCTGGGGGTGTATCTTGGTGGTAGTACCCTTGGGTTTGATCTCCAGTACTGCAGAGACAAAAAAAAAAATTTTACTGTGTAAGCTTTTGAGGTCTACTAGGATTAACACAACAGGGAGAAGGTCCCTTTCTCCACCATGGTCCAGACATTTGCTGGCAGGCCATGATATAAGACTGAACAGCTGGTATAGCCTGACTTGGCAGTCGTTCATAAGTGTTGTCATTATAGTTTTAAAGTTGATGTGGGACACAAGAAGGTGAACTCACAATGATCCTCTTGCCTCAGCCCCTGAGTGCTGGGATTACTGGCGTGTGTGGTACCACGCCTGGCGAGATACACATTTTCTTCACAGCTTGTTAACTCACTCAGCAGCAAGAATGTTACGTGTCTGAATTGCTGACATATTTAGCTGTCACTAGAAGTTCCAGTCAGAACAATGTCAGAATGGGTAATGTTATTTTCTGTATTAGAGGTTTAACTTCAGAATTCTGAACTAAACATTTAGCTCTTATAACCTACTAAAAAACTTTATTTAATGAAGAAGACTTAACTGTGCCAGTTTAAAGAAACTTTCCAGGGAAATTGTACTGTTTTATTTCCTCTCCTTTCTAGAGACCAGTTAAAGTCTAGACCTGAAGGTTGCAGCAGGCCTCAGGTAAAGGATCTTTGTGGAGACGTTTTAGAACTAGATCATCCTAATTTGTTTACCTGGAACTTGGGACTGGTGCTAGGATAGTAAGAGAAGAGGGCTTTGCTGGGTGACTCGATGATGAATGTGACAGGGAGAGTCAGATGAATGTTCCGGTGCTCATTGTTCTGTGATTATTTCTGCAGGTGGTAAAGGAAGTGGAATCTTTGATGAATCAACTCCTGTGCAGACCCGACAACGTCTGAATCCACCTGGTGGAAAGGCCAGTGACATTTTTGGTTCCCCAGTCACTGCAGCTTCACCGTTGGCACACCCAAACAAACCCAAGGTATGGGCCCTATTCAGATGGCAGACATGAAAGGAGAAAAAAATGAGCCAAGTCCTTTCTTAAAAAGGCTCCAAGGCAGGTGGAACTCCTTATTAGACAGAGAAAATGTGGGTGACATTGGTTTTTCATTGGGTTTGGAATTTTTCATTTGTCACTGGGTTTGGAATCTCCCGAGTCACCCAGGAAAATGGTTGGACCTCATGATTACTGCACCGTTGGTGGGGAGCCATAGGTGTCCACAGTAACAGACTCTACTGTAGGCTGTTCACCGTGCTGCCTAAGGGTGTAGTGATTGAGCACCCAACATAGGAGTTTGTCCCTCATACATTTTCACTATCCTTAATTTTGGAAAAGAAAAATGATGGCTCTTCTTTTTATTTGCTTTTGTCTTTTTGAGAACAGGATCTTACTCTGTATCCCAGGCAGACTTGAACTCATAATTTTATAGTCTTGCCTGCCTGTAGGCTAGGATTATAGGAGTGTGCCACCACACCTGACTAAGACTAAGATGATGGCTTTTATATATGTGTTGCTGAAGTGAGCACAAGATGATGGCTTTTATTGGGTATTTCCCTACATGAGGTCAAGGTACTTGTATTTGTTATCTCTGTGAATCTGTGGTGTTTGGCTAAAGCATAGTTAGCATTTCTGATGCAATAAAGATACCCTTTGAATAAGACACACATAGTCTTCTCACAGTGCCAACTCAGAGGCTGCTAGAACATAGAAGTCCTAACCAATGTGACTTTGAATGTTACCTTAGAAATTATTGATGAGATCTGTGAACTTCCTGGTCTGAGATAGAGGCTTGACCAGTGCCAGTCATGGTTCCCAGCGTCCCAAGAATCTGCACAGCCATATACTGAAGGTTTATTGGTTTGAATGGTGGCAGAACTTTCCCAGAGCTTCTTTTGTCTAGAACTCATCAGTCATGAAGGTCAGGACGTTATTATTACCAAAATAATTAGTAGTCTTCTAAAGTGTTTGCTTTTCTACCTTGCTTGTAGTGAAAAGTTAGGATCTGACTGTCTTGTGAGAAAACATTCATTTGTGTATGGATTATTGCTGCAGTCTTCTTGTTTTACATGCCAGAAGATGACATATTGCAGAATTAAAATAGGAATGTGTGAGAGAGCATGGCTAGGGCTAGCTCATGCATTGGACTGTGTACAATGACATTTGTTTCCAAGCTGGAGTGGACCTTAAATGGTACCAGTTTGTGGTGCTAATTTCAGAGACCACTTGTGTAGCTCTGCCACCCATTGGCTAGCACTAAAATGCCCTAAAGGTCAGCAGTTCACTAAGGAAGGAGCCCAAATAGCTGAACAAGAAGGAGCTTTGGATTCATGCAGTCTAGTGAATGGATTGGGTGGAAGAGTATGAACTGTTGGTGTAACTGGGTACAGAACAAGAGAAATCAGATAGAACTTCCTGAGTATATTAAATATAAAGGCCTTTAGACTGAGGAGTATCACACAACCCCAGCCTCTTTGGAGAAATTTCTATTTCCAAGCTGAGGTCAAGGAACATAGAAGATGAGCCTAGTGTTATACAATACCAGAAAGCTCGGAAGCATCACAGATGCTGGGATCTCCGGAGCCAGTGTGAAAAGGAACCATGGGCTGCTGAGAAACCACTCAATCATCATTAAATATAATAATTGCAACAGATTCAATTCCAACTATTTTGAGTTCATGGGTTCAAAAAATCTAATTCGAGATTCTGGAAAATTCTAGAGTCGACTCATTGTTTTAAAATCTAGAAGAGGATAAAATGGGGTATTTAATCAGCATTTTCTGCATGCAATGTCTGTCAGAATAACAGCTGTACTCCAGGAAGGCACACTGTATGTTTCTGTGATTACAACTACTTAAGAGGCTGAGGCAGAAAAATCTCGTTTGAGACCAGAGTGGGTAATATATTGAAACCTCAGAGGAAAAAAAGTACTTCAAAGTAGGGATAATAGTTTCGATGACAAACATGATAAAATTGTGGTGATCATCAATGGCTACTAATAGCTAACAGTCCATAATAGAAATTTACCATGGACTGCATTTATTGTCAGTGCAAAATTGGACATGGTAGTACAAATTTGTAAGCTAATAAGAAGGGTGAGGCATGACAATTGCAAGTTTAAGGTCAGCCTATACAATTTAGGGAGACCTTGTCTCAAAATATAAAAGGGTTGGGGATGTAGCTCAGTGGTATAATGATTATTTAGCTTATGTAAGGTCCTAGATACAGTCCCTAATACTAAAAAAAAAAATAATCATCAAGCTGGAATCATTAAAATCAAGTATTGACACTACACTGATGCACTCAACATAATGCAATATGTAAGAAACTCGATGACAAATAATACAGGGAGGTCTTAAAGATTACTTAGAGAAAGGGGGGCTGGAGGTATAGGTCTGTGGTTTAGTGCTTACTTAGCATGTGTGAGACCCTGATATGGATTTCAAACATTGCAGGAGAAAAAAAGGAAGGGGAAGTGAAGAAAGGGCAGAAGAGATTTTGTAGTCCTTAACAAAGTCTCAATATACTTTTCTTAGAAATGTAAAAACTACTAAAAAATTTATATGGAATCTCAAGGTACACCCCTCTCCGCCGATAGCCAAAATAGTTCTGAAAAGGCAAACATTAGATGCTCATGCTTCCCAATTCCACATTTTACTGCAAAGCACAAGAATGAAAACAGCATTTTACTGACTTAAGGACAGTCGTTTTGACTAGAAGAATAGAATTTGGAACTGAAAAACCTTCAGCAAGACACATGCCTGTAACTCTAGTGCTCTGGGTTCCTGAGCCACAAGGATCAAAAGTTCATACTCAACCTGGACAACTTAGTGAGACCCTATCCCAGAATTAAAAGGAAGAAAGAAATGAACAAACTTTCATATCTGTGCTCAATTATGTTGTTATGAAAGGAGAGAAGATTAGCATTCCCCTTGACAAAGATGGAAGAGGCCCTCAGGCCTGAAAATGTGATAGTTGAGGCATTACCACCTATTTCATGGAATTTAACCATATCTATTCTCGGTTGTGTAGCTACTAGAATTCCAAGATCATATAATGAGAGAACAGTTACTTCAACAAATAGTGTTGGGAAAATTGGATATGCACATGAACAAAAAAGTTAAATCTTGGGCCAGGGATATAGTTCAGTGGCACAGCACCTGACTGGCAAGTGTGAGATTGTGAGTTCAATTCCTGGTACCAAAAATAAAACAAAATAAAGTTGAATCTTTACCATATACCATATTAAAAAGGGAACTCAAAAGGCTTCATTTAAGAACTAAAATCTAGGGCCAGGGGTTTAGCTCAGCAGGGTAAGTGCCTACTGGACAAATGCAAGATTGTGAGTTTGATCCCCAGTACCAAAAAAGAAAAAGAAAAAAGAGTTAAAAACTATAAAATTCTTAAGAGTCCTGTGTGGTGGTACATGCCTGTAATACCAGCATTTGGGAGGCTGAGGCAGGAGAATTGCCACAAGTTCAAGGGCCTAAACTACATGATGAGACCCTGTCTCAAAAAAACAAAAAATTCTTATGAGAAAACGTAGGAATATGCCAGGCACCGTGGTTCATATCTGTGATCCCAGCACTCGGGAGACTAAGGCAGGAGGATCATTGCAAGTTCAAGATGTGGGCTACAAAGTGAGCTTAAGGACAGCCTAAACTGCATAGCTAGACCCTGAAAAGAAAAGGGGGGCAGAGAATAAATCTTTATGACCTTGGATTTGGCAATGATTTCTTAAATAGGACTTCAAAAACATAAGCAATAAAACAAAATAAATAAATTGGACTTCATTAAAATTAAAACCTTGGTTATCATATCACAAGGACACTTCCAGGACCAAAAGAAACCAATAGGTGGTGGAAGTATTTGCAAGTTACATACTTGATTAGGGTTAAAAAAGACAATCCTTTTAAAAATGAGTGATGAAGTTGAATAGACGTTTTTCCAAAAAAGCTATACATACAAAAAAAAAGCTATACAAGTGGCAATAAGCACAAAACAATGCACAACTTCTGCAGTCATTGGGGAAGGGCAAATCAGAAACCACATTAAAACACCATGTTATCATGCCTACTAGGATTCATGGAAAATAATGTGTTGGTGATGTTGTAGAGAAACTCAAACCCTCATGCATTGCTGGCCTTGAACTTGGGGGATCCTCTTGCCTCAGCCTCCCAAGTGCTGAGATTACTGGCATGTGCCACCATGCCTGGCTATAGGAATGACATTTTGACATGTGCTACCAATGTGGTTGAACCTTAACTATAGTGTTTTAAAATATGACTAAGAAATTACTGTCTGTGCATGGTGGTACATACTTATAATCTTAGCACTCTGGGAACTTGAGGCAAAAACATAAGTTCAAAGCCAGCCTGGCCAATTTAGCAAGCCCCTTTCTCAAAACAAAGGGAGGAGGTAATATAAAGTTCAGTGGTAGAACATTTCATTTGCCTAGGATGGGGAAGGCCCTGGGTTCAGCCTCCAGTATTAACACAAATTTTTATTTTTAAATAATGTTAAAATTTTAAGCTGTTTATGATGAGATTTTTGTTACCCACCAGAATGAAAATAGAAAGTTTCTGAATTGGGCTGTGACATGATGGTTTGTCCCGTTACAGGACCACATTCTTTTGTGTGAAGGAGAGGACCCAAAATCAGACCTTAAAGGTGAGTAAACTCTCCCCTTCTTTATTGCTTTGTTCTGTAAGAAGAGTTGTTGGTGTGCCTCAAAGAATAGAACCGAGTATTTCTTGGCACCTCCCAAGCCCACTGACCAAAACCAGCCTGCATAGATGTACTGCTGAGAGGATTTTGTGTTTGAAGACAGGTATAGGGGAAATGAGTGTAGCTATTATAAAACCTTAGGCTTTCTGCTTTCCTTGTCTTTGCTAATCAGCTTAGATCTAGACCAAGGTATTATCTTAACAGAAACCCACCTCTACCCTAAAGGACAGAAATCCAAAACTCCTAAGGAACTCCTTGCCCAGGGGTAGAGCAGGCTGAGTGAGGACAACAGAGAAGAGTATAAAGAGAAGATAAGGCAAGCAGCCTTTGTATGGGAAGGCCCCAGCCTTTGTCTTACTCAGGAGCAAGTGGTTGGGCCTCAGTCTGTAACTCAGACTTGAATTTGTCCCGTGGTTGTCTAAGCTAAGGTTCAAATCTTTCCAGTATAGGCACTGATCTCTGCCTTTGGGTCACTGTTTTATCTAGTGACAGATACTGATAGCTGGGAATTAATTTATTCTTCCCCTTTGCTCAACAAAATCTAGATAAAATAGTCACTAGAAACGTTGCCTTGGCCTTGTTAAATCCCCAGATAACGTGTGATCTCCTTTCTGTGCCTTCAGAAAATTTTGCTTTTTACATTTCAAATAGGCGAAATGGGAACAGAGTATTAAAAATGACAGAAATAACTAATAGAAGAAATCAAAGATCTTTTTCCCCTTTTGGTATGGGGATTGCACCTACCCTCATGCTGGGCTGCATCCCCAACTCCCGCCCCTTTTTTTTTAAACTGTGAAACAGGGCTTCACTTGGTAACTTACGTTGCTCTAGCTGGGCTTGAATTTAGGCTCTTCCAGCCTTAATCTCCCAGAGTACTCCAATTACAGGTGTGCATGCCTGACTTTAAGCAATGTTTGTATTAGCCCTAATTGCTCAATTCTAGAACTGTGTCTGTACACTGAGTTGCCCTGGTGCAGGATGGAGAGCCTGACATTGTTTTCTCTTTTCCTTGTCACCTTCTGAATTTCTTGCTAGCTCTTCTGTGACCCTGCTTTCTGTTAGCACAGCTCGCCTGGCAGGAGAGTGGCTGCCTTTAACGGACATTGTGCTGACTTTATGTCCTACAGCTGCAACAAGCACCTCACCACAAGACGAGCTGGGGACAAAGGGCAGCTCGAGAGAAGTGGACCATACCAAGGAGTTGGAGCCCATGCCTACAGTCGACAACCATGAGCCCAGGCTGGGGCCACGGCCTCGCTCTCATAACAAGGTCCTGAACCCACCCGGAGGCAAATCCAGCATCTCCTTCTACTGAGAGGCTCCTTATAGCCAGACCAGAAACTCAAGATAGGGTATCAGATGTTACCATCTTCTTTAGGCCAAAAGAATGGGGTGGGAGGGTTTGTGTGTGTGTGAGGCTGGCTGCCCAGGGCTCTCCTGTGCTCCTGAGAGCTGCACTGAGGTCCATGCCTTCCTGACTGTTGGGAAACAGTTGGACTCCCTTGGGGTCTACTCATTTGTTGTTGCTGACGGAGCAGAACTCTAGGATGGGTGAGGGTAAGAAGACTGTGCAGCACAACAGGAGGCTTGTCAGATTTTCCCTGTTGTTGCATCAGTGTTCTCACTAGGCATTTTAAAAGCTTTTGAAAGAAAACCCTGACAACCTGTACGTTTCTGTGGGACAGGGGAAGTAAGCATGAGCAGAAACACTAAGAAGGTAGTGAATTCTCTGTACATCCCCTTTAGATCCCAATGCTAGTTACCTGTCACCAATATGGCTTTCACTCCAGAGATTACTGTTGAACCCCAATGTCTCCTTTTCATTTTATACCCATTATATTGTCCTGCAATCTTGGTTGCTCATCCTCAGCAGCAGTTATCTTCAGGTTCTCTGCAGAATATATTTGTGCCCTGATCCTCGGAGTTGCCATGTTCTTGCATCTAATTCCCTGGCTAGCTTTCATGCAGCTGTACACCTTTCTCTACAGGGACTTACTATGGTCCTTGACATGCCAGGTTTGCTTTTGTTCCTTTTCTTTCCTTTCATCGGCCTTAAGACTAGGCCTTTGTTCCTCATTGATGATATAGAGAGTTTCCTTGCCAAGCCACAGCTCTTCCTTACATATCAGGTCTGCTGGCCTCTGTAGGACTTAAAATCTCCGTGGTTACATCTGAGTACTGGGGCTTATTTGGACCTTTCCTGTATCTCACTTTGTTCCTGTGTTTGGTTGGAAGAAGACATACATGAGAAGTTTGGGTTCTTTGGTTGATTTCTTTAATACTTCTTTTTAAAAAGCTGTTTTTTAAGAATCGGTATCACATAAATGCCTGTGGACTGCATTTCTGACACCTTGCAGAAAAAAGTCCCCTGCTTAGGCACACCAAAGAGGAAGAGCTAGGGGCTTAGAATTTAGCTCAGCTGGGACTGGAGATTTAGCTCAGCGGCATAAAAACCTGCCTTGCAAGTGGGTGGTCTTGAGTTCAATTCTCAGTATCGATTAAAAAAAAAAAAAAGAAAGAAAAAAGAACTTAGCTCAGTGGCCTAATCACCAGCCTACCAAGTACGAGGTCCTTAGCTTGATCCCCAGTACCAAAAAAAAAAAAAGAGGAAGAGCTGCTTGAGCCACTTTTTAAAAGCTTTGCAGAACCTCCAGGCCATATTCACAAACATGGTGCTTTCCCAGGATGTTTAGTTTGACCTCAGAGTCACAACTGTCATTCACTTGTGAAAATACAGAGCTGGCAGAAATCATTGCTCCATTTGTCAAGCAGACGTAACCCTGGAAAGACTACAGCCCCAGTTCCCTGCTTTCAAATGACAGGAGAGGGTCAGATGGTATAGCTACTTCTCTGAGTGCCTACAAAGCTCACACTAGGTATTAGAAACTTCATCATTATTAAATTTTGGAAAAGTCACAGCTCTATGCAGTCACACTCACATTGGCCTGTTTTTAAGTGCCTGCAGTAACTATATGAAGCTCTACTTCTTGTTTCTGGCACATCAAGGAGTCTGTACATGGCCAACCAAAGAGTTTCTCCCTTCGCTCGCCCTGCAGACTTTAGAGCTAAGAAACAAGTTCCATGGATGTCATAAATCAAATGGGTTGTGGTTCAAAGTCACGAGAATGTCATTTGGAATTAAGGTATTAGTGTTTCCCAATTAAAAAAGTCTTAAATGATTGCTTGCATTTTAAGCACAAACTAACTTGTTTAACTTATAAAGATGTATTCTAATAGTAAAAATGTACATCATTTGTGACTGTGTTTTCTTAACAAGAAAATGATCTGTGAATTCCAAATTTGATTGCCAAGAAGAAATGTGGACATTATAGAATACTAGCCTCTGTTATCAGTCCACTGTAAGGGAGGCTTCTATTTCTACCCACTGCCAGGGATTTCTGGGTGGAAATGCAACTTAACAGCAGTGGCCTTGAGGCAGCAGAACATCCTGCCTTGTTCCTGTATCCACCCTGCCTTATCTTCCTCTAAGCTTAGGGCCTTGGCAGTGCCTTCACTGCCAGGAGCAGAGATGGCCTAGGTGAGCCCGGTGGTGTGTTGTCACTTGGATTAGAAAGATGCCCTCTGCAGCAAAGAGACATTGAGAAATTATTAATCTCTGTATGTTTATTAAGCCTTAAAACTTTTTAAGTGCATTTGTTGCCAACATTTTTCTAGAGCTGTATCAAAGCAAGAAATCCGTCCTCACATCACAACATAATTTTGATAGGAACCATTTTTTAATTTTTACAAGGTGTAAACAACGGGTGTAACAGTTTAATTAAATCTAGTAACTGTGAACTCTGTTTGCCTGTTTTGTGTGTGTGCATGGTTTTCTTAGTGCTTGATTCTACAAATAATGCTTGAACTCTGCAACTTCCCTTACAGCTTTTCATTGGTGAAGGACCCACCATCCTGATCTGCCTTCCCTTTGTTAGAATACAAATCAGTTTTTTCAAAGCTTTTGGCAGACTGAGGGGGGTATGCCAAAAATTACTAATAATTTTCTCACACCTCTTTTCCTAAAGAACTTTAGATATGTAACCACTTAGTTCAATTATTTAACTACAGGATAACTAAAAAGTGTATATTAATTTTTGGTAACAGCAAATACAAGAACAATTTTATCAAATGTATTCACTACAAGAATTGATTGGTTAAATGACAAGGGAAAGCGCAGTTTGGATGTCTTTTTTTTGTGTATGTACTGGCTGTTTTCATGTGTCCCACAATTAGATGTAATACTTGTAAGCACTGTGTGGGTTCAGGCAGATGAAACTCTTCAGTTGCCTGCCTGAAGAGCCTCCCTATAGGCGGTTCCACATTGCCCTGCCTATTGAATTGGTGCTTCAGTGAAAACCAAGATTTCACCAAGGAAGCTGACTTGGATTACCTGAAACACCATCTTCTTTGTTCATTGACATATGATTAAAAATGTAGAGTAAGTTCCAAGACCTGGGTTAGGCACTGAAGGTATTATATTACCTATTAATAGCAGCTGCTCAAGCCCTGTGCAAACACTTGAAGTCTTAGAGGTGTTGGGCCCCTTTTGGCTCCACCTGTGTTAAGAGCAAGGTAGTTGCCCATGAACTTGAAATCTGGGGCCCCATGAAAACATGCACTGGCCCTTTTAATGTGGCATTATTTGTTTTATTGTCTTTGTGATACACCTTAGTAAGACATGGCAAGCACACACAAATCTGCAGGTGTTGTCCGGTTCATTTATGGGCTTTTATTGCCTTAATCCTTGGCATTTTTGGAGAATATTAGTGAAATTTACCTGTTTTACATGTGACCATAAAGTGCTATCTGAAATTCAACTCGGGAAGAAATGAGAGACACTTAGGCATTAGGGCAGATGCTTTGAAAAAGTAGTACAAACCTGAAAGAGCTTAGCCTAACTTTGAGAAGCAAAATAGTTGTGCCATTCAATAAGCACCAATAATTCTCCAGCATTGTCATGTTTATAATTTTTAAAAAGATACCTGAGTCTGTCAACCACTCCTGTAGTAAGCTGCCCTGTTGTGTGCTACTGAGGAGTTTTCAAGGGTTAGATTTCTAAAAAAGGCCTAAAGCAGAAACCAAACATCTTCAAATATACAAGATTACTCTTGTTTTTTTTACTCTTAATTTTTTCACTAGGAAGGATTATATTCTTGCATCTGCCCTGTTTCATAATTTTGACAATGTAAAACTTAATAGCTGAGGTAACATTAATTTCAAGTACTACTTTGTGTGGATGGTCCATATTCCACACCTTAAGCCACTTTCCCAATAGTCTCAAAAGTGGAGTTGGAAGATTAAATGGCTTAGAGTCAAAACTCAGGCAACCTAAAACTGACATTTAAGTCCAGTGACCTTAGTGGTATGAGTGAACATCTTTACACAGCTAATTATGTTTCAGGGGAAAAGCTACAGGAGACTTCATTGGTTTGAGACAAGATAAGGACCTGAATCAACTTGGAAGCATTTAAAATGGGGACAAGCAGGGGAAAAAACCAACTGTTAGCATCAATCAGTCAGGATGTGATGGTAATTCACAATGTCTGCAAGGCCCCCAAAGTTAATGGTGTCCCTGACGAATGTCCCTTGAACATTTGGGCCCCAAATTACATAAGTTTCAATTGGGGAAGCCTATTGCAGAGTTAGCGCTTGAGCAAAGCAGGCCTGTCAATACAGCTGTTTGGGGGTCATGTAAGCCACTGATCACTTAGGAAACAGGCAAAATGGGCCAAGTGTGGGGGGCAAATGCCCATGAACATCGAAGTTTAATTCTGTGGGCAGTTTGAATAAATTACACTGGCCTAAAAATAGCGCATGGGGTAAAGGCGGCAAAGTGCGGTGCAGAAGCGCGCGGGGTTCCACGCTGATTAGGCGTCCACGTGATCCCAGTGGTCTGTCTATCCACCTAGAGAACTACCTCAGAGTGACCGCCAGGCCTGGAAGAACGCGGCCGGAAGCGTAACTGCCCTGCTTCCTGTGACATCACCGCACAGGGCGGGGCGCGATGCGGCTCAGTCCCCTTTGCCTGGCGGGCGCAACTTCCGGCGAGCGAGTGACGGGTGCGGCCAGGCCAGCAGCTGCTGCGGCGGCAAGCTGCGGCCTGAGGTGACGCCGGCAGGCCTGAGGCGACAGCAGCCTGCGAACCCGGGCAACCGGAGCGAGCCGCGCTGGCGGCCGCAGTGGCCGCCGCGATGATGGAGATCCAGATGGACGAGAACGGCGGTGTGGTGGTGTATCAGGATGACTATTGCTCGGGCTCAGTGATGTCGGAGCGCGTGTCGGGCCTGGCGGGCTCTATCTACCGCGAGTTCGAGCGCCTCATCCACTGCTACGATGAGGAGGTGGTCAAGGAACTCATGCCCCTGGTGGTGAATGTGCTGGAGAACCTGGACTCAGTGCTGAGTGAGAACCAGGAGCACGAGGTGGAGCTGGAGCTGCTGCGCGAGGACAACGAGCAGCTGCTCACGCAGTACGAGCGAGAGAAGGCGCTGCGCAAGCAGGCGGAGGAGGTGTGCAGGCCTGGGTGGGGGAACAAACCGGGGCTGCCCCTCCCCATACGCTTGGGACCCTTGGTCTTGCGCCCGCCCTCTTGAAGTTTGATATTTTGTAGGTCAGACAAGCGAGTTGCCCTAGATGATCTCCAAGCCCAGAAATTCTGTTTTTGTCAGTGAGCGATTCTCTTCTTTACAATAGGAAAAATGACTGAAGTTGTCTTGAACACAGCCTTAGTGTCTTTGGTATTGAAATTAAAAACTGTTTTTGGTATTTCGTTCTTTCTTAAACTACCGTAGTCGGTGCCCTCGTTTGGTTAAAAGTGTGTTTATCTTGGATCATTCCTGCTTACTGTGATTTGCGTTTGGCTTTTGTATCTGTGAAGAGGTGGGTCTGTTGAGTTATCTGAGAACTGGGGGAGGCGAATTAGGAAGTTAGGGCAGAAACCCTGACAGAATCCGTGCAGTGTTAGATGGTAAGCCCTGGGCATCACTGCTGCAGATTCGGTGGGTTTAGACCCTGCCACACAGGCTCTACACTCTCAATCTAAAAGGCCACAAGAGCTCCCAGGATTTGAGGCTTCAGGGTGACTAGAGGCATTTCAGTGGGGAGGCAGCTGGATCAGAGAGAAAAGGAAAGGTTGGACCAAGAGCATATACTCTAAAAGCACTAGGCCAGCATGCAGAGCTGACCCTCCTGCCTGACTTGGGCACTTCCCTACTAGTCACGTTGCCGCAGGGAGTTAGAACACTAACTCCCATAAGTCAAGTACTGGGGTTTCTATTGGCCAGTCATGTGACTGTTGCTCTTGTGCTGGGTAACACCCTCTGCTGCTCTGACTGCTTGCTCTCTGAGGCCTCTTGGGACATTTTAATGCCCATTAGAGGTTCCAGGTGGATTTTTCTTTTACATGTACCCATGTAGTCATAATAGTAGATGAGGAGGAACTGAAAGGAGAAAATCAAGATGGACAGCTTTACCGCTGAGTTGTAACCTTGTAGTTCTACCTCCATTAAGCATCTTGCTCTGTACAGTGCTAGTAGAGCCTCTGCCCTCCCGCTTACTTAAGGCAGGACTAAGAATGGTGCTGGTGTATCGTGATTTGCAGAAAATTGTAGATGGGTATGGTGGCACATGCCTAGAATTCTAGCACTTAGGAGCCTGAGGCAGGAGGATTGCTGTGAGTTTGAGGCCAGCCTAGGCTGCATAGTGAGTTCAAGGGCAACCTAAACTACATAGTGAGACCCTGTCTCAAAAGAACAAAAATAAAATAAGATTGTAGCAGTGTCAAGACCTACCATTGTGCAGAGAGCTTTGTGAGCAGGGTAAGAAATATACTGAGCTGACTAGGAGAAGCTGAGGCTAAATGCTAATAGCATACCCTTGGAAAGACTTAGGTGATGTTACAACTGAAGAAAAGGGCTAAATACTGTAAATAATGGCCATTCTGACTCCATTATGGAATCAGGTAAACATTTCACTTTGTTTTGTGGAAGCACTGAGGACTAGCTGCTGTTTCTAGGTAAAGACTCATCATCACAGATGTGTGTGATGCTCATGGACATCACAGGCTGCAGGCATTTGGTGGTGCAGAGCCCTGGGTTGAGCTGTCAGTATGGCCCAGCCATTCTGCTTGATTAGGCTTAGTCAGAAATGGGTAACTTGAGCCGCCTGCAGCCTTCTGAGCTGGCAGAATCTGCAAAGCTATTGTCTTTTCTTTCTTTCTTTCTTTCTTTTTTTTTTTTTTTTTTTTTTTTTTTTTTTTTTTTGCCTTGAGCAGAGCAAAAATCTCTATCTTCTCTTTATCCTCTGCCCAGTAGTAACCACAATGAAAGAGATTCCTGAGGTTCAAAACTGGGTGTCTAGTTCTTTTGAACTGGAGTCTACAGACCATCTTGAACACTAGCCCTGTCTTCGGGAGCTGCATCCAGCTTTTTTCAGCTCTAGATCATGGTGACCATGTTTGTGAAGTAAATGAGTTGTCATATGAGGCAGATCAGTTTTCTCTCAAGTGCCAAGAGTCATAGTTTTGGCAGTTGGTTGCCTGGAAAATTGGGCTGCTAGGGCAGAATCCCTGGTAGAATCAGGGTAAACTAGGATGACAAGCCCTGGGCATCACTGCCTGCAGGTTCAGTTGTTTCAGATTGAGCACATTTTGATATAAAGTACTTTAAAACCCTCTGTTCTTTCCCATTGGAAGAGAAGAGGATTGGAAAGGGGCAGTTGGCTGGCTGAGCTGGGAACTTGTGTGGTCTCCAGAGAGGCCAGTTAGAATGATTACATGTGTTGTGCTTGTTTAGGCAGCAGAGTCCTTTGCCTTGTAATAATCAGCATGTAGCTTAAAAGAACAAAAAAAAAAAAAAATGTTTGAGAGATGACAAATAGCAGTGGTTATTATTTGCCTTAAAATCTCCTAAATCCCAAAGATGCCCCTAGTAGCCTCCGTCAGCTTATCTCAAGCAACATAGATAGGCACTCTGTCCCCAGGAATGTTCATGTGGATATTTGCTGATGATTCAGCATTTGATGATACTTAAGGAAAGTATCCAAATGCAGGAGAGTTTGATTCAAGACTTATTTTTTTCCAGATTGGACAAAAGTAATTGTAGAAGAATATTTGAACAGGATTAAACTGGAAACAAAAAGAAAAAATGCCCAAATACTGTAATCCTACTCTGTAGAAATACTCTTTTATAAATGAATTAATCACTGGATCAGAAGTTTTTGCTCTTGTTTCCTATATTACAAATAGTAAGTTCACCACTGCATAAAGCCTGAATTTTCTTCTCCTGCCTTGTAACACGAAGAGCAGGAATATTAGGGAAAAAACCCAGGACCCTGTCCATGCTAGCCAAGCGTTCTTCAACCGACCTACACCCTCAGCCCCTAATGAGCAGTTTTTAAACATTAATTTTTCTAGATGAAGCTATTAACATGTGGTGGCAAGAGGTGTCTTTCCTCATTGCCTCCAAAAGTTGTTTCACTGTAGCAATACCAGTCACTCCAGTATTTTTCTCCCAGTGCTGGGAATTGAGCACAGGGCCTTGTACATACAATGAGCTATATCCCTAGCCTCAAACAGTCACTCTTAAAAATGGAAGCCAATAAGTTTAGACATCATGAGCAAAAGGAGGTGCTTTCCAGCCAGAAAGAATATGGGAGAGGCCTCTGGTCTGGGACTGAGTACTTACTGTGAAATATTGGTGTGACTGGAACCCTCCTGGGCCAGTGTGGTAGCAGATAGATACTGAAGCCAAAAACTGATGAAAGCAGTTTCTCTACAATCAGGATTTCTAAATTAAGTATCTTTTTTTTAATTTAAATTTTTAAAACTATTGAGTTTTTGTGTGTGGGATGGTGTTTGCAGTGCTGCAGGTAAAACCCGGTTTTCTTTGCACATATTAATCACATACTTTTGACCACGAGCTGTCCCCCCAATTTTAAAATAATGTACAGAAAAGTTGCATAAATAGTACTCTTTACTTGGATTCCTAAATATGAGTCTTTCTGTGTTGCTTTTCTTACTCTGGTAAGGCCTCGGATCCTGTGTGTCCCTATAGTCTCCAGTACTATGGTTCGCATTCTCTGCTTTTCTTAACCTTAAAGTGTGACAACTGAGGTTAGTCATTCTGCAGGATATACCCTAATGTGGCATTTGTGAAACCTGGTGATAAGATTTCTCTTCCACAGAAGACCCATAGCTGCTCACTGAGCCTGTGACATCCTGACTGTGTATAAAACATAGGATGTTGCTGGGGATTTAGCTCAGCGGCATAAGCGCCTGCCTTGCAAGCAGGCAGTCATGAGTTCGATCCCTGGTACCGATAAAAAGGAAAAAAAAAAAAAAAAACATAGGCTGTCTCCTTTTCATCAAGTTCACATGTCCTCTTAGGAATACAAAGGGATCTGGTCTTTAATTCCTCTCCCATGTGCTCCTTCAGGGGCTTTACCCTGCCAGTGCCTGTGTTCAGACTCCCTAGCCCAACTGTACACTGAAGAGTGTAAATGGCCCTCATTATTTTCCTGCTGCTCCTCCTCATATAGCTTCCCCAAGTTAAGTTACAAGGGGATCGTACTTCTGGTTAGTCCAGCCCCAGGCTATTCTCTTGTTCCTTGCTGCCCACATGGAGAAGCTATCCATGTTCCCACCTCCATGCACATCTCACTGCATTAACGCTTGACTTCCTAAAAGTTACGGATGATCTCTTTAGAGAAGTTCTTGTGTCCAGCAAAGTCTGTGGTGATGGACATTCCCTATTTTGCATTGTTAAATTTAGTTGTCACTGCCCACTGGGAACCTTTAAGTATGTACAGCTGTGATTCATAGAACTGAAAAACTGGTTTTTCAATTGTTTAGATTTTTTCCCCCCTCAGTAATAGGGACAGATCAAGACTTTATGCACATAAAGCAAACATTCTACCCCTGAGCCACACGGCCAACACTGGTTTTCCTTTTAATTAATTCATGTTGAAATAGCTGCATGAAGGGGCTGGGGATTTAGCTCAGCGGCATAAGCACCTGCCTTGCAAGCAGGTAGTTGCGAGTTCGATCCCTGGTACCAATAAAAACGAAAAAAAAAAAAGAAATAGCTGCATGAAGCTAGGGAGACAGTTCTAGACAGTGTACCTGTGGACTTCATATGAGACAGTAATGAACTTCTAAGTTAGTGTTAGGCAAGAAAGGAAATGCTTAAATGATGGGTTTGGAGTATTTTCACTGAGTATGTTCCAACAAGAGTGAAGAAGCAGTAGGTTTCTGAAACAAGAAACCAAGCAGAAGAAAATAGTATGAGATAGGAAAGGAGGTGCTAGCTGTCTAGGAAACAACAGGAAGGTGATGAAATTCTCACAGGGCTGAGAAGAGGTCAGCTGGGAAATCCTTGGCACCAAGAAATAACCTGTACGGATGGGCAAGAATTGACTTTCAGCCTGGGCTGTGTTTTGTCTTATTCTTTCCTTTTGGAAATTTTATAGAGGTGTCATTGACATATACTATACTACGTTACATAGGTTTAGTGTACAGTTTGATGTAAAATTACAAACCTACCAGGGCAGGCATACCCTGGAACTTCTGACTTATGTTGTCTTCTTGATTTTACTTTGACACAAAAAATCAATTGATTGCTTTGCTTCAAGAATGGTCTCATTCCATGTTATACTAAGAAAAACGTACTCAGCTTCAAGATTTTGGAAGAGTCTATGCTGTCTGGTTATTTTAATATGTATTGTGAAATTTATCAAACAGCCAATTTTAAAAACAAAAACTGAATTTAATTTTTTTTTTTTTTTTTTTTTTGCCTTTTTGAGACAGAGTATCACTATGCAGTTCAGGTATGCACCCACCACCCCCAGGTAAAAGACAGGTGGTGTGATGAAACATAGATGAAATAGTTCTAGTGAATGACACTGTTCTTTGTATGGAACTTTAGTAGTGCAACTCAAAGAGGACAGTGGCTTTTTTTTTTTTTTTCTTTTTTCTTTTTTGAGAGAGGGTCTTGCTATGCAGTTCAGGCTGGCCTTGAGCTCACTTTGTAGCCCAGGCTGGTCTCGAACTCACAACAATCCTCGCACCTCAGCCTCCCGAGTGCTGGGATTATAGGCGTGAACCACCACGCCCGGCTCAGACAGTGGCTTAAAGAAGGAAAAATTACTCACCTGAGCTCCAGATACCCATCATGTACTCCCCTCTTGCTCAGGACAAGTTTTCTCTTCATCATAAACTTCACTGGGGAAAAGTTCTGGGCTTCTACCCCATCCCAAGGATTAGGGCCTGGTGCTGTTCAACAGGCAGATACATGGTCCCCATGTGAGTTTTCAGGGTGATTCCCACATCCATCTGGAATAATCAAAGTGGTGTTGAAAAGGAAGATTTAAGAGGGAATGCATCTGTCAGGTACTGAAGGATATTGTAAGTAACTATAGTGCCCGCTATAAAACCTTTCTTTGAATACTGGGGATATAGCTCAGTGTAAAGTACTTGTCTGGTATGTGTAAGGTCTTGGGCTTTTAAGCTCCAGCACTCCCCCTCAAAAAAATAAAAACATAAATGAAACAATTATTGGAAAAGAATACAATAAATGATAAAGTATTAATATATTTAAATAAACTTTTTAAGAAAAACTTGTCTTAGGTATATGGTGCACTCCTACAATCCTAGCACACCAGCAGGTTGAGACAGAAAGATCTCAAATTTAGTGTCAAGGCCTTGAGATCAATCCCCAGTACCACAATCAAAATCCCAAAAACTTATGTTGGTCTAGTTCAGAAGAACACTGAAATGTATAATAAAATTTAGCACATGAAAAGGACAATATTCTAGAGCTGTGAAGTTCATTTTGGGGGGTTTGGTGTTTGTTCATCTTTTAGAGATAAAGTTTCACTGTGCACTTTAGGTTGGCCTTGAACTTGCAGCAATTCTCTTGCCTCAGCCTCCCAAGTGCTGGGATTACAGTCATGTGCCACCATGTCCGGCCTGTTTTGTTTTTGGGTTTTGGGTTTTGGTGCTGAGAAATTAAACCCAGAGCTGTATGCATACTAGACAAACACTCTACTACCAAGCTGTTCTCCCAGTCTGAAAGAATCAGTTATTAAGTAAATGGAACTGAGACTGCTTCACATACAAGGCCCACCTTGGGAAAAACACTTGACATGTGTAAGACAAGTTCTTAATTAGTCCTTATAAATCAATAAGAAATATATGAATAGAAAGAATGGCTACCAAAGAGGTAGTATTTATGATCAGTAAGTTTATGAAAAAGTGTTTAGTGTCACTACGAATGAAGGAACTGTAATTGTAAACAGTTATCCATGTCATCTTCCACCTGTCAGACTGGCAGATACATTGTTCAGCTGTACAGAAATAGAAAATATTCTGGGAAAGGCACTGACACACCTAATTGAGGGAGCCCAGGTTGGGACCCTAAAGAACCTTGGTAGCACATGGCAACAGCTAGAGGTAGCAGAAGCTAGCAGGCAGATGAACAAAGGTACATAAGGCTCTGCTGTAATAATGGCATTTTAGAGCAACCTGAAAGCGCTAACAGATGACATATATCCAGAGGGAGACACACACCTGTGAGAAATGGAAGTGGTAGGGCATGTCACAGATGTAGAAAGGTGTCCCAAGATGAATGAATAAACAGGATGATAAAACCTGCCTGCCCACGACATGCTCATACACACACATCCTACACACAATCACATCCACATTCACATACATACACTAACACATATAAATTTGGCAGAGTGTCAGTGTCACACCTTTAACTGACTCTAGATAGTAAGATCATGGTTGTTAAATAACCCTCTTTTTAAAAATTTTTTTAAATAAAGGACTTAAAATATATTTGGACTAGGGTTGTAGAGCAAGGCCTTGGATCCAATCCCTAGTGCAACAAAATAAAACACTTGGCAATTAGTAGCATTCATTTTTTTCTTCACAAAGTAATCATGTCCACAGTTAATTCACAGCCACTTATTTCCAGTTTTGTAAAGCTACACTAAAATTGTATTTTGAGCCTGGTGTGCTGGCATGTGCCTGTATCCAGCACTTGGGAGGCTGAGACAAGAGAATTGCAAGTTTGAAACCAGCCTGGGCTACATACTAAAATGCTTTAAAAAAAAAGAAGAAGAAGAAGATAAGGACAATGACAAAGAATCTGGATTTTCCTGTCTGTGGAATGTTTATTTTATTTTGGTTTTCCTCATTTTACTTGAGCTACATGCAGTGTCCTTGATCTTGATCTTGTATCTTTCTCCCTGCTTTGGCCTCTTTCCAGTCTGCCCTCCACTGGGTTTTCCACTCAGATTCATGGCACAGAATGAGTCATTCTTCAGCAGGAGCCCATAATTTCAGCACAAAAACCTTATAGAAGCTGCTGTTGCAGGAGGGGCCTTTGGCATCTACTGCCACTGAAAGGCAGGGAAAGAGGGTGTATTTATTACAGGAAACACAGCCCTGGCCTGCAAGAGTGAGTCTCCTCTTCTAGATAAACAAACCTGAAGTCATTATTATTTTCCTGTCTTTCTTTTTTTTGTACCAGGAATCGAACTGATGATCTTGCACTTCCCAGGCAAGTGCTTATGCTGCTGAGCTAAATCCCCAGCCCCTTATCTTCCTGTTTTCTGAGAAGCTCTTTATGCCTTAAAAGGCTGACTGGTATTTTTATTTCCTGCAAATGAAATTTACTGACATGTACTGTATTCCTATTTCCTGCTCAGTAAAACGGAGGTTTTGCCATCCCCATCCCAGCCACTAGAAGAGTTATACCTGGTGGTGCAGTGCTGCCTGCCTGGCCTGGTGTCTCTGTAAAGACTGAGTCTACACTGGAGCCTGTAAGGCCACTGTTCCTCAACCTATCAATTTCTTTCATTTTGTAGAGTGCTTTCTTTTCACTTGTTTATGCATTATTTTGCTTGGAAACTCTCCACGTGACTTACCGTGCCAACTCTAAAACCAGTCTCCATGCCTCTTCCAAGGACTGAGGTGAAGCTTGGTGCGATTTGTTAGTCCAGTAATGATGGATCCTCAGCTGAGTGGCAACTGAAATGCACATCAAGAAATGTAGCCTTTACCTTGTTTCAAGGCTGAGTATCAATAGGTGTAATTCTGCTCTGTTGCAGACAGGACCAGCTGCATCATTTATGGAGCCTGTGTTCAATTAACTAAACATTTCAAAATGACAGCAGACCCTTAACCAAACATAGGTCCTCCTACAGGCAGGGCCCTGTGTGATGGCTCAGGTAACACAAGTGCATAAAGACAGCCTGACTGGAATTCATAGTCCTCGATGATTGCTCTTAACTGGGGAGAAAGTTCCATGTTGCTCTGTTTTGAAGTATTCCTCTTCCTTGCTCTCAGGGCTTGTATATATTGAGGTTTGCCTAAAGAGGGGAAGCACCATGTAGGGTTGAGAAACCAAGTCTAGAATGGAAATACCCTCCTCTGGCCCTACAGCTGGCCAGCTTTTAGCCTCAGAAGTGTATCTAACCTTTTGGTCTTTGTTTTTGTTTTTTGTTGTTGTTATTGTTTCTTTTTCTTTTGGTACCGGAATTCAAACTCAGAGCCTTGTGCTTGCCAGGCATGTGCCATGCCACTGAGCTACATCCCCAGCCCACCTCTTGGTTTTTGAAGCCCAAGGCCATGAAGGACTGCTGTCACCTGGCTAGCTCCCACCACGACACCTGCTCTTTTTTCTCTTTTCCATGCATAGAAATTCATTGAGTTTGAAGATGCCTTGGAACAAGAGAAGAAAGAACTCCAAATCCAGGTGGAACACTATGAGTTTCAGACACGCCAACTGGAACTGAAGGCCAAGAACTATGCGGATCAGAGTAAGTGGCTGACAGAGATGAATCACCATCAAATGTGTGTTGTTCTAAGACTAATCCAGCTGAGAAGGATATAAAAGCTTTTGACAAAAAGAGATTTGAGGAAGCCCAAGAATGGCCTTACTTTCTTCTCACTATTTCTTATTTTATCTTTTCACACTACAGTGTGTTTCTGTAACAGATCTTTTGTGGAAATAAGAACAAGACCTTTTTGATCACATGACCCTTTTACCTATTGGTATAATATGACCAGAAAATAGCAAATCCATGATTCTATAGATATTCCCATGATCCTGTAAACAGAACTCCCTTTGCTGTGGGGTCCACATAGCCTGACCTGGCTGAGGCGTGACTGGTCTTTGTAGAGCTGAAGGTCAGGTTGATAAATGGAGCCATCGTTATAGGGATCCCAGAAGGGGTTCATGTTTGGTCAAGGATGTTCATAGGAAAATTCTGACCCCACAAGGCAAGTAGACAAGGTATTACTTTAGAATCATTACTATAAGACTAGGTATTTTAAACTGGGCATGATGGCACACTCCTGTAATCACAGCACTTGGGAGGCTGAGGTAGGAGGATAGCTGTGAGTTTATGGCCAGCCTGGGCTACAAAATGAGTTCAAAGCCAGCCTGAACTACATAGCAAGACCCTATATCAAAAAGCCCCCCCCCAAAAAAGGAATATGTATTTTAGTATTTAAAAACTCTTTTGAAGGGCTGGGGATTTAGCTTAGCAGCATAAGCGTTTGCCTTGCAAGTATGTGGTCATGAGTTCAATCCCCAGTACTGACAAAAAAGAAAAAGACAAAAAAAAAAAACTCTTCTGATGTATTAATGTTATAATCACCTATTAATCTCAGTTTTCTGTGATGAGATGTTTCGATAATTAAAGCATTTTACTGCTTTGCCTAGTTACTTTGGATAGCAGGCACTTAAAATCAGATTGGAGAAAAAAGTTGATTTCATATGTTGAACATGTTCCTATCCTCAATCAAGACACTGACAAGTTTGAGCCCACTGATAAGTTTTAGCACTGATATGTGACCAGCAGACTGGTAGTAACCTCCTAAATGGTGGTGTTTACGAGGACAGAGGGCCAAATAGTGAGCTGCAGAGAAAGGTATCCAAGGCTGGTGGTGGGAGACAGGGACAGATTATTTCTGATCACTGCTGCCAGTTACCATACTAGATAGTTACATTGCTTTAGCAGGCACATGTGGACCAGAGGGGACCATCGTAAGTGTCACCACTCGTCCCCAATTTAGAGAAACCTGGTTGTTAACCTGAATTGGGCACAGGTATCATTTGATTTCTTGGTCTTCTATAATTTTAAGGGGTGCTACTATAGCTTCTATATACACTTCCCATGTTCTGTCACTTCTTACATGTCTCAGGATACTCACTTTGAATTTTGTCCCTTTTCACAAGTTTTCTATTTTTTTTTTGTTTGTTTGTTTTGTTTTCATTGCTGGGGATAGAACCTAGGGTCTTATACATACTAAGCAAGTATTCCTCCTACCATTGAGTCACATACCCAGCCCTCACTCACTTCTTTTCTGTGTTTGCCACATGCAAGGAGTTTCACCTAAGTCATGAACTTATGGCTACCTGGGCAGAGATTATTATGTGACCACATCTGGGTCCTGGTTTTTCTTTACATGAGCGTCTTCACGTGTACACACACACACACACTATACGCCGTCTAGCACTCCAAAGTAATGACTCCTCTAAGCATGAGGTCTTAGACTAGGTTCTTGTTTGCAACCCAGAGCAGAGGCACAAGCCACTCTGAGGAAGCTGTACAGCTAATTCACAATGATTGTGTTTTGTAGTCTCCCGGTTGGAGGAGCGGGAATCAGAGATGAAGAAGGAATACAACGCCCTCCACCAGCGGCACACAGAGGTAGGCACTGGTGGGCACAGGCAGCCATGCTGGACACTTGCCATTTGCTAGTGACCTTTGATCAACCTTTCTTTATCCAGAAGGCTGTCCACCTCATGCTGGTGAGATTTTCCTCAACTGTGTCTTCACCTTGTCTGTTTCTCTCTGAGCATGGCACTTGTGGATTATAATAGAGGAGCTTGGCTGGCTACACTAATGAGAAACTCTTCTTGGCAGATGATTCAGACCTATGTGGAACACATCGAGAGGTCCAAGATGCAGCAGGTTGGGGGAACCAGCCAGACGGAGAGCAGTCTGCCAGGGCGGAGGTAGGTGATCTCATGAAGACAGGGCTCCTGATAGGAAGGGGAGAGTGGAGGATGGCTAGGCAGGAGTGTCTGTAGAGATCATTGTGGCCTTGACAGATGTAGGTGGAATGCTGCCTATGCCTTCTGCTCAGCCCCAGATCATTCTTGAAGGCCCAGAAAAATTATACATGGTCAATTCTCACTATTTGCAGGCTTCATGTTTGTAAATTTACTTGCTAACCAAAACATATTTGAATCCTCAGAAGTAATACTTACGGTGCTAGGGCCAGAAATTTAGCTTAATAGCTCAAGTACTTGCCTGGTAAACATGAGGTCGTGAGTTTGATCCCCAGTGCCAAGCAAACAAACAAACAAAAAATAGTTATGGTGCTTTTGAGTAATTAGTAGACACAGGAGGGAATTAATCTAACATGTAGGCTATCAAATCCTAAGAAAGGTAGAAGCTGCACTCTACTCTGTTCCCTGAGACGCCAGAGGGAGGAACCAGGAGGGACCAGGAAGATTCCAAAAGCATCTAGAGACTTTAGCATGATGAGATGTGCCTTCAAGCCAGGAAACCTAATAGTAGGGGCCTTGACCTGTCACCCAATACTTCTGACCTTCTTTTCTCATCTGAAAAGATAGATTTCAGTATGGATGAGTTGTTACAGGACCTGAGAACAGGATCTGTATGTACATTTTCCTTCTGGGCCGTGGTTTAATATATGCTAATACATAGTTAAAGTTTAGCTAATCATGGTTTTAGAGAAGACCAGGCTACCTTGCATAGCAGGCTACCTTGCTTAGGCATCTCTGAGCCTCCTTTACTCTGCAAGTAGGATGGTGACAGATCCCCAGGCCCTTCTTTTTTTTTTAATGGTTAGGGATAGTTATAGTTTATTTATTTATTTTTGAGTTACTAATTTTTTTTTTCTTTTGTCTTTTTGAGACAGGGTCTCGCTATGCAGTTCAGGTTGGCTTTGAGCTCACTTTGTAGCCCAGGCTGGTCTCGAACTCTCAATGATCCTCCTGCCTCAGTCTCCCAAGTGCTGGGATTATAGGCATGAGCCACCACACCCGGGTTAATTTTTGTTTTTCTAAATCCATTTTATTTCAAGGATAAAAAGGGGAAAAAAAATGCAACACAATTTCAAAACATGTCAATCAAGGGTCAACAATGGTACATGTGGTGCTCATTGCCATCCCCAAATCATTTACCCAGACCACAAGACATCTGCATTCAATTGTCCAAATAGCACAAATCTTTCTCTTTCTGAACTCAGAGAAATCAGTAGGATAACTATCTTAACAATTTTTAGTATACATATACATGTACATATACATGTTTTTTCTTTCAGTTGCTCATACTAATGAAACAACATAGTGTTAACACGTGTGTCTTACTTATTGCACTAATGTATGTTCTCAAGTTGTATCTATTTACCTATAAAAGTCTCCAGTTTATCTTCCTTTATGACTGAGTAATACTCCATTGTTTAAAAATACCACATCTTTTTTTATCCATTCCTGTCATTGGGCATTTAGATTTTTTCCAAGATCTGGCTATTACAAATTGTGTTCCTATAAACACAGGTACACAAATATCACTGTGGTGTGATGTTTTTAATTCTTTTGGGAAGATACCCAGAAGGGGAATAGCTGGATCAAGTGAGACTTCTAGGTCTAGTTTTTTTGAGGAATCTCTACACTAATTTCCCCAGTGGTTGCACCAGTCTGCATTCCCATCAATAATGGAAAAGGGCTCCTTTTCCCCGACTACCCCTCCAGCATTTAGTATTGCCTGACTTCTTGATAGTAGCCATTTTTTCTGGGAGGAGATGGACTCTCAGTATTATTTTAATTTGCATATCTTGAATGACCAGTGATGTTGAACATTTTTTCACTCTTTATTTGCTGTTCATATTTCTTCATCTGAGAAGTATGTATTCCTCTCAGATGATCATTTTTGGATTGGACCTTTAAACCTTGGAGGACTTTTTTTTTTTTTGAGTTCTTCATATGTTCTCAGTAGTAATCCTTTGAGGTACAACTGGCAAACATTTTTTCCCATGTTGTGTGTTGTCTTTTAACTCTGTTGTTGGTTTCTCTTGCTGTGCAAAAGCTTTTCAGCAGGGTGAGTCCCAGTTGTTGATTCTTTGTGATAGTTCCTGGGCAATTGGAGTTTTGTTCATAAAATTTTGCCTACATGCAATGTTTTACCTATTCTGTCTTCCAGCAGATTTGATGTTTCTGTTTTAATATTAAGATCTTTGATCTGTTCCAATTTTAGCTTAGTACATGATGAAAGATATGGGTCCAGTTTTAATCCTCAGCAAGTGTAGAGCCAGTTTTTCCAGCACCATTTATTAAAGAAGCTATCTTTCTTCCAGTGAATGTGTTTGGCACGTTTATCAAAGAAAGATGCCTTAGTGTGCCACCTTATCTACATCTTCTAATCTGTTCTATGGATCTTTGGGTCTGGTTTTTTTTTTTCCCCCAGTACCACACTTTTTTTTTTTTTTCATGATAGCTTTATAGTATAATTTCAAGTCAGGAATTGTGATACCGCCTATCTTATCTTTTTTTTCCCAGGATTACTTCTGCTATTCTAGGTCTTTTCTGATTCCAAATGAATTTTAGGATTGTTTTCTCTAATTCTGTGAGGTATACTAATTGGAATTTTGATTGGGATTGCATTGAATCTGTATAGCAGTTTTCAAAATACACCCAGGCCCCTTCTTGGCACAAATTCAGGACTTGATGCTGATTTTGCTTAGGCAGCAGGGAAAAGCTTCCTGAGACTGGGCATCTCCTATTATGTGCCTCTTGAGTCAGGACAGACCTGGACCATAGGTCTTAGAAAACACAGCATCAAAGATCTCATCCATAGAAGCTGAAGGAGGTAGGTGGATGACTCATGATGATAGCCTAGACCATGGGTTCCAAATCTTTGTTCAGTGAGGGGAAGGGCCTGAAGCCAGAATCCCCAGAATCACAGATTGAACCCCATGACACTGTTACTTGTTGTCCCTGGTTCCTGCAGCAAAGCTTTCTGAAGTCAACTGGGCAAGAGAAAGCCCTCGTCAGTCTGCATAAAGGACTTTTGCCTGTGTTTTCTGTGCCTGGTCTGTGGATTGTACCTACAAACAAGAAGCTTTAGGATCTAGCTCTGGCCTTTATCAGCTACTTTCTGTGTAACTAGAGCAAAGCTCTCTGTTTCTATGCCCCAGAGTCTTTAACCTAAAAAAAAAAGTAATGTATGTGTGCATCCAAAGGCCTCTTAGAACCATGCCTGTGTCTTTAGACATGGTGTTGCTGCCTCTAACATAGAGTGGCATCTGTACCACATATGGCAGGGCTGAAGCATGGTAGAAGCTTTGTTAGTAGACCTTGACTGCTGCAGGAATTATCAAGGTAACAAGGGTGAAAGAGTTTGAAGAATTGTAATCTTTACAGTTATTTATTATATCTAACATAGGAATGCTGAATCCCAAGTTACCAGTTCATGGCTTAGGAAACTTTCTCTTCTATAATTCTTGAATTCTAATCTGGAATGAAGAATCCACATGTTTCTATGGGGAGCTGAAGAGAGCAGTTTAAACTGAAGCAGAAGTTGGGCAGGTGGGGCATCTTCCTAGGACAGCTACACCATTCTACAACCTTCCAGCTGTCTGCTGCCAGTGCCCTGCTAGACAGCGACACTTGAAGGCCATGTGGTAGAGAATACAGGGAGTGTGGCTCAGTGTATCTCTGGCCTCTGGGCAATTTCACCTCAACCTAGGACTGTAGGCAGTGAATACCCAAACTCCTATGTCATATTGATCAGCACCCCAGGCACTGTAGATGCTATTTAAATAGATGCCCAAGGATTCTGTGTGCTGAGCAAAAAGTCAGATTTAGCCAAGTTTGAAGCTACCCAGATCCCAAAGCCAGTGTAAAACATTCTAGCTGGTACTTTCTCCTCTGCTATAAAAGATATACTTCCGGGAAGGATGTGGTATGTTGTAGACATCTCTGTGCGGAATCCTGCTGCCGAGGTGTCCTTGAGGAACCCGCTTTCCTGAGCAGTCTGCCCTGAGCCCTGTACTTCCTTTCCCTCTATAGTTTCTCTATGGTACCAGAGTTTAGCTATATCTCCATGGCAAATTATCTTTGGGAAGTTCCTGCACACCTTGAAGGGGCCCATGGTCTAGAGCTGGACACACAAGGTCTCATTCATAGGCTCCTTCTCTTCCTTTGTGGAAACAGAATGTACCTGTTATGTGAAGCCCTGTGACCTATTTTATAAGGTCTGGGTCTATGAGTCTGCTCTGTGCTGCCATCATCAGGTCCTGGTCACTACCATTTGCCCTCTGGAAAACAGAGGCCTTCAGTGCCCAGCAGTATAGTGATATCTGCAGTGAAAGGCCAACAGGAGGGGTTTTTTCCATGCCTTGTACAAGCCCCAGGAGCCCCTTCCTTTAACAAATGAGACCTTCTAGCCTGTCTGAGAGAGGGAGGGGCATCTTGTTCATACTGACACTTAATTAGGCCTTGGTGGCCCCCATCCTTTCTGCCAGCAGGGATTCTGTAAGGCCAAAGTTTGAGTAGCTATGCCACCACAGTCTCCACATCTCAAGAACTCTGTTGCTAGACTACCCCACACTAGTCTCTATGGCACATAAAAAAGATGCCTGCAGCTGAGTTGAATACTGGACTAGTGGCTGCTGTCTATGCAAACCTTGGCTGTGAGGGGACATATGCACCCATAGTAGGAAAAACAGGAAGTAGAAGGCCCAGTGCCATGGGTCCAGGCTGTCCTTATCATCCTGCCCAGTAATCTAGTGGCACTGAATTTTTTTCCCTAGCCCACAGAATGTTCCCCAAAGCAGATGTAAAAAGCTTCCTCTGGCTTCTGCCTTCCTGCTATAGTTCTGTTGCTGAAGGTCCCACTGAAAACAAAATCAGCTGCAGCCCCTGGGTGTGGACAGCAGCCTCTGCCTGACACATCCAAGGAAATAACAGGTTTCAGTGAAGAAAGCACACCCCACTTTCACCCTGCAGGGCATGTGCCTTTTAGGGCTCAAGTGTGAGGACTGTCCTTCATTACCTCGGCTGCTGCTTTGTCAGATGGGTGAGGTAAACACTCCCTCCCCACACATTTCTATATCAGCCAAACTCTGCACACTCTTCCTTAGTCTAGACTTTCCCATCACAGCCTTTGTCCTTAAGTCTGTCCCTCCTTGAGCTCAGATTCTTCCAGTGCAGTCTCTATAAGGCTCTTACTCCTCCTCAGTTTGAGCTGCTGATCACTCCAGAAGGCCTTTTCCTGCACTCCCTGCATGGTTTTCAGAGTCTGTATAATTCTGGGATGAACTGAGTGGGAACTCAAACACTGACGTGCTTGGCCATCACCGAAGATGAGTGTGAGCTGCAACACATGCGTCTGTCTGTGTGCTATCACTCCATGTGCCCTGGACATGTGTGCCAGGAGCTCTGTGGCAGGTTGTGTGCCCACTGCTTGCTGATCTGCTCACAGGCCACATTTCAACCTCTTGTTGGAGCCAAGAAGGCTTGTGTGCCATGTGTCTGTCCTTGTAGGTATGTGTGTAATCACTGTTGTTTGTGTAGAGGGCAGCACAGGATGTGCCACTGGATGCCCACTGTCGTCGTCATGCACTTCTCCCTTGGAGTGCATGCACAGGCGGGAGCTGGCCTGACCTTCACTCTCTAATATAGTCTTCTTGTCCTGCTCTTGTGCTGTCGCTGCTGTGTGCTGCCATTGTGTCTGTCGCTGCCCTGCAGTCCTCGCCAGTCATGGAGGAAAAGGTAAAACCTGTGGGTCTTTGTCCACTGTGGTGCTGGGTTTGACCAAGGGCAGAGTGAATACAGCCCACTGCCTTAATCACAGGACCCTAAAATGCCTTAGTTACAGTATAATGATTTCTGCAGCTGATGTAAATCAGAAGTACTTCCAGGTGCATTCACATGTTACAGAAATTTACAAGCTGGTCAGAAAGTCCCTGGTACAGGCACAAAGCATGTAGTGGGATGGAATTCCCTGAGTTGTCCAGGCCTGACTCAGATTCTGTCTGTATTCAGCAGACATCTCCCTTGTTACAATTAAAATTATGGCAGCAACTCACACCATTGAATAGCAGGCAGCCAGAGCAGTAGTTGTTACCAGAGGCAGTGGCAAGTAAAGGCGTTTTGTCTGCTCTGGCATCTAGTGCTTCCATACTCAGATATAGCCCAGTGTGGGCACTTAAACCAGCTCAACTTTTTTGGGAGGCCAGGAAAAAGAGTGGTCTTTTTGAGACCAGATCTCACTATGTAGCCCGGGCTAACCTTAAATTCATGGTGATCCTCTTGCCTCAGCCTCCCAAGTGCTAGGATTATAGGTATGTTCCAACATACCTGGCTCCAGCTCAGTTTTGCTGGACTGTGATGACCCCTGTCAGCAGTGTGGTCTCTACAGGTCTCACAAGATGTGAAAGTGAAAGGAGAAGACAGGAAAGACAAGCTTTGAACATTCCTCAGTTGGCAGTGCTACCGAATGCTCACAGGGATGAGCTGGAAAAGATGTGTTTCTAGGTACAGATAGATTTCTAATGGACCCAGAAAGCTAGCTAGACAGTAGAAGTCTGTGGTCTGTAGTGTATTCATTGCCCCATCCTGTGGGGTAGGAGCCTCCCTCATCCTCCCAGCTGTCTTTGTAGCATCTAGTAATAACCACAATTTGTTGGCTTGAGGTTATGAGTAGAAGTACTTAATGGGTTCAGAACTGGGCCTCAGAGTGTTTTTCTACCAGAATTGGGAGCCCAAGAGAGGCAAAATGTAGCCAAATTGGTCCAGAGTCTGCAAGGACAGCCCAAGGTATAGTCCTGCTCCTCTCATGGACAGGTCATATCTTCATGGTGGCTTACGGGCTATTGCATGAACAGTTCTAGTGGAGTTGGGTCAGAGAGGTCTGGTGGATTAGCAGGTACAGAACTTTCCAACTCTGATATCCTACTCTGGATATGAGTTTCTCTTACTCTTACAGAGATAGGCCCAGACATACCCTCTGCAAAGGGGCCCTGAGAGCCAACCACAAGAGAGTGCTTTCTCTCTCAGAATTCCTCCTCTGCCCCAGACCCTTATGGAACACATGATCTCTCTGGTTCTCTCTTTGCTGCAGACCAGCAGCCCAGAGAGCCAGCCAAAAACCACTAAGCTTTGGAGATCCTCTTGCTACAGGAGACACTACTGTCTTAAACAGGACAGACCAGCTGGCTGGTTTCTGGGATGGCTCAGGTATTCCCAATTAAGAGAACCCTTCCTAGGATCTTGCTTCATGCTTCCTCTTCCCACCTGCAGAGAGTTCAATCATTGCCCTACTACTCTATTGCCCACTTTGTTGTTTGAATCCTTGAAGCACCAGTGAGAGAACCCCATCTCCTTCCTTTCGAGCAGGCTAGTCTGTACCATACTCCCTTGGATGCCGAGGAAGTCCCCTCAACAATCTCTAGGGCTGTGTTAGACACTGTGGGGTGAGCAGGTACTAGTTCTTAACCTGAATAGCTCTAAGCAGTGTGAACACTATCTGTCTCAGGAGGGTGGTGTTGCACAGGCCTCTGTCCCCACTGCTATTTACAGCCCACTGCAGGTCTTCCCTGAACTCAGCCAACACTGGTACAGTGAGCTTTGCTCTTGTCACTCCATTGTACTTGATGTTCTTGGTTTGTAAGCAGAACCTCAAAGGGACCCATGTTTCTCTCAGTGCTCCTAAGACAGCTGGGAAAGCTGTATTAGAAGAGGAGATGCTCCTCCCTCATGGGCTTCAATAGATAGGACAGAGATGTTTTTAATTCTTGTAGGTGTGGACACAACTATTCAAACTGTTACAAACTGTTCAAACTAATACAGTGAAAAGGCTTCGGGAAAAACCACTGGATTGATAGGGAAGAATTGAGCAGAGAATCAGGAAAAGATTGATTCCTTTGCTGGCCCCAGGAGGCAAAAACAGAACTGATGGTCCTGGTTATGGGAAGGCAAGTCTAGGCTTTGTCATTGTAAAATTCACTCAAGGCTACAAGTTAGTGCTGGTCATGATGCCAAAGGTCCTACACTGGTACTGCTGTGGGATTTCTAGTGATGATACCTAGGTATCCATTTAAAATTGAGCTAATTAAAATGATAATTCATGTGTTAGAAGGAAAAGATTGTATGTGTAGGATCCTGGGCTGCCAACTAGTTGCATCCCCCTGAGCAGGCTGCTGGGCAGCATTTGAACAATGCTGTGCACTGGATAGGTGTCTATGTAACAATAAAGGAATTTTGTTTCTCCTGCATCTCTGCTAACCGTCTACTTCCTCTTCCTGTCTCCTTTCATATTCCAGCAGGAAAGAGCGCCCTACCTCTCTGAATGTCTTTCCCCTGGCTGACGGCATGGTACGTGCACAGATGGGGGGCAAGCTCATGCCTGCGGGAGACCACTGGCACCTGAATGACCTCGGCCAGCTGCAGTCCAGCTCCAGCTACCAGGTTTTGTAGCCGTGCGTGGAGTGAGGGTTCCTTTACTGGTATCCTACATCTATGTAGAGGAGCCCAGTCTTTGCATGCAGCTATCTGCCCTGCCTGTTATGGGATGAGAAACCAAGCTGGGATGTCACGAAAGACAAGCCTTAAAGTAGACCCTCTGTTCTCACAGCTTCTCTATGCAGCTTTGTATTAGTGCCTGCTAGTCCAGGTTAGACCTCTGCTAGTGGAATAGACCACTCTGCAGTTGGAACCACCATGTCTGTTAGGGCTGAGTTTAGCAACCCTCTGCCAGACCATACCCCAAAATATATGCCTTCCCCTCAGATAACACTAACCAGGATGCATGTTGCTCCTGAGAGCTGCCTTTACTTCTATGCTTGACCTCAGCTGGGAGGAGGCAAAGACAAGGGGATGGCTCCTTTTACAAGCCCTTATCTTCTTGTTACGGTAATGAATCTTGGCTATGAAGTGAAACCCAGCGCCCACTCCCCCACCAGTGTACACAGCCATCCAGTGAGTGCACCCCTAGCGTGGAGTCCAGGGAAAGCCAGGTCACTCATTCAGGGCCCTGGGTCACTTACTACTATTGGGTCTGTGTGATCAGACTGTCTGGAATGCAGCTGTAGCAAGGTAGTGTGCTGGCCACATTGCAAGGGTGGCCACCTTCCTGGAGTGAAAGAGTTGACCTTAGGTTGGTGAATTTTTCACAGGCCACTGGAAGATTCCTGTAGAAGCCAAGCCCTAGGCTTCCATACTTGCTGGGACTGCTAGCTGTGGGTCCCAGGGCTTCTTAGGTATCCTTCCTACTGCTGCTCTTGGCAAACTGTCCTTCTACCTTTGTCAGGTTATCTGCAGGGGCTGCTGTATGCTGCTGGTTCTGTTGGAAAGTGACTCCACAACTTCTACTTTTGTTCCAGGAAATGAGTGTGTTTTTGAGATGTAGAGATACTCACACCCAGTTCTCACTGCTTTGGCAGTATTTGTGCTCTGGGAAGAAGCAGTGAGGCCCAATGGGGACCCTGCTATCCTCTGGGTGTCTAGGCGAGGCTCTGCCTTTTACACTGACTGCTTTCTCTCTGTCTCTCTCTTGTTCATACTGGGCCTGTGGTGGGGGCTTGCCCCATAAGCATTTGCCAAAGCCATAGAGAGCCAGTACTTCCACTTGACCTTCTGACTCCTGGATGCCCTGCTCATGCCTGTGTCTGGACCCGTCTTTCTTACTGTGTCTGTCTTTTCACTACTATACTGTCTGAAATAGTCTTTTCTGTCCATAAATCACAGCATTGTATGTTTTAGTTCATAGTGTGTTATGATTTTTATTTTTTTTAAACAATTACATTTTAAGTTTTTTTATTTCATTCTCCAAGTTTTAAGGTTTTTCTAATTTCTTAATTTTTTTGTTTTTTGTTTTGTTTTTTTGTTTTTATGTACTGTAGTGTTTTAACCAAACAGTTGTGACTACTCATGGTGAGGAATGACCGCTAAGAGTGTGGGTTCTTTGCAATACATTTGGAGGTCACTGCTTCACGTTGATGTTTAGGATGTTGAGAGGTTTGGCCTAGGTAAGTGGTGGCCAGGGGGTATCCCCTGGGTAAGTGGTAGCCCTATAGAATAACAGACCTGGGGTTCTGGGAGCGGTGCAGCCAAAGAGCAGAATACCCCCACAGTGACCACAAGAGTCACAACAGGTGAGAAACCTGACCATGGAAGAGGAAGTCTGGAAATGTGCGTCTGATTCATACCCCTGGCTTCTGCCTAGACTTCATGGAGTAACACTGTGCCCTGTGTAGGGCAGCCAGTACCTCTGCTGTATTAGAGGTTTATCCTCAGAGACCTGGAGGCCACTGTTGCCTCTCCCAGCCCTTGTCAAGGCTCTCTTTGAATTGAGCCTAAGTCTCAATGCCAAGTATAAATTTCCATCCTAAGATATTAATGCAGAGAAACTTGAAGAGAGCTGGAATATATGCTGGCATGTGGTTTTTCCCCTCAGTACTACTGGTGTTTGAAGCAGGATTGTACATGACTCTGGGACCTTGCTGGATGCCGTAGGATGTTGGTCAGCATCCCTGGCTTCCATCCACTCCTTGTCAGAAGCACCTAATCTTCATTTATGACAATGAAACTGTTCACTGTCTTTGCCAAGCATCACTGGGATGGGAGGATAATTGTGCAGTTTAGAGCTACAGCTGTAGAGAATGATATGGTATTTATGGAACTTTTTTTATTGTTTCTAAAAATAATGTTTAAGAACAGCATACATAAAAAAATTATTAAATTAAACCAAATGCAGAAAAGCTTTTAAAGTATAACAAAATGTGCAAAAATGTTGGTTATTAAATTATAGCAAAATGTCCAAAAAGGTTGTATATTAAATTATAACAAAATGTGCAAAAAAAAAAAGAACACCATACAGTTCACAAATGGTATGGTAGTTCCAAATGTATTGCTACCTGAATTTAACATTAATTTATGAAATATCGATGCATATAATTATATACAGTGAAATGTATATAATAGAATATTAATAACATTAATAGAACATTAATAATATTCAGCTCTCTATTTTCAAGCCAGCTCTCTATTCATAAGACTATACAGGCCTAAAACAAAGGATCTTTTTAGAAGAAATGAAGTTTTTGGAAAGGGCCTAAATGGCTAAACTGTAAAAGTTAGAGGAAGGAGAATATTCATGCATGGGGAAATCAGTCCCTTATGAAAGTCTAGAAAAATAAATACATTAGCTTTTCCTTTTCTGGACAAAATACCTGACAGATTTCGAGACTCCTTTTGTAGAAATTCAGGAGCATAGTAGATGAAACCAGAAGTCTGTCTTCTGAACAAGTAGTGGTGTCCAGTATGAAGAGACCTTGCCATACCCTGGTGGGCACTCAGTGGGTCAGGCAAAGGCAAATCGAAGAATCAGCTATGATTCTGGGACCCAGGTATATACTTCTTAGTTCAGGTGCTACATTCATCTGGCTCTAGACAGAGCTGCACATTTCCCTCCTTTATTCTCTCCTTCCTTGGATGACCACACTTGCTGGTTCTAGGAACCCTAAGAACACAGGTCACCCGTCTGCCTGTGACAAGCTCAAAATGCAGTCGTGTTTATTACGTGTCCCATACTAATCAAATAGAATGTCTTTCCCCCTAATGAGATTTATAAGGTAAGTAGCTGATTGTAGTTTGTGATAGCTGGGGCTTTCCTCACAGAATGTCTGGCAGTGTCCCATTCTCTCAGAATGAAATTTCAGGCCTTTTGAATTTGTGCTGATATTTAGGACTAAACTTTGGCACAGTTGAGCTATGAGATACAGTTCCATGCATCAAGGGCACAGAATTGGTAAAAAGTTATGGTCCCTTATTACCTCTGACTTCTGCCAAAAGCAGGAAGAGTATGAGCCAATCCTGTGTATAGCATGGCCTTGTCAGCCCTTCTTAGACAACTCCTTCTGGTCCCCAGGCAGCTAGTACCTGACCAACACTGACTGCAAAGGTTACCCGGCTGTCCTCCTACTTGTCTTCTGTGTAGCACCACACCCATTACTAATGTTTTTCTAGACCTTCCTGAGGAGGGTACAAGCTAGAAGCACTATTCCTAACCATTTAGTAAGATCCTTAGGCAGGGCTCCATATTCCCCTGAGTTGCTGCCTATACTGTCTCCCACAGTGAGTGCCAGAAGCAGTTGGTAGAGGAGCAAGACTGCTCAGGGGTGAAAGTTAGCCTAATGTTAGGTCAGCAAAGGGAACAGGGTACGGAACTATTGGATTACAGCAGGGTGGCAAAGGAATGGAGCAGTGAGGCCTTGGTGGCCACCCCTGGAGCTAATGCACTGTGGCTCATGATAACGTGTGTCCTTAATCCCTATGTTCGGCCCTAGTGTCCACACGATGAGATGTCCGAGTCAGGTCAGTCCTCAGCAGCTGCCACACCCAGCACTACGGGCACCAAGTCCAACACACCCACATCCTCTGTGCCCTCGGCTGCAGTCACACCACTCAACGAGAGCCTACAGCCCTTGGGGGATTATGGTAGTGGCACAAAGAACAGCAAGCGGGCCCGGGAGAAGCGCAACAGCCGCAATATGGAGGTCCAGGTCACCCAGGAGGTGCGGAATGTCAGCATAGGTATGTGCTAGCTCTGCGCCCTAGCCCTACTGAGTCCTACAAGGACTGCTGACCTCCTGCTGCCCCCCACACCAGGGAGGGTTGCCTTTTTTTTGTTTTTAGTCACCTCATGTATTAGTCACCTCAAGCTTCTGTAACATATGCCACAGATGGGTAGTTGAACAACAAAAGCTTATCTCCTCATTGTCCTGGAGGCTAAAGTATAACAGAGCTGGCTTTTCCTGAGGCTGCCCTCCTGACTTGCAATGGGCTATCTTCTTACTGTGCCCTCACAGGGTCATCTACCTGTGTGTGTTTGTGTCCTCATCTCTTCTCAGAAGGACCCCTATCAAGTTGGATTAAGACTTACCCTAGTGACCTCATTTTACTTTGATCATCCCATTAAAGACTGTGTCTCATCCATATATGGTCATTCTGGTAACATAAAAATTTGTGATGATGACACATCAGCATAGAACAATCTAACTGCATATAACTAGAGAGAACATAAGAACATTTGGCCTATTACAATTTGACCATGAAAAGGAGGTGCCATTTATGACTTGCTGAGATCTAGTAATGCAGTGGGGTGGGCCCAGAGCTGATCTGTCCTGTGCAGATAGGCCTCAGTGGCCCTTCCCCCCGCAGGACTCTCAAGTGCTGTGCTGGTGAGGACAAGGGAAACTACAGGTAGGGTGAAGGTAAGCTGGCTGGCCCTTGGCCCCAGGTTTCCTTTGTTCTGCCCTAGGCATGGGTAGCAGTGATGAGTGGTCTGATGTTCAGGACATTATCGACTCTACCCCGGAGCTGGATATGTGCCCAGAGACACGCCTGGACCGCACAGGAAACAGGTACTCATTCAGCATGGTCCTTAGGCAGGGCTCCATGTTCCCCTGAGTTGCTGCCTATACTGTCTCCCACCATATTTGCACCCTTGGTATAGTGTTGACTTTGAACATGAGTTAATTTTCTGTTGCCATGACAGAGTATGTGAGATAATCAGCTTAAAGGAAGAAAGATTTACTTTTGGCTCACAAGTTTCAGTGCATAGTCGCTCAGCCACTTCTTTGGGCCTCTTGGTAAAGCAGCATATCATGGGACTGAGGTCTGCACAGGAACACCCCCATGACCTCACTTCCTTCTACCAAGTCCACCTCTTAAAGGTTGCACCAACTCCTGGTAGCACTATGGGCTGGGGACCAAGCCGTAAGAATGGGATTTTAGAGGGACATTTCAAATCCAAACCATAACAACATCTGTATTGGAAGATTTGGAAGGGTCCAAATGGACGGCTGTATATGCTGTCTACTGACTGTGCTTTCCTGGTCTTTATACTTACAGCCCAACCCAGGGGATTGTCAACAAAGCTTTTGGCATCAATACTGACTCCCTATACCATGAGCTGTCAACAGCTGGCTCTGAAGTCATCGGGGATGTGGATGAAGGGGCTGACCTCCTAGGTAAACACAAGCAATCTTGCCTGCAGCTCTGAGATGATGGGGCTTTCTATTGGCCATTTTATTGTGAAGAAAAATTCAATGTCCTCGAGGGCTAGAAACTTTTTTCAATACTGGGAATTGAACTGAGGGCCTTGTGCATGCTAAGCAAGTGCTTTACTGCTGAGCTATACTTCCACCCCATTTTATTTATTTTATAGTACTGGTGATTGAACCCAGGGCATGCGACCACTGAACTACATCCTTAGTCCTTTTTATTTTTAATTTTGAGACATGATCTTACTAAGTTGCCCAAGCTGGCTTGAACTTGTGATCCTCCTACCCTGCCTCAGCTTCCTGAGTAGCTTACTGACATGTGCCATCTTGCCTACTGCAGGCACTTGCTTGCTTGCTTGGTTTTTTTTTTAAATAACAGCTTTATGAAAGTAGATTCTTGATACTATTAACTTCATCCCCTTACATTATACCAGTTCATGGGTTTCAGTCTACTCACAGGTCGTACAAATAACCACAAATTACCACTAAGTTTATGAAATCTCCTCACCCTACAAAGAAGCCCCATGCCCTCAGCACTCATCCCAGTCCTGTTCCATACCCCCCAACCCCTGACAGTCTAATACTTTCTAGGATTTTTTTCTCTCTCTCTTTGGGTGGTCCTAGGGATTGAACCTGAAACACTACTACTGAACTTTTTATTTTTTACTTGAAGTCTCTATGTTGCCAAGGTGAGATTTGAATTTACAAGTGTCTTGCCTCAGCCTTCCTTGGTACTGGATTATAGCTGTGCACCACTATGTTTGGCGCTAAGAACATCTTTAGAGTGATCATTTGCCAGCAGCTCTGCTTCACATTACAGATGTACAGACGGTCCTTTGCAGTGCCAACATGGAGTTGAGCTCCCAGGCACTGTCCTCCTGCTGCCTGGCCCCCTGAATTTCCAGTGCATCTGAGTGCTACCTAGAAAGCTGTGAGTCACCTTTCTGCCTACGGCCCTGCTCTGAGGTCCCATGCAGCCTAAGTACCTCCTACTCTCAGCAGCCATGGTGGGGAGAGGCTACAGTGTCAATGGCACCTGCTTGCTGGGAAGAGAAAACAGGTCTACCTGATGCCTCTGTCTGTACCCAGTCTCAGATAAATCCCTCAGAACTGATGCTTCTTCCTTCTCATGCTCTGGAGGGAGCCATAGTTTTGCAAGGGCAGCTACCTCATGCATATAGGATGAGTCTGAGGTAGTAGTTCTGTTCCTAGAACCTTCAGCATTGCTACCAGTGTCTTATTCTCTCCTGTCCAAGAAAAGCTATCTTGCATCTTAGAGTGGTTATTTCCAGGTTTCCTGCCACTGTCACTTCCCCCTGGTGTAAGCCAATGATGCTTTGCCATCAAGAACTTACAGGTGTTTCCCTGACAGCCAGGAGGCTTTCTAGCTGCAGACACCCCTGTGACTGAGTGTGGTAGGAAGCTCCTGGCTAGCCTTGTTAGTCTGGAATCCTGTGGCAGCTCTCTGGTCCATATCTGAGCTCTCCATTGGTTGGATGGCTTTTCTGGAGCCACTAGGGAGCAACACTAGCTCAGGTGTTCAGCATTAGCACTGCTTCTTGCTCAAAGCCCAATTTGAATAAAGGGCCCCTTATAATGTTTTCTTCATTGTGGTAAAATATTCATAGCAGAATGTACCCTTTTAACCATTCAGTAGAGTGAATACATTCATATCCACTGTTAAGACTGAAATCTCTCCCCCAAAGATCAGGGAGCAGCTAGGCATAGTAGTATTTATCTGTAATTTCAGTTACTCAGGGGGTTGAGGCAAGAGGATCTTAAGTTTAAGGCAAACCTGGGCAAGTTAGTGATACTCTATCTCAAAATAAAAATAAAAATATAGGGCCAGGTTATAGATCAGTAGTATAGTGCTTGCCTAGCATGCTCAAGGCCTAATACCTGAGAAAGTTGGGGACAGGACAAGGATGCCTACCTTTGGGCCATGCTTCCAGTGGAATTTTGCTCAGAAGTATTTAAAAATAAATGTTCAGATATAAAAACTATTTAGAAAGATTCTACTAAGTAGGGCAGTCACTTTTAATAATTTATACATTTCCATTGTTCTTTACATAGCCTAGATAGGGCTATAGATTTCACTTTTAGGTTTTGGGGGCCTTTTTTTTTTTTTTAGAAAAATGATAAATCTTTATAATAATATTTAAAATATATCAGAAAGGCCAGGTGTGGTGGCACACACCGGTAATCCCAGCACTCAAGAGGCTGAAGCAGGAGGATCACTGTGAGTTTAAAGCCAGCCTGGGCTACAAAGTGAGTTCAAGGTAAACCTGAACTGCATAGTGAAACCTTATCTCAAAAAGATTTAAAAAAAAAATAGTATCAGGAAATACCAAGAAGGAAGTAAAAATTAAAGGGACCTCCTAACTGCCATGATGATTATTCCAGTATCTTAGTGACGCCTCAGGCCACTCAGTGCTGTTACATCGTTTGTCAAGGATAATACTGATGTTTCCATGAACAATTAAAATTGGTCCCATACAATTCTCTTTTCTTTATGCAACTGTAAATTTATTTGTATTGAAAAATTATGCAATCAACTTGATCGGCCTTCTCTTGTTTCTAGTTTTTGCTACTGTCCTTAGGGGCCTTTTCTACTTTTCTTTTCAATTTTTATTTCTTATTAGTACAAGTTTGCAGTACATAATGATTACAAACCTAGTGAAAGTGACATCATGAATGTAACACATCTTAATTCTTTTTTCATTCCTTTCCCCTCCCTCCACTCTGCCTCCTCTCCTTATCCTAGGAACCTTTGGTATAAACATTTGCCTACCTTTCTGATGCTTGTTGTTGGGTAGATTTCCAGAAATAGAAGCACCCAGGTAAAGGTGCAGGACACTCCCTAGGAGCAGCTTCCAGGTGGCTGCATCTGTCTCCTCTCATACCTGCCAGGGACAGAACCATCCCGTCTCAGGGTATTTGATGCCCTAAGTCTGTGTGGGGAAATGTGTCATCCATGACATCCATGACACATTTACTAGATAGTGAGTCCCATGGAACACTCCATTTCTGCCCAGCCCAGACACTAAAGACTATGACAGCTCTACACTAGACCTTACCAGATGAGAGCCAGACTGGAGACAGAATAGCACAGAAACTTGTCAGTGAGCTTCCCATGGTGCCTGAGACGTAGGCTATGCACAGCTGGTGCCAAGGCTGTTGACAGGCAGAACTGGGGTCTTGAAGGCTTCATATGGACACTGCGGCACTCCACAGTAACTCAGTGAGCTCTAGAGTTTTTGCTTTAAAAAAAAAAAGTCTTTTCCTTAGAAAAATGATATGCATGTAAAGTTTTTATTTTCATGTTGAAGGTTGTAGCCACACTGAGCATCCTGTTCTTGACTTCTGGCTGCGAGTAGAGAATTTGGAGAGATTCAGTGTCTCTGGGCCTGTAGGGGGTGACAAAATAGGACGTAGAGAAGAGGGTGGAACAGGACCCCACTCTTGTATCTTTGCAATCTGATATCCTGGGGCAAGGGTTAAAGAAAGGGGAGGAACTCAGGTCCAGATCTAACTCCAAACAGCACCCCTTACAATAACCATCCTCTCCACTGCCCTTAACAACTGTATAGAGGTATAATTCCCACATCATACAATTCACCCACTGAAAATGTACAGTTCAGTGGTTCTTAGTGTGTTCAGACCTATGCAGCCATCACTACATAACTTCAGAATGGTGTTACCTCCCAAAAGGAAGCCTGTATCTAGCAAGCAACCTACCTTGATTCCCCCAGTCTTTGGCAGCACTGACCTGCTTTCTATCTGTGGATTTGCCTATCTCACAACTTTCTTGTCGGTAGAGTCTTCTGTGTGGTACATCCACACCCCTGCTTTCATTATCCTTATATCTGATTGATCTGCCATCACCTGCTGGTACACACATACTTGAGCCTACCCACCTGATCACTTAGCAAGTATAGTGCTGTTCCAGCCTTTACTTGAAATTTCAGGTTTTGTGGGAATTTCACACATTAACCTAAAGGAATTGTTTTCCCTACTTACAGTGAGGAAACTGAAGCTAAGAGAAGCTGAGCAGTTTGCCCAGCATCACTCAGTTGGAATCTGAAATTCTGACATGGGCTGACCTGACTTTGATACCTCCACTGCTTGATTGGTCAGCTGGCTGTCCTTCAGGGACTGAGAGTTGGCATGACCAACTCTCAATGTCTGGTCATAATCCTGAGAAGTAGACACATCTGCTTAAAAATAATTAGAAAGCATAACAGAAGAAAATAAAATCCTTAAATATACAGAAAAATAGGACCAATCCAGGGCCTAACAGTTGATCACATAAGCTGTCAGGTGACATCACAGATGAGCCTACAGTGGGCATATCAGTTCAGGAAAATCATCCAAAGTTGGGTGTTTTCCTGGAATTTTCTGAATGGATTCTGACATTCAGCCAGAAAAGTAAGCCCAAACTTTTTAAAAAATTTTCTTATATTGGTACATTTTAGATATACATAATGATAACATTCATCATATGGAATTTGTATCTGTACATGATCTATCTTGTTTTATTTCTTCTTCTTTTTTCCCCTCCCCTTCCTTCAACCCTGCCCCACAAGTTTTTGAGGTAGCATCAGGTCACAGGATTACCAACCCAGGTGTCCATTAGTACTCTGAAGCTGCAAGTTGATGGAAAAGTCACATGGCAGAGAGGAGAGTATAAATCTGAGCTGTGTGAGGCTCTCATGTTATATATAATCTCCAGCCATAGAGAGTGGGTAGGTTCTCCAGTAAAAGTGTGGGTCCCAGCTGCTCCAAATAAGATGAAGTTGACCCCATACTGTAACATGGTGTGAATATGATCACCCCAAACACAAGTAATTTCTAGATGGATTAAAAATGTAAACATAAAAATACAAGTAGGACAAGTAGTAGCACTCACCTATATTCCCAGCACTCTGGAAAGCTGAGGTAAAAGGCTCACCAGTTTGGAACCAGCCTGGGTAACTTAATAATGTAGTGAGAGCCTGTCTCAAAAATAAATGAAAAATAGTACTTAAGGACATAGCTTGATTTAGAGGCCCTGGGTTGGGGCTGGGGATTTAGCTCAGCAGCATAAGCACCTGCCTTGTAAGCAGGCAGTCGTGAGTTCGACCCCTGGTACCGATAAAAACAAAAAAGACAAAAAAAAACCAAAAAACAGATAAAGGCCCTGGATTTGGGGCTGGGGATTTAGCTCAGCGGCATAAGCACCTGCCTTGCAAGCAGCGGCCATGAGTTCGATCCCCGGTACCGATAAAAATGAAAAAGACAAAAAATAAAGAAAAAAAGAAAGAAAGGCAGGCCCTGGGTTCAATCCCAAGTATCTGAAGAAAAAAAAAAAAAGGACACCAGATGTTCATAGCAAGTGCCCTTGGGTAACCAGGGAGGTAGTTTGTAAGAAGATACTGCTTTTGAATTGGTGCACTACTTAAATTCCTATAACAAATTGCATGTCTTATTCCTTAATTTAACTCGGTTTTTAATATTCTTTTCCTTCGTTGTGAAGTACATTAACGACACAGTGCTTTCATCAGTTCTGTGTAGAAGAAAAGCATCTTCCCACCCACATTCATTTTTCCCAGCCGCCCGCTCTATACAGCAGAGGTCTGCACCCAGAGGGGATGTGCCACCTCTTGCTCCCCACCTCACTCCTCTCTGCTTTTTGACTAATTTGTTTCCCTGCTCCACAGTGGAGTCCTAGGTCCCTTATTCTCAGGTCATCTGTCACCTGAGGTCATGCTTTCCCATGAGATCTGAGCTGACCAGAGGAGCCAGCTTGCTCACCTGGGAAGCTGTACCCCCTTGGCATGCAGCGGATTCTCAACCCATACACACACTGCTCTTATATAGGCTTTTACTGTCAGGTTCTGCAGAGGGCTGATCTTCTGCTAGGTGGGTAACAAAAACAAAGAAGTAGGTTCCTGGCAAATCCAGGATTGTAGTGCTCTGGGCTCCTTGGAAACTGAAGATTGCCTCCTGGCCTCTTCACCTCAGGGCTCCTGCCCCATGGAATATGCCCTGGGCCTGCTGGAATATGTTGTCTTCCATGCCCTTCAGCATGAGAATGGCTGAGTCATTGTTGCTTTTTCTTTAATGAGAATTCTTTTATTTGTTGGTTTCATTCACCAATTGATCTTTGTTGCTTCCTTCCCCATCTTTCTCTGCCTCGCTGGACGTGGCCCAGGGGAGTTCTCAGGTGTGTATCTCTCCCATCTGTCTCCTGTGGCACCCCCTTCCCACTGTGGAGAGCAGCTGGAGCAGGGTGCATACACATGGGTGCTCCCCTGCTGCTGACCATCGCCAAGGGCTCGGCACTGATTCCCGATTGCTGTTCAACTGCACTGGGCTGCCCAGCCACTAAAGCCCCATACTTTGCTCACCAGCCTACTACTGCCTGAAAGCTGATTTGGGTTTGCTCCCCTGGCCACTGGCAGGCCCTTGGTATCTGATGCTCTTTTTTGGAGCCTGAGAAGGTCTCTAGGACACCACTGAGAATGTAAGACAGTTGACCCTGTTGGGTGTACCTCAGACGTCAAAGGTTCCTGGGATACCTGCTAATCATATCCTAGGACCCTATCCCACATGGGTAGCCTGGCTGAATTGTTGCTTTGCTTTGTGGCAGGAGTCCCTAAAGTCTACCTGTCTCTCTAAGTTCATCCCCTGGTCCCAGTCCCTTTCCCATTGTGTATTTCTCTACCCTGTCCCCTCTAGCCAGCATTTAGGGACAAAATATACTACATTCCCCACAGGTGGTTCTGGCTTGGCAGTCTGGTGTGCAGCCCAAGGATAAACTTTCTGGAAGGGGTAGCTGGCTCCATCCCGGTTCCTGTCCTACTGTTCTCTCCTATCACCATGCTAACTCAGCCAGAAGTGACCCTGAAATACCTTCCACCCTGCAGTCTACATGGGCTTAACGCGCTTCTTTTCTTTCCCTCCTCCCCGCCCTGCCCTGTTGCCCATCTCCTATGGGACTGGGACGCTCCCGCAGTGCGTGATGATTTTTTTGGTAAGGCTAAGGCCCTGCTTCTTTGTGTGTTTCTCCTGTCTTTGGCTTCCTTTCTCCAACCCACACCTTCTCATGCTTCATGAGCATCTGCTTTGTTCTGCATGGCAGGGGTGGTGGGTCAGCAGGAGCTGTGGGTTGTCATGGGAGGCAACACCTCCCTCTGAGCTGCTGTAGACAGACACTGTGAGCCTCCACAGGCCCAAGGCAGACCCCTAAACCAGAGAGCCCATTTCTGCTGTCCTGTCCACAGGAGGCAGGCCCATGTTTGAGGCAAGTGAAGTCAGAATGGACAGTAGGTAAATCCCTAGCTCAAGTGCCCTGTATTTTTGTTATTTCATGACTACACAAATATGGGACTATTTTTGAAAGATCAGAGTTGGTACTTGTGGGATTTATGGGACATGTCTGCAGGGAACTCAGTCTGTGGAGTCCACTTTGAGGCCAGTAGCAAGAGGACCTGGTCACCTCATCCACAGAAAGGCACCATGGAGTCCTATCCTTGTGCCCAGGTCCCTCCTTACCTCCTGCTACCCTACTTTGCCAGGCCTGCATGTATCCCTGGTAGAGGGTCACACCTGCCATGGGCCATCCCATCTTTATGGCTGGTTGTTTTCTCTGAGTCCTATGCTGTCATCTGTTCCCTTCATTATGACTCCAACATCTGTTCACCTGGGAGATAGCTCTGAAAGGCACCACATCAGGAAAAAGGGTGATGCTGGGAGCAGGAGCAAAGCAGCCACACATAGGTAGGTCATCCCAGACACTTCCTATACAGATTGACCTGTGAGAACCACTTCGAGGGCCTGGTTCTAAGCTCTAAGGTGCCACTAAGGGGAGCCTGCTCTATGTATGTAGGTCATAGGCCTGGCAAAAAGCAAGGCCTTCCACTAGTTGTGGAACACAGGGCCAGGACCCCTCTCCAGACCCAGCTTTACCACCTTCTGCAGCCTGGCTTCTGCAAATGGAGGTGAGAGTTGCAGGGACTTTTGCTCCTTGAGGAAGGTACAATAGCATCAGAGTGGCCTCGAGTGCTCAGGGAAACCTTTACACTTTTCATTGCAGGAATGGGCAAAGAAGTGGGGAACCTGCTGCTGGAGAACTCGCAGCTTCTAGAAACCAAGTAAGAAGTCCTCTGTGCTAGACTAAGCAACCTCCCTTGACGGACCATAGAGGAAGGACCATAGTGGCTCCCCCTGCCCAGGGTTACAGGGGTAACTAGACAGGAACTTTGTAATAAGGGGGACTCAACAGGACTCCTGGGTAGTTTCCTGGACAACTTATTTTAAGGACCCTTTGGCTAAGATGACCATTTTGGTGTCCTGGTCAAACAGATAGTCCCAATACCCTCAGCCACATTCTTGACTGAGGTGAACCCTCTTAGATAGGAACATGTAGGCCCCTCTAAAGTCCCTATGCCATGTACACAGGGGCTCTCAAAACACCACCCAACCCATGTCTCTGTCTTTTAAAGAAATGCTTTGAATGTGGTGAAGAATGACCTTATTGCAAAGGTTGACCAGCTGTCAGGAGAACAGGAGGTGCTGAAGGGGGAACTGGAAGCAGCCAAGCAGGCCAAGGTCAAACTGGAGAACCGAATCAAAGAGCTGGAAGAAGAGCTAAAAAGGTGAGGACTTTGGGAGAAAGCAAGACTTAGGTTCCCAGGTAGAGTTTTTTGAGCAGCCTACCTCTTTGTCCCCCCATGAATCTATTCTTCTAAGTCCTGCACTATCCTGAGAGGCCCCTCCTGCCCCAGGTGGCTTTTTATGTTTATTGTTTGGCCCTCTGGGCTCCAGCTCCAGCCACTGGCCTGGGTCCATTGTCTGGACAGTGCCTGTCTATCTTCATCTTCTCCTGAACCTGCTATGCAGGATCGTGTTGCATGAATTTTCTGTAGGTGAGAGTAGCAGCCTTGGCTGCAGCTCTCACACTATTCCTTCATTAGCCAGCGGGAGGTTCTGGCTGTCCTGGTACCCTAAATCCCCTCAGTTTGCCAGTCTTCAGATCAGCCAAGGTCTAACCTGCCAGCCCCTGGAATCCTATGTCCTGGCTCTAGACCTGTTGTGATGAGAGGGGTAATGTTGAAGAGAGCCAGTGGGAGCCAAGTCTGCTCAGGACTTGTCTAATCTACCCTGCCCAGAAGTGTCCTTGGCTCTTTGTGCCCCCACCATTTTATTAATTTATTTATTTAGACACTTTTGCTATGTAATCCAGGCTGGCCTCTATTCACTGTTGTAGCCCAGGCTGACCTTGCCTTCTGACAGTCCTGCCTCTCAGGTGCTAGAATTACAGGTGTGCACAGCCATGCCTGGCCCCTTCCCAACTTTCACTACCTCTTCCTTGGTCAGAACACCCAGAAGTCTGGGCTTTATGGACATATGAGGCAAGGGTGTAGGGCCTCCTTGACCACAGGTAACTGACCAGATCATTTAGAGCCATCATTGGGGTCCCTGTGGGGCAAACCCTGAGCCTAGGCATTTGTGAAGGCATTGCAGGGCCCTTACTCAGTATGTTTCCTCTTTTGTCCTACAGAGTGAAGTCTGAGGCTGTCGTTGCTCGCCGCGAGCCCAGAGAAGAGGTGGAGGATGTAAGCAGCTATCTCTGTACAGAATTGGTATATTTCACTATTAACCTGTGGGCATGGGTGTGGGTGGGCAAGGGTGTGGGGTGGATTTCCTGGGGCTTATCAGTTCTCTTGGGCCCTCTCCATCTGTCCTGTGTGACCTCTGAACCTGGTGCATTATTTGCCACCTCTTCTCTGTGGCTTTGTGGTGTTACAGCCACCGTCTTAGAAGGTCCCACTGTAGAGTGAGCCATAGTTCCTTTCCAGCCCTAATCCTGGTGAAGTAAGTCTGCAGTGAGTCTCTCAAGTGAGTCTGCAGAGTCAGTGCCAGCACTTGCTGTGCCTTCCCAGGTACTCTGCCCGGGAACTGCAGTATTCTGAGGAAAGCCACCTACAATCTAGGTGAGACAGGCCCCTAGTTTGGAGCCTCAGCCTCCAGTAGAACCTGAATGAGCACCCTGCACTCCTATGACAGACCATCTGCCTTAAAGCAGGCTGTGGTCTTGGAGTCACACCAAACCTTGATCTTAGCACTTTATAGCTCAGTCCATGGGGGTGTGAAGATAAAGGTCCTATGTCAAGGGTTCAAGAAATGGCAGCCACTATTTTCTGCCCATGCTATACAGCCCCCACTTCCAATAGTCCAAGAGAAACAAAACCTAAGGTGAATTGTGGTTCCCTAGACCCCCAGTGTCCCTTCCATATCTAAAGTTAGATGTATAGCCAAGAGGGGGCAGGGCACCTCCCCATGGGTGCCCTACTCCCTGCAGCTCTATTGGGTCTTCCAGTATTGTCCAGCACAGACCAGGGCTATGGGGACTCCGCTCAAGTCACTCAAACCTAAAGCACTCTGCTGGCAAGTTCTTCCCCAGAACTTTCCTTCTTGTATTTCACATGGACCAGTCCTTCCTGTTCTTTGCTTGAGGGATCAGGAACCTGTAGAAAGGGCCACCTCTTTTACCCTCAAGGATCATAGGGCTTTCTAGAAACAGGCAGCTCTGAGGAGACAAATATACCCACCACATCTACCCACATCCCCTACCCACATCCATTCCACTGTCACTTGCCTGAGCTCTGCAGGATGTTGTTTTAGATCCCACATTTGGAGGTCATGTCCTTACCTAGGACATCTAGCTGCCCCAGGAGGACGTGAGGTGTCTGGACTGACCTGAGCTCTCCTTACTCAGCTGAGCCATGGCACCCTCTTCCCTTTGCAGGACAAAATCCCTATGGCCCAGCGCCGCCGCTTTACAAGGGTAGAGATGGCGCGTGTGCTCATGGAGCGTAACCAATACAAGGAACGGTTGATGGAGCTACAGGAGGCCGTGAGGTGGACCGAGATGATTAGGTAGGTCTTGCTCCCCTGCACTCCACAGACCCCAGAGATGAGTTCATGTCTCCAGTTAAGGTTGTGGTTCCTGAGTGAGGGGCTGTGCATTATCTCAAATGACTGAGTGGAGCCTGACCTTCACTGCCTTCTGGAGGGGGTTGTAAAGATGCCAGCTTTGTCTGATAGAGTCCCAGGCAAGGGATGCCAGAAGGCTAACAAGTTCCTTCTCCTGCCTCCCCTGTAGAGCATCCCGAGAGCACCCATCTGTCCAGGAGAAAAAGAAGTCCACCATCTGGCAGTTGTGAGTGGGGCACCCTGGGGGACAGGTGGGCTCCCCAAAGCTACTGCCACTCACTCCCTGTGCCTCCACTGTCAGCTTCAGCCGCCTCTTCAGCTCCTCCTCCAGCCCTCCTCCAGCCAAACGGTCCTACCCCTCAGTGAACATCCACTACAAGTCACCCACCGCTGCCAGCTTCAGCCAGCGCCGCAGCCATGCCCTGTGCCAGATCTCAGCAGGCAGCCGGCCCTTGGAGTTCTTCCCTGATGAGTGAGTGTTCCATAGCCTCCACCTCTCTTTGACCTGCAAGGAGAGGGTGTGATGAATGGCAGAGCCCTTCTCTGCTAGGCCCAAAAGCAAGATGTGGAAGGCAGGCCTTCACCTTGCTGTGCGGTGAGACAGGGCATTCCCCTTGTCAGAGACTGCATTTTCTTTTTCTTTCTTTGTTGTGTTGTGTTGTATGTTTTTGAGACAGGGTCTTGCTATGTTGTTCAGCCTGCCTTGAATTCACTATGTAGCCCTGGCTGGCCTCGAACTCACAACAATCCTCGTGCCTCAACAATCTTTGTGAATTAGCCTTTTGCCCAGAACTGGGATTACAGCCTGCATCACTATGTATGGCAAAGGCTGCACTTTCTGACAGCCCATCTCCTTAGTTCCCAAGGGCTGTGCTAAGTTCTGTGGCCCCTAGACTGGCCCTGAGCCTTGTGTATCACTGGGCACTTGAACATCTGACTGCCTCAAGGAACTGTTTCAGACACACCTTGAAGTGAGGAAGCACTGACTGGATCCTGCGCCAGCTGCAGTAGAGTCTCTGCCAGCTAAGCCCTGGGGCCCAGGCAACATAGCAGGCTCCTGACAGTGGCAGATGTTAGATTGGCCTCTCAATCCAGGGTCAAATCCTGTGCTGGAGAAATCCACCCTCTGTCAGATAGGGTTCAGTAGCCAGTAAAAGGCAAAGACCTACAAAAGACAGACTCTAGGCAGGGCAGATGCCCTACAGGGGAGCCCCATGAGCCCTGTGTATCCTGGGCTTGCACAGGCCCTTGATCAAGGATGTAGCCTTTCATTCCTCCCCACCCAGTGACTGTACATCTTCTGCCCGGAGGGAGCAGAAGCGAGAGCAGTACCGCCAGGTGCGCGAACATGTACGCAACGATGATGGGAGGTTGCAGGCCTGTGGTTGGAGCCTGCCCGCCAAGTATAAGCAGGTGTGTGTAGGGGCACTAATGGAAGAAGGGTGTAGGAGAAAGATGCACATGGCCAGGGATGATAGGGCTGACATGGGTGCAGGGTTGGGAGGCATAATGAGGGTTTGGAAGGCCAGACTGGCATTCAACCTTTAGCCTGGCCAGGGCAGACCCTAACCCTGAAGGAGGGAGGATGGTAGAGCTCTGCAGCCCTTGCTGCTCACTGCTCAGGCCTGGAAAACCAGGCTCCAAACCAGAAGCCAGCAGGCTTGCTTGACCTGGGGTTCTGAAGGATGGGTGTCCGCACCTGGCCTTGTGCCCACAGTGCCTTCCTGCTTTGTACAGCTGAGTCCAAATGGGGGCCAGGAAGACACACGGATGAAAAACGTGCCTGTGCCTGTATACTGCCGCCCTCTGGTAGAGAAGGACCCTACCATGAAGGTGAGTCCAGAGGACCCACACGATCACTCCCAGAAGCTGAGCAGCAGATCTGGGAAGTGGGCACAGAAGCCATATGTCAGACCCTACAGGCTTAATTTAATTTTACAGCTGTGGTGTGCTGCTGGTGTCAATCTGAGTGGATGGAAGCCAAGTGAGGAGGATTCTGGAAATGGAATCAAGCCTATACCAGGCCGTGACCCTCTGACTTGTGACCGAGAAGTAGAAGATGAACCCAAGAGCAACCACACGTCTCCAGAAAGGAAGAAGGTTAGTGTGCCAAGGCCCTACTGCCACCTGTCTTGTGCCTTGTCTGGACAGCTTGCTACAGGATGGGCTGACAGAGCTACAACATTCTGGGATAGTGCCCCCTGTGAGGCTGAGTAGAGGAGGCAGGCACTTCCAAAGTCAGGCTCATTTTCTTTTCTATAGGATAGGCCTGGGCAGAGCTGTATCTGGCTCTCACCAGGAACCCAGGAACTAGGAGTACAGTGAAGGAGGCTGTGCCTGGAGCTGTAATGGCTGCTACTCCCTCCTCAGTGCCCACTGTGGGTCAAGAACATACAAGGTGCTTCTTGATTCATACAGAGGAGTAGACAGTGGAATGAGCTGAATGTGAAAGGAGGCAGAAGACTTCATGGTTGGAGCCAAGGGGTAATTTTATATCCCAGCTTAATTTGGGGACCAGGTCTTTCTCTTGGAAGTGAACCATCTAGATGGGGTTTGAGTTTTCTGGACTACTCCAAAGATAGTCATGTCCTCTAAAGCCATGGTCAATGAGAGATCCTATGAGATCCCAGGAGACTTCTAGGCACCAGCCCTAATCTGGTGTGCTCTGAAATAGGCAAAGGAGCTACCTGAGACAGATGCCACCTCTAGCCGAGTTTGGATCCTCACCAGCACCCTGACCACCAGCAAGGTGGTGATTATCGATGCCAACCAGCCAGGCACCGTTGTGGACCAGTTCACAGTCTGCAATGCCCATGTCCTGTGTATTTCCAGCATTCCTGGTGAGTCCTAGGCTCTGAGCACAGCCCTTTAAAGCTGGTGTTCAAGGAGGGTGGTTCTTCATTTCTACCATGGGATGACTAGGATGTACAGTAAAGGGGACAGTAGGCCTGCCAGGAATGTGAATGGACAGTAGGAAGTGGTCTAGCCAAGTCCAGTGAGACCCTGGACCACAAGTCCAGGAGGAACCTTGCTGGTGGTCTTGTTCTGCCCATTGCTGGTGCTGACTCAGAGGAGAGCCTGATGTTACACCCAGCTGATTAGAAGTGACAGGTAGAGCACAGTATAGACCAAACTGAAACATCGCGTATAAGCAATAAGAAAACTTCTGTATGGCAAATGTAAATCTCCATTGGGCCCAAATTCTACTCCTTTACTGAGGACTGGAGAGCTGGGCATAAGCAGAGTCTGGTTCCACCTCTTTGAGAAGCATCATCTGTAATTTCCTTGGTGAAGAAAAATGAGTGATGAGGGCCAGTAGGTCTCAGGCATAAAACCTCAGCTCCTTAAAGTTCTTCAGGGTTTGTCACGTGATCACGTACTGTTTGTTCCAAGGACCACACCCTCACTTCTCAGTTCCCTTTGGTCTGGTGGCCTTACCCAGCAGAATGAGCTTGCTGGTCTCCCAGGTCTCTATGTGATTATCCCAAAGGAGCCAGAGAACTGCCAGCTGTGGAAGCTGCACGGCTCAGCATAGAACCTGGACATACTAGCCCTTTCGGATAGTACCCATCTCTCCCACTGCCTCCAAGAGACTGAGCTCTGGTGTGGCTTTGAAGTATTAGGCTCTTTGGCATGGCTGACAGGCTATGACTCTTCTCCCAGCGGCCAGCGACAGTGACTACCCCCCAGGGGAGATGTTCCTAGACAGTGACATGAACCCTGAGGACTCCAGCACTGATGGTGTGTTGGCTGGTATTACACTGGTGGGCTGTGCCACTCGCTGCAATGTGCCACGTAGCAACTGCTCCTCTAGAGGGGACACCCCAGTACTGGACAAGGGACAAGGTGAGTCTTGGGCAGCCTTCTCTCCATCCACTTTGTTCCTCCCATCTCTGCCCAGCTGATCTCAACCCTCCTTTCACAGGAGAGATGGCTGCCGCTGCCAATGGGAAGGTGAACCCATCCCAGTCCACAGAGGAAGCCACAGAAGCTACAGAGGTGCCAGACTCTGGGTCCAGCGAGCCAGTAGCAGCTGCAGTGCGGCCTGGGCCCCTCACAGAACATGTCTTCACAGACCCTGCTCCTGCCCCACCCTCTAGTACTCAACCTGGCAGGTAGGCTTTCTTACATCCAGCAAGACAGAAATAGAGGGGAGATTGGCAGGGGTCTCAGGGCAAGGGTCACAGATAATCTTTGAGCCACCTTGAATCCACCATCCTTCTTGCAGTGAGAATGGGCCAGAAGTCGGTGGCAACAGTGTACAGCCCCAGCCGGAGCCCGCTGGAGACCCATCAGCACCAAGTAGCAGTGCTGCGCCTACCATGTGGCTAGGAGCCCAGAATGGCTGGTAGGCGGCCTAGGGCAAGGGTTGGAGGGCTCCCTGGCTCTACCTGTACTTGTGTCCATGCCCACCTCAATCTGCTTCCACAGGCTGTATGTGCACTCAGCTGTGAACAACTGGAAGAAGTGTCTGCACTCCATCAAGCTGAAGGATTCTGTGCTGAGCCTTGTGTATGTGACCTCTCACCAAGGGCTGGGGGTCACATGGGGACCCAAGTGGCCTGGCCAGCTCACTGCCTTCCCATTTTAGGCATGTCAAAGGCCGTGTGCTGGTGGCTCTTGCAGATGGGACTCTGGCCATCTTCCACCGTGGTGAGGGTAAGGATTGGTGGCCTTACCACAATTGGCAGGGGTGCTCCCCTGGGTCTCCTGGGGCTGTCAGTCTCACGGTGAGTTCTCCACCCCTACCTATGAGTAATAGGACCCTGGCCCGCCTGAGCAAGTGTCATGGGCTCTCTCTAGATGGCCAATGGGACCTAAGCAATTACCACCTGATGGACCTGGGCCACCCACACCACTCCATCCGCTGCATGGCTGTTGTGTATGACCGCGTCTGGTGTGGCTACAAGAACAAAGTGCACGTCATCCAGCCCAAGACAATGCAGATTGAGGCAAGTGCTGACCAGCAGTGGATACCAGCAGTGTGGCTCCCAAGTGGAGAGGGAGGCTAAGTGGACAACCACTTAGAGAAATTGCTCCTTTGTTTAAAGGCATGGGCAAGGAAAGGGCACCTAGGCTATAGTTGTTAGTCTGTCTGGATCCTGCCATGTGCTGTGTTCCCTTAAAACAAATCAAGGACACACATCTCTCCTGTGGCTTGGTTTTCACCCAGGGCCTAGACCCCTGGGAGCAATGCAGATGCTGGATCAGAGGCTAGAGTGTGCTAAATAGGTATTGGGGTGGCCCCTGGGGCTGTGGCAGGTTCAGGGTCCCCTCCCCATTCTCTCCTTCCCCAGCCCCGCTGATTGGCTGCCATGACCCCACAGAAGTCATTTGATGCCCATCCAAGGCGGGAGAGCCAGGTTCGGCAGCTGGCATGGATTGGTGATGGGGTGTGGGTGTCTATCCGCTTGGACTCTACTCTCCGGCTCTACCATGCCCACACCCATCAGCACCTGCAGGATGTGGACATTGAGCCTTACGTCAGCAAGATGCTGGGTGAGTGGCAGCACTAGGGGGAGCAAGGTGGGGATACTGACATGGGCCACGCTGACCTAGCACCTCCTGCCCTCACCCAGGCACTGGCAAGCTGGGCTTCTCCTTTGTGCGCATCACAGCTTTGCTCATCGCAGGCAACCGCCTCTGGGTGGGCACTGGCAATGGGGTTGTTATCTCCATCCCGCTGACTGAGAGTAAGTGACTCCTATCCTGAGGATACCTGCACAGATAGTGATGGCTATTCCTAAAGGGCACACATTGGGATGGAGTGGGGGGACCCTACACAAAGCTATCCACACCCTGGTGGGCCCAGCCACCCTGGCTATAGCCGTACTCATCTCCACCTCTCCTCACCAGCTGTGGTTCTGCATCGAGGCCAGCTCCTAGGGCTCCGGGGTAAGTACACACCACTGCCTCTGCCCCAGACACAGCCCAAGGTGGTCACTCTGTTCCTCTCCTATCCTTTCTCTCCCATCCTTTACCTTCCCTCTTCTCCTGCTGAAAATGAGATGGCTCAGTGTCCTCTTCATCTCCAGCCAATAAGACATCTCCCACATCTGGGGAGGGCACCCGCCCTGGGGGCGTCATCCACGTATACGGGGATGACAGCAGTGACAAATCAGCCAGCAGCTTCATCCCTTACTGCTCCATGGCTCAGGCCCAGCTCTGCTTCCATGGGCACCGTGATGCTGTCAAATTCTTTGTCTCAGTGCCAGGTGAGGGGTTACCCCTGCTCTCCCCTGCATGCCATGACTCTACAGGGGTACAATGGTACCCCTCTAGGAGGCTGCCATACTGAGCCCTTTTGCCCCCATGACAGGGAATGTGCTGGCCACCCTCAATGGCAGTGTGCTAGACAGCCCATCTGAGGGTCCTGGGCCTGCTGCACCTGCTGTGGACACTGAGGGCCAGAAGCTGAAGAATGCACTAGTGCTGAGTGGTGGTGAAGGCTACATTGACTTCCGCATTGGTGAGGGGGCACTGCCCAGGGCAGGGTTGTAGGTCTTGGCAGCCAGGAGCTGCTCCTGACTGCTGTGACCCTCTAGGGGACGGAGAGGACGATGAGACAGAGGAAGGTACAGGAGACATCAGCCAGGTGAAGCCCGTGCTATCCAAGGCGGAGCGCAGTCACATCATCGTGTGGCAGGTGTCCTACACCCCAGAGTGAGGCCACTGCCCCAACTCCCTACCCTGCCTGATGCCAATGTGTACATAGGATCCCTGCCTGCCTGCCCTTTGTCTCCTCCCCTGGGGCAGCCAGGAACCTGACCACCCCCTTCTAACCTCTCAACTTGCAGCTTTGACCTGAAGTCCAGCCCCCTCCCCCCAGCTGGCAGGGAGAGGGGTGATACAGGTAACAGGGAGGGAAGCAGGGAGCAGGCTGCATCCCCAGCAGAGAGGGGAGAATCTCTGGGAACACCTTCTCAATAGTACCTGGCTGGCACCCAGCCCAGTGTCATCTAGTCTTAAAGGGTAAGGGTAAGGCTGAGGTGGCTGTGGCCCACTATGGGCTTGCCACTCGTAGGACCCCCATGGCAGGACCAGAGGCTTTGAGCCACCAAGTCTTCCTGTCCTGAGTTGACCTGCTTTGCATGTTACCCATGAAAGTGGGGTCCCTTGGCCTCCAAGCTCTTACTCTTAAGAGGAGGCTCAGGCTGCCTGGACCCTAGCCAGCCTTCTATGGGTATTCCCTGTCCACAAACATCCAGTCCCTCAGCCCAGTCCAGGCTCCCTAGGGCAGCTTCTTCAGAAGACAAACCAGGTGCCATCCAGCCCAGCCCTTGCTGACTTGTGTCCTTCCAGGCTCTCCTTGGGCCCAGGCTCACCTCCTAAGAACAAGATCTTAAGAGTCACACCCCTCCCTGAGGCCCCTAGGGTAGAATTTCGCGGCCTACCAGGTCTCTGGTTTCTTCTGGGGGATGAGGATTGATCCAAACCAGGCATGGTGGTGCACACCTGTGATCCTAGCACTTGGGAGGCTGAGGCAGGAAGATTGTAAGTTCAAGATGTCTGGGCTACAGACTGAGCTCAAGGCCATCCTGAATGACATAGCCAGGCCAGCCTGTCTCAAAAAAAAAAAAAAGTTGGTCCATAGGCCTCTCTTTTGCGATAAAATAGGGTGGGGAAGGGGGTTGTTCCAGAGTGCAGGCTCCAGCCTCAGGTTGATGGGGGTGGTGTGCTCTTGGAGTCTGTCTGCTGCACAGGGCTCCAAGGAGCCCAGCTCCCAGACACGAACTAAGTGCCTAGGGTTGCCCGCTGTGGCCTGCTCCCATGAAGAGCAAATGGTGAGGGGCTGCCCAGCAGAGGACAAAGACAGGGCTACTGCACCAGGCCCTGGGCTGCCCTCCTTACCCACCTTCCCCGCCCAGGCCTTACTCCAACTCCAAGGCACTGATAGGGCAGCATGGCCCCTGCTGCCCATCACCCCCTAGAGAAGCACAGATCTTAGGGTGTTATGCCATGAGCCCAGCTGGCCACCATAGGCTGCAGTTATGTGCAGCTGCAGGCTTCTCCCCACTACCCACCCTGCCACCTCTCCACTGTGATGTATGTCCCTGTCTGTCCCCACAGGAGCTGAAAGTGACGGGTTTAGAGGGTGGGTGGAGCTGGAAAAAGGGGCCGGTGCAATTTTCCTCAGGCTTTATTTGGTCCTGCTAGTGAACCCACATATCTGCTCTGTATGTAATAAACGTCTTGACACCATGCCTCTGCTTCCCCAGGATCAGACCAGTGAGCATGTGGGTTTTTCTCAATTTATTATGAAAACAAGTGTGGGTGAGATGAGTGTGGTGAGTCCAGGTGCTATGGGTCTGGGTGGTGGCTCTGCTGCAAAGTAGCTGTGATGCGTGGCCTGCACCCACTGCCTAGAGAAGCTCTGCAGGCTGAGTGGTCTTCCGCCAGGCTAGCTCCTCCTTACACAGCCAATGCGAGGCCACTGTCCTCCCAGCTTAGGATCTCTTCCTTGTGGAACCAGAGTTCCATCTTCTGGCCGGCCACGCTCTCCTGGGAGTCGCTGCCATGGCTCAAATTCCTGAGGTGCAGAGCAGGAGCCAGCTGAGCAGTGCTAATGGTAGGGTGTGATCAGGCAGTACAAAAGTAATTGTGTGGGCCTTACTTTCCAGCCTCTGCAGAAATCCCCACGGATGGTGCCAGGTTTGGCATCCACTGGGTCTGTGGCCCAGTAAGGGCCTGTGCCAGGTGCGCACCACTTCCAGTCCCTGCCACACCTGCACAGGAGGTGGGGAGGTAGCGTGGGCAAAGTTTTGAGACCAGGGCACCAGCCTATCCACTATTGAGAACTCACCATGGCCACCACGGGCCCCGAGCCCATGTATTTGACCAGCTGACCATAGAAGGGGCATCCGTGCAGATCAGCATAGTGCTCCCTCAGCAGTTCCTCAGAGGCCTGGGGAAGGGACATCCGCGTGCGCGCCTGGGCCATGTTCCTAGCCCAGTCTGCCCAGCAGCGCGCCCCTGCACCGCCCACTGCCACACCTCGCCTGCACCAGCTTCAGTGCCACTAGCTAGAAGCGCCGCACTCTTATCTCTCCCACCAGCCGCCGCTGCACCACATCGGGCTTCACAGCCAAAAAGGTGCGCTCAGGCAGGCCTCCACTGGCTGAGGAGAGCAGGTCATTAGGCCTGCTCCATAGCACACCTCACTGCACGCCCCTGCCAGACCCACGGCTCAGCCGCTGGGAAGAGCTGAACCAAGATGGTAAGCACCAGGCAGATCATGGTGACAGCAGGCGCGGGGCGGGGCCAATAGGGCCAGCAGGCGCAGGGTCAACAGGCTGCGCCGCGCCGCACCTTACCACGCCCAACCCGCATTGGCAGGCTCAAAAGAAACTACGACCCAGGCCTTTTACAGTGTTTATTCCCGGGCCCAGGAGCGAGGAAGAAGCTTCTTGTGGTCTGACTGCCAGCCCGCTGCGCCCTGCAGCCCACCCTCGGGGTCCTGTACTCAGGTCCTTGTATCAAAGTCCCCCCAACCTCCCCCCATCAAAAGGCAAGATTTTCAGCGTCTATTTCGGTCCTTGTTTGTTAAACTGGGGTGCCCTTGGCCTTGCCTTTGGCTTCCAGTTTCTCAGGATAGTCCCAAGGATCCGCGTGCGTCCTCTCCAGGCTCAACAAGGGTTCCTCTGCGCTAAGATTCCCAGTTTTCTGCCGATCCGCGAGGATCATGGCGCGGAGCAGTGGCGGGTAGGGCACGGAGCGCAGGTCGTCTTCGGGCCCCGGCGTGAATGATGTGAAGGCCTCCTCCTCGTGCTTGGGCACCACCCGCCAGTCGTGGTGCATAACATGCTGGATCTCCCGGGCCTCACTCTCTGTCTTACCTGAGGAAAGGAACAGAGCTGTTCACGCGCTCCAGCTTCCGCCCACCCAGCTCCTGAGTCCCGGCCTCACCTTTGAAGGTCAGGACACCCCAGGCCTTCCCGTGGTCCAAATTCTGCGGAGCAAAAGGGGCGGGTAAGTTCTGAAAACAGCTCAACCCGGGGCTCGAGCGGAACAGGGGTCTGGACTGGGATCGCGCACCTGCGCTGTATGGTCGGGCAGTACTCGTGTGAGGCGCCAGTAGCACGGTTCGTCGTGCTGCCACAGCCAGGACTTGCGCGTAACCAGACGACCCAGGCCGAAGCGAGGCAAGCGGCTGAGCAACTGCAAGAGGCGGCTCTCGCGGCGCACGTCGACCCAGGCGCGTACTGGGAGCCGGTAGCCTGTGTACGGCCGCGTCAGAGTCTCGTAGTCCAGGGCGTAGCGCTGTGAGTCGTGCGGCTGGTCCCGCTGCTCACGCAGAGCGCGCACTCGGCGGGCCAGCTCGGCGATCAGCCGCGGCCTCACCTTCTTCCTTGCCATCGTTGCTGCCCGGCCGGCGCCCACCGGAAACTAGCGTGCTCTGATCCCTCCCACACCGGAAGCGGTTGGTGTCCAAGACAAATGCGTCGGAGTCCGGCCGGAAGCGGAGAGGAGGCTGTCCCATGACAGAGGCTGGCCGTAGGAGGGCCGCGAGCTCGCGAAGGGCTCGGGTCCGGAGCCAGCGACTGCCCCCGACTTGGGAGATTTCGGATTCGGACTTTGAGGGTGACACTACGGCAGAAGAGGGTGCTGGGCCCCGGAACGCTGCAGAGGAGCACAAGGTAGCACCTGAGACATGGCGGCCAGAGAAGGCTTTGCAGCGCTTGACGGTGCGCGTGGACCCAGGTGCAGGGATATGGGCCCTGGGGCGGGAGACGTGGGCCCAGGCTCGGTGACATTCTTTAGAGCAGAGCCCAGCTGACTCAGTTGCTGGCTGGGCGTGTCCTTCCTGCATCCTGGGGTGGGGGTCCCCAGCCATTCCAAAGGACCAGCTGTGTGGGATGTTAACTCTAGGGAAGAGTAACACGAGGCGGGGGATGGGAAGTATTTAAGCTTTCTGTGGGGCTGCACCCGCACCCCGCAAGTTCTGCGTGGGAGCGTATAGTGACCGAACTATACCCTGCGGCCCAGCTGTCCTGGAAGATGCCGGCTCAGATATCCTGATGGAAGCACTGAGTGCCCTGGGCTGTGAGTGCTACATCGAGCCGCAGAGTCCAGCCCGCAGCCTGCAGTGGAGTGGAGTGAGGCCTAACCCCCAGCCCCCAGGCGTGAGTGCCCCCTGAGAGTGCAGCTTGGGTCCCAGACAAGCCTGGCAAAGGGGTGGACTGAGTGAGACATTCTGGGTTCCTTATCACTCTGCCAGAAAGAAGCCATCTCTCAGTTGCTGTCAGAGAATGTTCCCCCTCAGAGAGCCACGGGTTAGGGCCAGTTGGAACCTGACATGAGATTTTTAGAAAGCAGACCTGGGTGTGACTGGGGGAGGTGCTAGGGTGACTGTAATGGCCCTGGGGACCCAGGATGAGATTGATCATTAGCATTCAATGTCCCCACAGGTGTTTCCTGAGGTGTGGGCTGCACAGGACCAGGAGCTACTGCTGCTGTTGAAGCCAGAAGAATTTCTGCAGGGTGTGACTCAGCTTATCCAGGTGCTGTCCTTTGCATCCTGGTAGTGGGGATCCCCAGCCAGGCAACAAAGCTTCTCTAGTTATCACTCTAAGGGCTAGGGGCATGGGTGAGCTAGGGGTTCTCTGGTCAAAACTGCAGAGGTGTTGAGAGTAAGGTTTGCCTATGACAGGCAAAAGCCCATCCCTTATCCGGGTGCTCAGTAGCCTGTGTTGGAGGAGAATCAGAATGCCTACCTCATGACTACCTGGGCATACCTGTTACAGTATCTGCTGGGCCCAGCATCCAAAGGTCAGCGTTTGTTGAGTTCTTGATGTATGTCAGGTGTAAGCCCACTAGGATACAGAAGTGGCCAAAAACAAGATTCCTACTCTCGTAGAATCTGGGATGTTCCCAGCAGTTTTCCTCAGTCTCCTTGACTTTAAAATGATACAGGGTTTATATTCTTGAGACTCTGCTCCTCTCCTGCAAACTGGCTGTGGGTGGTGGCCTGTGACTCTGGTGCCACAAACTTCCTGTCAGTAAGTGTGAACAGGTGTGCTGTATGTCTTGTCTCAGACCTTAGGTTCACCCTGCTCTGTGCCCTGGATTTCTGCTGAGAGCCCTGTCCACCCCCATGTGGCTGTCATTGGGCTGGATGCTTACCTTTGGTACTGTTTACCCTAATGCCTTTAGCAAACCTGGCTGAGTTCCTGGGGTATGTGGGGGTGGTTCTACAGAGTGCTGTGTGAGTCCCCTTGCCCAGGATAGGCTCTGGTGGAAGCAGAACCCATGAAGGGTAGGACTGAGGGTGTGTGAGGATTGGCAGGACGGTTACCTCTGTTTAGGTCTCACCAGCCGAGTACCCAGGGGACACAGCAGCCACAGAGTCCAGAGATGGTTGAGACTCACCTGACCATTGGCTGGCCTGAGGTTGAAGAGGTAAGAGTCAGCCTGGATTGTGTGGCACAGTTGGCTTTGTCCAAGTACAGGGGCTATTCTCATGAATAGACCCTCACCCATACCCATGGCTTGCCCCCTCTTAGGCCTTGGTGCTCCTGCAGCTCCTTAGAGACCTGGATGTGCTTTTGGTGGCCTCATGGCAGGAGCTGAGCCAGCATGTATGCTCCTTCACCAAAGCCCTTGCCCAACGTCCTTCCAAGTATGTGCCCCTGCCCAGGGCTGAGGTGGACTACCTACAAGGGGTGGAAGAAATACCTGCTGAGAGCAGGAAGGCTTTGCTAAGCTCAAGAGATAGAGGGCCAACCTCTGAAAAGCCAACCTCTGAATGAAATACCTGTCATTCCTGTCATAGGCAGTACCGGGACTCCAAGGCCTTTTCGTTCTGCACAACAGGACGCTGGGCCTCAGGCCAAAGAGTGGCCAGAAATGGCTCTGGGCTACAGGGGGTGTGGTGGAGGCAGATTCAGCAGTTTAACAGGGTCAGCCCAGCTGTAGCTGACGCTGTGGTTGCTGCCTTCCCCTCCCCCCGCCTTCTGCAGCAGGTGAGTCCCCCTAAGTATTTCCTTCTCAAGAATGGAAACCAGGTCCCTAAGGAACACTCTGCTCATGTCAGTTCCTGTCCTAGGCACTCCTGGCCTGCAGCACAGAACAAGAGCGCCTGGGCCTCTTGGCTGACCTTCCTGTGAAGCCCCACAAAGGCAAGCAACACCGCAGGGTGGGGCCTGACCTCTCCCGCAGAATCTGCCTCTTCCTGACCACTACCAACCCTGACCTCCTGCTGGACCTGGGCTCCTGAGCACACCCATTGGGCTTCCTCCCACATCCATCAACAGGACAGTATATAGCCCAACACACTAAAGGGCAGGACCTAAACCTACCGAAGGTAGACTAGGGTGGACTCAGTTGGTCAGGTCTGAGCTTATGGGTGGGTGAAGGGGAGGGAAGTTATGAAATGAGCAGAAATGAAGTGAGCGCTTCCCCAGTCCAGAGGTGACATTTAGCAAAAAGACCTGGAGAAAACGGGGACTTTTGGCTATAGATCTGGCTTCAGGGTAGCCAAGCAGCAGGGCAATGTGTCCAGAAGAGGTGTCAGACAGCTTCCAGGTCCACAGCTACCAGAGGCTTCAAGGGTGGCTTCCTTGGGAGGAGTATGAGATCTTAGGGAGAGGCGAACCAGGCCTGACCCTTTCAGACTGTTGGACAGCCAGACCTGACAGGAAGAAAACTGGACACAAAGGAGGCCAAGGCCTTGAGATGGACTCTTTAATCTTACAGCTGTGTGGGCATTTGTGACAATTAAAGTCTCTGTGACAGGCGCAGCAGCTGACAACATGCAAAGCAAGCTAAGAAAAAATCCAGGTCTGGCAGGAACAGAAAGAACTAAGCTCCAGCAGAACCCTTCTCTTTCTGGGGCAGCAGACACCTGTGCCCCTGGCTCCCAGTCTGGGTCCAGAGGTACTCAGGCTGCTCCTCCCAAGACACTCAAGAGGGAGACACAAGGGCACAGGTATGGCTTGTGCCCTGCCCAGCTCAGGCAGCTGGGTGGACTGGCAGCCTGGGGCCCTGGGGCCCCTGAAGAAAAGACTGTCTTGGCCCTGGGAGAGATGATTTCAGCCCAGCTCTCCTCTCTCCTGCTGGATGGAAAGAAGCCAGGGAGGGAGAGAATGCTAGTCACAGGCTGAGAAGGCAGTCTTCATCAAGAAATAAAATCAGGTCCGTCGGCAGCGTTTTCTCTGGCAGGGCCTGGTCTCTGGGCTGCTGGGGCTGGTCAGATCTGCTGCCCTAGGTGAGGACACAGCAGGCTTGTGGCTGCAGTTCATGCTCAGTACCCAGCCCAACTTGTTGTATAGGGCCTGCTTAAGGCCAGGTGGCAGGGGCAGGCCCTCAAGGGTGTCTCCTGAGTTTGGTCGCAGCTGCCGCAGGCGGTAGCAGCATAGGTACTGCAAGGAGGTCATGCTAGCGCAAGAACGGATCACCTTCATGCTACTCTTTGCTGCTGTGGAGCACACCATTGGGTAAAACTTCTTGTTCTGTAGCCGAGTGGCCGCCACCCCTGGAAGTAAGACACGGGGAAGGGAGGCCTGCTTGCCAGGCTCAGCCCTCCCATAACCCATGCTGGGGTGGCTGAGGGAAGCAGCTTGTGCAGCTGTGAGAGAGGATGCTGGTCGAGGGGACTCCATCATGGCCCCTGAGGTACATGCACATACACACCCCCACCCACCCACCCTGGGGCCTTGGGTTTCTGAGTTTCCACTAAGGGTTAGGCCAAGTGGTGCCCTCACCTATGCACTTCCTGTTCTTAAAGAAGGTCAGTGTCCCGTGCCAGGTATCCAGGTGCACACCAATGATGGAGCCCTGGCCAAACCTCGAGGAAAAACTTGTCTTGTCGCCCTTATGATGAAGAAGCCCTAAGGACAACTGAGTATGTAAGCCCAGAATCTGTAATGCTGCCCTTCCCACCAGCCTACCCCACTTAAGCCACACGCACCTGTATAGGACAGGCCCCAGCTGTCCTCATCCCTACCAAGAAGGCTGCAGAATGTGTGCTGATACTTGTCCAGGTCCACATCTGATGTTCCAATGCCCACCATCTGGGGACAGTGGGGTTGACCAGGGGCTATTGGGCCTGGGGCCTATGGTAGCTGCCCTCAAGCCAATGGCCACTTACCATATCAGTGCCATAGACAGGTGAGGTCATCTTAATCTCCCAGAAGTGTTGGCCATCTCCCAGCTCCTTGGTACCCCGAATAGCTGCAGTACCACAACTGTACTCCATGTGGAAGCTGACCTTGCGGTTATCACAGCTAAGCAGGGTGGCTGATGACTTATTTAGGTCATCCCAGACCCAATCAAAATCTGCAAAATCAAAACAAGAGACCTAGGCTGAGGAGGGCCCCAAAACCACAAGGTCTCCCTGTACATCCAGGAGGGCCTGACCCAGGTGCTCACATTCATCCTCCTCTCCACAGCGGCAGTCCTTGCCACGGTGGGCCATGTGCAGACTGCTGCAGAAGGCAGCCTCACTCTGTCCCTCGCAGTCACAGAACGACTCCCCTGTCACAGGTACAGCACTGGGAATGGATGGTGGCAGAGATGAGTACTCTGGTTCGGAATCCGAGTCACTGTGCTAGAAGAGAGAAGGAAGCTATTCCTACTGGTCATTCACCCTCTACTTACCACTCACCTCTACCACCACAAGCCAGACTGTTAAATTCCACCTGAAGGGGGATAGGTACCAAGGACTCCTTGGCGTCATAGGTGCACACAGCTCAGTACTAACACCTGACACAGTGGCCCAGCCACCCCCATTTCCACACGTGGGGGCCCTGGATACCCAGCCACCATGAAGCATCAAAGGCAGGGCCTATCAGTTCTGCCCTCTAGTATTCAACAGCTTCTTGATGACCTAGCCCTGCCAGACCATGTGGGGCTTAAGCCTGTATGGGGCTGAGGTCATCTTGTCACCAAAGCCAATGGAGTGTTCTCTTAAAGCCCAGCGGGCTTATACTGCTGCTGCTATAAGAAACATCAGAACTGTCACTACCTCCAAGGGGACACAGTTTTGTGGTTCAAGTTCCAAGTCCTAGGGCTGATGTTGGCCCAGTGGTTAGACACCACAGCTGAACTGGTCAGGTTCTAGCAATGAGCCAGCCCATAGGCTCTTGCAGGAGAGCAGTTGAGAAGGGGTTCTCCACAGGCTTTCCTACTTCAATATGCAGATCTTTGAAATACCTGCCTCAGCTCTAGACCCCAGGCCAACCTGCTCAGGGGCCAGGGAAGTTACAAATACTCCATGCCAGTCTGCTCCATCAGCCCTATGATCCCTAGGCCCTGCTCCAGCCTTCCTGCCACATACCTGCACACCAGCACAGGTGACCTAAAATCTGGGCACTGTCATACCACAGGGTCCTGCTGACACAAAGCCAGCCCCAATCCATATCCAAAGTCCTGCCCTCTGCCATATCAATTCACACCAGCTTTGCTCCATAGCACTATAGTCACTGGCTTTGCCATGGATAGATGGTTGAGGTATCACTCCAGCCCTTTTTAAACTCTGAGACCAGGTCTTACTGAGTTGTCCAGATTAAGCTCTAACTTGTGTTGGCATTTGTGTGTATGTGCACCTGTGGTGCTGGGGCTCAAACCTAGAGTCTTGTGCCTACAACTTGAGTCACATCCCTAGCCTTTAGGCTTTTTTTTTTTTTTTTTTTTTTTTGGTACTGGGGATTGAACTCACAACTGTGCTTACAAAGCAGGTGCTTATGCTACTGAGCTAAGTCCCCAGCCCACCCTTTAGGCTTTAACTTGAGATCTTCCTGTTTCAGCCTCCTAGACTGCTAGGATTATAGACATGTGCCACTGTTCCCAAGGACCCTTTCCCAGATTCTTTTTATTACATTTCACTTTCTGCTAGTGTCCTGTTTTCCGCCTCCTCCCACTAAACCCTGAACTCTTCCTAGTGGGATCTGTTCCTCCAAGTTTTCTGTGAATGAAGCCACATGGTATCTTAAATGGATGAGAAGGTCTGCTGCATTTGAGGAGAAACTGCCCAAAGACTTCTAAGTATATACTCAAGTGGACTCTGCCTCAGGAAACTACCACACGGGAAGCTCAGGCAGCCCCAAAGTGAACATAGGCCAAGCCACCTGCCTCCAGACAAGGCAGGCCCAGGGGGACTGTACCCAGCTGGCATAGGAAGGCCTTGCAACACCAAGGTAAATCCACTGAGTCAGGAGCCAGAGCACTAGGTCAAACTGACCTGGAGAGGAGGCAGACTTGACCCTTAACAAGCCTTAAGGAGAACACTGGAGCAGAGGGAAGAGAGAAACACCCAGGATGACTAGCTAACACCCGCCCACACACAGGTACCGTGGGCCCATTAGGTGACAGGACAAACAGCATGCATGTGTCACACTGCCCAGCCCAGACACCACCTGTACCCCACAGCCATGAGGCTGTGAGGCAGGGATGCAAGCAATAGACTGCTTCAGGCTTCGTGGTCAGAGCTAGAGGCATGGAAGGAATATAGGCCAGCCTCTCAAGCTCAGCCCCAAAATGCTATCAGCCAGACCAGTAAACCTATGCCTCCCACCTCTACAAAGCCAAAGAAGGGACCATTTCTGGCCAGGACATCTGTCTAGACCAGGCTACATGTACAGAGCTATAACTGTCCAGCCTCAAGAAGTCAAATGAAAAGCCATCCCAATTGCCTGCCCCATCCCCACCAAACTGTACTGCCTCAGGGATAAAGGCCATTCAGCCAGCCTCCCAGGTCTGGCCACAGATGACATGGGCACAGAGCTGAGCATCTTCTGGCCACTTTACTTTTTGGAGGGCCTACCTGAGCTCAGTCATGCTGGTATCCAGCTGTATCCCAGCACTTTGGGAAGCTGAGACAGAGAATAACAAGTTCAAGCCCAGCCTGGGGAACTTAATGAAACACAATGCAAACAACAGGCTTGGGAACATAGTTCAGAGTGAAGATCTTAAGTCAATCCCAGTACTGCCAGAAAAAAATAATAGTCCCCTTTTACGCATGTAGCTGAATACAGAGAACACATCTGCACTCCAGAAAAAAACACCTGGAAAGACACACACAGCAACTTAACAACAGTTACCTCTGGAAATTGGCTGGGCAGACAAAATAGAAAATTTCTGTTGTACAATCTGACCAAAGCCAGCAGTCAGCCTCTCTCATACCAGAATCATCACAGAAGAGAATGGGAAAGAACCCATGCTTAGCCAGGCGCAATGTCACATACATATAATCTCAGCACTTGGAAGGCTGAGGCAGAAAGAGGATTACTCTGAGTTCAAGGCCATCCTGGGCCACATAGTGAGTTCAAGCCCAGCCTGAACTACACAGCAAGGCCCTGTCTCAAAAGCAAAGAAAGAAAACAAATTCATGTTTGTCCTAAGATCGTGCTACCCCCAAGCTGTATGACCTTTACTAGATCAGAACCTGGCTGGACATAGCACACCCAGTAATCACCTATCCTCTGGCTCAGGAACATTTCTCTTTGAATCCTTATGCTTTAGCCTACAATAACCACCTTGCTACTGGGACCTACCTGCCCATCAGAGTCGTAGCCCCAGTTAGGGGTGCTTGCCAGGCTTACAGCCCTGGCATCCGCGTCTCGGCGGGCTGCGCTGAGGACGAAATGCCATGCCCTGCTGCTCCGGGGTCGCCTCGCCATGGTGAACAGGACCTGAAGGGAAACAGGCCCAGAGCCAGATGGACACACAGCCCACAGCTGTATGACCTACAGACCCCATCCCAGTGCTCTGCCCTTGGAACTTGGCCTCTACTTGGCAGGTTGGCCCACAGACCCACCCAAGGGTGGGGGCTCCATGGCACTGGATGCTGACCTGGGGCTCTGGAACTTTTCACAAGTCCCTACCTGGCTCCAGTATCTGAGCACCTTGATCAAACCGAAGAAGATGGTGTGAAACACCACCCAAACGCCCATGACTGGAAGACACCACTCAGCCCACCCTGGAGTTCCACTCTGGAGCCCAGCTGCCCCTCGGACATCTCACACCCGATTCACTCCTCCTCTGCTGTCCAGTTTGACAAATGGCATCTCCAGCCTCCAGTTCCTCATGCCAGAAGCACCGCAGTCATCATCCCTGACTCGACCTCTTCCTTCCCGCCACACCTGCAGCCATCCTCGCTCTCGCTAGAGCCCAAACATCATCTCCCGAACCGCAGAACACTTCCGCTCGACTTCTCCAGCCTCCCACCCTACAACCGAGCTCTCTTTTTGAAATAAATTTAGGATCTGTTCAAAGCTTGCCAGTTTCCGGGGTAAGATGCGAGGGGCTGACTCTAATTCACCTTCTCGGTCCACTAGCTGGAGCTGTCCTGCCTTTTACCCGAATACCTCCTATCCCCTGCAGACCCCAATTTGTAGACCCCTTCATTAGCCGTACCAAGTGAATGCCCGGGCAGGCTGCTCCAGGCCGCGGCCGGCCCCCTTGCCACCCTTAGGGCCTAGGGCTGCTGTTCACCGACCTCGGCTTCCGGCAACGCTGCAGGTAGTGCCCGACCCTTAAGCCGCAACCCGGCCGGCCCGCGCCGATCCCACAAAGACAAAGAGAGGCTGGCCTCCTATTCCGCAAGGTTAGCGCTGCGCCGGCCGGCCAAGCCGGACCGGGCGCCGTTCACCTGCTGCCGCTGCTGGGGTCCGCGGGCCCTGACCCACTTTCCGCTCCGCCCGAGACGTAAACAATCCCCGCCCCCGCGCCGCATTGGCCCGGAGGCCGGAGGCGGGCCCGCCATGTCAGGACTTCTCGTAGGGATGGGTTTCCGATGATCACAGCTGCTACTGAAAGGTTGCAAAATCTGTCAGTCTGGTCCAGACCTCCTCATTGGCTACAGTTGGGGACGACCCCCGCACGCCCATTGGACGTCGGAGCGAACACGAAAGTAGTTCTTGCTCCCCTACGTGCTTTGCGCCGGAACCAGAGGGCCCAGTTTGGCAAGGCCTCGGACTACTTGATTGGCTGGGGGAGCGTCAAAAGAAACCAGGGGCGGGCTTTTCACGCTGTCCGTCTGCTGGAGGTGCGCAGGGCTGGCGGAAGGAGCTGCTTTCACAGGTGGCGGCCAGATGGAGGGAGACACTGGTGAGCTTCTGGATCGGGGGACGTTTCTGTGGACCCGAGGGAGTCGTTGCCTAAGGGGGAAATCTTTGCCTGCCGGGGCGTGCGGGAACGAGGGGAATCTGTGCGAGTCTGGCAGGCTCTGTGCGGCCGGCTTGCAGTCTGCTGGGGGTGACCAGTGCGGAACACCAGTTCCCCTTGGGTACCCCGCGGCCTATCCCTGGTCTTAAACATGCCTCCGGGCGCGCGGGAACGCTATCTCGAGCTAGCTAGGTGGTGCGGAGACACGCTGGCGTGATTATGACTGTGCCAGGTCTTCAGCTTCATCAGCCTCCTCCTGACATCTGTGGGCCCAGGAGTACCTTTGCTTGGGAGTTTGAGATTTTTTGCCTTCTGTGACCCCCCTCTTCAGACAGGTGCAGGGATAGGTCAATCTGGAGCTGCTAGACCTTCCTTCTGTCTGAATGCCTTAGCTTTTATGGGTCAGAAGGGATAAGTGTCCCATTAGCTTTTATCCTCAGAGTTTGGTACGTGACACTGCTCAAATAAATGAGTAATGAGGGCCTGTGGTCTCTGGAAAACACCGAACTTCCCAACTTCTGCTTCTCACCAGAACCTGGGAACCTGGCTGGTGTGCGACACATCATCCTTGTCCTTTCTGGAAAGGGAGGTGTGGGGAAGAGCACTATCTCTACCGAGCTGGCCCTGGCGCTGCACCATGAGGGCAAAAAGGTGAGGCCCCTCCCTGAGCACTGCAGCTTAGCGCCAATTGCTTGACTCCTTGCACTTCGCGAACCTTTGCCATCTGGCCTGCTGCAGGTGGGGATCCTCGACGTAGACCTGTGTGGCCCCAGCATCCCGCGCATGCTTCAAGCACAGGGCAAGGCTGTACACCAGTGTGACCGTGGCTGGGTGCCTGTCTTTGTGGATCGGGAGCAGAGCATCTCCCTAATGTCTGTGGGCTTCCTGCTGGAGAATCCAGATGAGGCAGTGGTGTGGAGAGGTCCCAAGAAGAATGGTAATGACACTGCTGCATGCAAGCAGGCACAGATGGCCTTCCAGCCTCTCCCAGATGTCTTCTTAGAGCTTAGAATTAAAAAGTTTGAAGGGGCCGGGTGTTGTAGCACAGACCTGCACTCCCAACGTGCTGGGAGGCTGAGGCAAGAGGATCCATTAATTAAAATAAAAAAGGCTGAAGATGTAGCTCAGTGTGAAGGCCCTGAATTTTGTCCCCAGTTCAGGGGGAAAAAAAAGGCCAGAGGTGGAGGGCTGCCCTCCTTCCTTTCAAATAGGGGTGAGGGTTTCGTGAGGTCAAGGTCCGGTTCCCTGGAGTAGCAAATGACAATAAACTGTCCTAATTGCAGTGAGAGGCTGCTGGGATGATTAACTAGTACAGGGCAGGTCCTGGATACACCTGCAAGAATTTTCACAGCAGGCTCTCGCACAGGCTTGAGAGTTTGGTACAGACAACCCTAGGAGGTTGTGGCTCTCTCCTGAACTGAGGCCTTAGCGAGAATCAACGCCAATCACTGTTGCATTATCATGTGGAGACAGGGCTGGGTGCTGGGGGCCACAGAGCACAGGAGAGAAAGTATGCTTGTGAGGACAGGGATAGGCTCTACCATCTCACTGTTTTGCTCCTCTACCCTTACTAAGAACCCCCAGCAGGGTTCTCACTGCCTCAGTCTAATGCTGTAAGTGGTCCCAGAGCCTCCAGGCTGGTGAGGTGCCTCCTGAATAAGATACCTTTCTTCAGATTGCTGGTCCACATAGCACAGACCAATTCACCTCTTTCTCTGGGTCTTTACAGCACTGATAAAGCAGTTTGTGTCCGACGTGGCCTGGGGGGAGCTGGACTGCCTGGTGGTGGACACACCCCCAGGGACTTCTGATGAACATATGGCCGTAGTGGAAGCACTTCGACCCTATAGGCCCTTAAGGGCCCTTGTGATCACCACACCACAGGTATCATCCACAGCTGCACTCATCCCCTGAATGTATGATCTCTCCACTAGGCTCAGGTGTGGGGACCAGGTCTCCCTATTCATTATGCAATTTTAGGCTGAATTTGTAGCTGACTGGCCCATCCCTGTCTCTTGCTGTCTAGGCAGTGTCTGTGGGGGATGTGAGGCGAGAGCTGACCTTCTGTAAGAAGATTGGTCTACAAGTGATGGGGGTCGTGGAGAACATGAGTGGCTTCGTTTGTCCACACTGTGCGGTGAGTCCTGAGAAACAGCTAGGACTGTGACAGAGTTGACAAACACAGTACAAGCCAGGTCAGGCAGTATCTTCAGACCAGTCACTGTCGGCCCCTGGCCCTTAACATGATGAGCTTGGTCCTCATTACCCCTATCTCCTAGGAGTGTACCAGTATCTTCTCCAGGGGTGGTGGGGAAGAGCTGGCCCGGCTCGCCGGAGTTCCCTTCTTAGGTGAGTGTAGAAAATGGGCCCAGGGGCATCTCACTGGGGTCTCAGCTCTCATCCTGCCTCTGCTTTGGGTGGATCCAACTATACCCATGTAAGAATGGGAAACCCTGTGCCACCAGTGTGAAGTGTCGCCAGCATCAGCCTGGTTACCAGCAATGTTGGAGACTAATACTTACAGAGGAGCTAAATACAGGATGCTACCCAGCACTCGTGTGAGGTTCTGGGATCTTCTCTGGGGACACTGGTGCCCATTCTTCTCTTCCAGGTGGGTGATGAGGAGAGGCACAAGCTCTGGTAGCAAGTGGTGCTTGGACATAGGGCCTCACAGTACCAGCTTCTCCCAGACTCCTCTTTGTCTTTTCAGGCTCTGTTCCCCTGGACCCCGAGCTCACCAGGAGCTTAGAGGAGGGCCACGACCTCACCCAGGAGTTGCCTAAGAGCCCTGCATTTCCTGCACTCACCTCCATAGCTCGGAAAATTCTGGATAGTTTGCCCACTATGCTGTCCTGACAGCCTCTCCACAAGGGGCTCCACAGACAGCCTCCAAGACTTTCCACAGCAGAGATCCTAGGTGCATTCTGGGATCTACAGCACTGGCCAAGCAGTATCGCTGTGAGTGTCACCTCGCAGGCCCTGTCCTTGGAGAGGTTTTGTCACAAGTGGTGCACACTGACAGTAGTTCTCTCTGGCCAGCCTGTGGCTGAAGGACAGCTCAGGCCTGGTACCTTTTTTTGTTATGTGTTTTGTTTGTTTTTTGGTACCAGGGATCGAACTGATGACCTCATGCCTGCCAGGCAGGGGCTTACTCCATTGAGCTAAATCCCCAGCCACTTGATGTTTTTTAAGACAGTGCCTCACTAGTAATTTAGGTTGATCTTAAGCTCACAGAGTAGCCCAGGCTGGCCTAAAGCTCCTAGCAATCCTTTTCCCTCAGCCTCACAAGTGTTGGAGTTGTAGGTGTGCACCATCGCCCCTTAGCCTGATACCTTAAGATAGTAATGGTCTTAGCCAACAACTCAGACTTTCAGTCTAGTGGCCCAGATGGGCTAACCATTCCTGACAGCTGGCCATCCACACCATCTCCAAGCTGGCCCAGGCCTCCTGCTGTCATCTGGTGGCCTGAGCCCTGTGAATTGGGTTGTCAGGGCAGCATTCCTTGATGTGGTGAACTGGCCTCAGGCACTAGATGAAGCTGCCATTAAATGTATCCCACCACCTTGATCATGAGTCTGATGTTTGAGATCTCTTCCTAGTGATGACAGCATTTGCTTCTAAGCATTCCACAACTAGACCAGCCACTGTTCGTTTCATTGTTTTAGGCTTCTGATGACTGGGAATGTTTCTCCCGTCTCATCTGGGAGAGCTTGACAATATTTTGGTATTAGAAACCTGTGGGTGGCCATTCTTAGTGTTGATAGAACTGCCCTCTGCAGGCACAGGAGAGTGCTGAGGCTTTGGCTCAAATTTGGTCAAATTTAAACAAGCCAAGCATCCTAGGGGCCCTTTCCTCACGTTTCTGGGTAGGGCCAGGGAGGAAATATAATTCAAAAAACAGAATGGTGGCATCCTTCCAAGGGAAGAGCTCAGGCCTCCCAGAGAATGATTGGGATAGGATCCAGGGACCACATAGGCAGTGTTTCCTACAACCTGTGGAGAAGTGATGAGCTGTGCCTCAGTCTGCTCCCACTGGCTTAGTGGCAGTGCTACTGTGACTCACGTCTTGCCCCAGCACAAGCCAGTCTGCCAACAGTGGGCAGCATCAGGATGAGGTGCAGACCCTGACCACTGCCACTGCGAAAACACTGGTCTCTGTGCAGCACCCCCAAGTGGAGGGACATGATGTCAAGGTTTCAGGAGACACTGAGTAAGTCCCTGTAGTTCCTTGGGTTACATGTGTAGGAATGAGGTGGTGGCTTCTGAGACCTGTCTGGCAATAGGCGTGGGAACAGACAGCCAGGACAGCACAGGGAATGATCAAGGGAAATGAGAACACAGGTGACATCACCCCACTTTCCTTCAGCTTAATTTTCAAGGCCACACTCTTTTAATTGTGGACGCTGGAAAGGGCTGCTAGGCCCCCACCCTATTGGTCAGGTTTTTGGGCACCCACCAGTGCCCACGTCTTCAGAGCCTGGGTCACTCAGCTGCCAAGACTCTGTTCCCCAGGGAGTAAACAGCCCGGGGTTGGTCCCCATAGCTTGGTACAGTGAAGACCCATCCTAAAGGCCAGGGCCAGTCCAGCAGGAGCACTGAGGCCAGCAAACCTGGCTCAACAGTACATGAAATGAGTCTCACTAACATCCCGCAGGTCGAGGCCTGAGATGTTGACCGGGCTGGTGCAGGTGATATTGTTGTAAGTGTACACAGGCTGGCAATCATCTCCTTCACACATAGCCTGCACAAAACGGGGCACAACGCTGGGACACTGCAAGGCAAAGTCCCGCAGTGCCTTCAGGGGGCAACGGCAGTTCCATGGGTTGCCCTCAAGCCACAGGCGTTCCAGGTTGGCAAGAGGTGGCACAAAGGTCTGTAGGGAGTTGTTTCTGAGGTTGAGGTAGCGCAGCTGCCCCAGTGGTGAGAAGAGGTCCTCGGCCAGCACCTCTAAGTGGTTGTGTGAAAGGTCCAGCCAGAATGTTTGCTGTAGGGGCCCCAAGATGTCTGAGGGAAGTGCCGACAGCTGGTTGCGAGCAAGAAGCAGATACTCCAGCTGGCCCAGGCCTTGGAAGAGCCTGCGGGGCAGGTGTGTGAGCTGGTTGGAGGTGAGGTCGAGCTCTAAGAGCTCGGGCAGTCCACCCAGGCTCTGCTCATCAATGCTGGAGATGCTGTTGTCCCTGAGGAAAAGCCGGCGCAGCCCTGAGAGGCCAGCAAAGGTATGCAGGCGGATGTGCCCCAAGCAGCTGCCCTCTAGGTGCAGGCTGTGCAGCTTGCCTAGGCCCTGGAACACCTGCTCTGGGAGGTTCTGGAGACAGTTGCCGGAGAGGTTCATGACAGCCACATTGGAGAGGCCAAGGAAAGCACCCACCTTGATCTCCTGGATCTGGTTGTCATTGAGCGTAAGCACCTCCAGCTGCCCCAGGCCCTCGAATGTCTTCTCCACCAACTGCTGGATACGGTTGTGGCCAAGCTGCAGCTCCTCCAGGAAGTGGAGGTCTTTGAAAGTACGGGGCCTCAGGCTAGTAATGGCATTGTGTGCCAAGCGTAGGACATGCAGGCCCAGCAGCCCAGGGAAAGTGTCCTCCAGGAGGCCGGCCATGCGGTTGTGAGACAGGTCCAGCCAGCGCAGAGCCTTCATACCCAGGAAGGAGCCAGAGGCTACCGCTGTGATGAGGTTACGGTCTAGGTAAAGCTTCTGGAGTCTCGGTAGCTGCACAAAGACATTGGCCTTGATGCTTCGCAGTGTGTTCCTGCTCAGGTCCAGCTCCCGTAACTCACCCAGGCCACAGAAGAGCGCCGGCTGCAGGTAGGCCAGCTTGTTGCCTGCCAGTACCAGCTCACGGAGGTTGCCTAGGCCCTGAAACACAGCATCAGGCAGCACTACCAGGCTGTTCCAGCTGAGGTTGAGAATCCAGAGGTGGGTGAGGCCTCGAAAAATGCCCTCCTCCAGCCTGCCCAGCAGGTTGTTGCTGAGGCTTAATGAAGCAAGGCCTGGTGTGTGCACAAGTGAGCCAGCCAGCAGGCTCCGTAGCCGGTTCTGCTCCAGGTGCAGGTGGTACAAGTTCTGCAGGCCCAGCAATGCCTGTGGCTCCAGGGTGCCAAGCAGGTTGCCCTGCAGATTAAGGAAGTCAAGGCCTGAGAGATTCCGGAAGGCTGCTGGGGGGATGGAGGACAGGTTGTTGCCATCGAGCCACAGGGCCCTGGTGCCATCTGGGATGCCATCAGGCACCCTCGTGAGGTTCCTTGCACTGCAGAAGACATGAAGCTCACCCACATAGTCATGGCTGCAGGCACATGTGGCCGGACACTGTGGGCCCTCAACCTCTGCCAGGGTTCCGGGCTCTGCTCCCTCCAGGCTGCCATGGGGCCCCAGTGCTACCCAGACTAGCAGCACCAACAGGGCCAGGCCTCCTGTGGAGAGAGGGGTTTGGCAGGTACCAGGATGTGAGCAGACTTTAGACTTCCCAGGCCTCAGCTATAGCAAGAGGAATGTCTCATTTGTGAGCTGAGACTTGTGGTCAGCAGTTAAACCACAGGCAGAAAATGGAGGACAGTGGAAACTGGCTACATGAGGACTAGCAGGTAGCCATCCCTGCCCACAGCCATCCCTGGTTCCCCACTTCACCCAGGCTGTGAGAGCACAAGCATTCTACTCCCTTGGCCATTGGTCCTTAGACCAATGTAGCCATCCATGTTCCATGAGACAAATGGTCAAGCCAGGTCAGGCTCCACCCTGGCCTGGAAGAAGGGAGAAATGGAGCCATTGGCTAAGGTCTGGCCATTTTCAGAATATTCTGGAAAAGACTGAATGGGTTATCTGCTTGTTCTCAGTAGCTGAGAGCAGGGAGTCAGGCTGTCCTTATCCCTGAAGCCCATGGACTGGGGGCACTATCAACCTGCTATCTGGTCTGCATTCAGTGCTGCTACTAGTGTGGGGCACAGATTTCAGGACAGATGTGAGACCTAGACCATCTATTCAGCTGACGTCGGGCCCCACTGACCTGCCTGGCAGCCCCCCAACAGTGCCCAGAACGCCTTGGTAAAGGCCTGCCCCTTCCCCAAGGGCTCCCAGAGTCCCAGGGGGAGTGCTGCACCCACCCTCTGCGCCTCCTCACTCCTAGAGTGCCAGTGTGCTGGTGGCCAGCCCAGGCATCAAGATGGCGCCCAAGAGGCGGGCGAGGAGCAAGGGTGCCAGGGCCACAGGAACAGAAGCAGAGAGGGCAGCAAGCTCCGGCCTGGTGGACTGTCCCAGGCAAGATCTGTGCTGTGGAATATAAGGAGCCCCTTGTCCATCCCTGCACCCCATACTTCCCAGGAGCTGAGCATTTGTCTTATGTGCCCTGCCATACCCGCCCTCTGTGCCACCGCCAGGACCCTCTGGTGCCAACCTACCCATGTCCCCCAGACTAGCCCACCCAGATCCAATCCCTCCCCAACTCCCCTGGCCTGCCCCAGCCATTGTCAAGTGGCTGGCTGACCCCGAGGTAAGTGGCAGGGGACACCTGGGTGCCTCACCTTTCCTCAGGGCCATCCCGCATGCAGAGTGTGCAAAGGCGGTCTGGTGGGCTGGCTGCTCCTGCCCTCTGGCTTCCCTGCTGTTGGGCAGCTGTCGGCTGGCCCTGCCCCAAGGTCTCAGCTCCATTAACTCCCTCGTGCCGGGTGGCCAGTGTCAGCACAAGTCCCCTGGGTGCAGATGGTACATTGAAATGACTAGGGTCCCTTGACCACCCCAAAGCCTCCTTTGGGATCTGAGGTGGGCTGAGGCATGGCTCTGGGGGCTATGGACCCCTCTGCCATGTCTCTGTAGGTGACCTGAGTGGGTGGGGGCAGAGCCCTACCTTCTCTGAGTAACCTTCAAGGAGCCAGTGCTCATAGCAGATTTGGAGGACCCACTGTCCCAACAGCTCCAACCCCAAGAAGAGGGGTCCTTGGGTAGCACCTGAGGTCTTAGAAATCCCACCACTCACCCCCAGACTGAGCTGATGGCTGTTTTGGGGTTAAGCAGGTGCCACTTTAGTTCCCTGATGCCCCGCCTGTCTGTGCAGCACGCTGCCCGCCCGCACTGGGGTTTCCTAACAGCCCAAGTAAGGATCTGCCGCCAGCTGCCGGGCCTAGGTCCAGCCTCAGCCCCTCCTGTGACCTCAAGGTCAGCTGATGTCTATTCATGGCCCCTCCCCTGAGGCCTCTTCTAGGAACACCTGGCAGGGCCACTGGCCATCTCATGTTTGCTTTTCCTGCCCTGTCCTCTTGGGGGAGAGGCTTCAAGGCCAGCACTAGGGCCCCCAGCTACTTTGCGCTGGCCTCCAAGGCTCCAGCATGGGCCTGACCACCCCTCAGTCACCCTCTTTTGTGTGCAGAGACCACAGGGACCTGGCTGATAAGTACAAGGTCTGGTTGGAGGCCTCCAAGGAGTCGGGTCAGAAAAACTTCTGCTGTAGGGGTTCCCCCATGCCTACCCATAGCACACTTTTGGGACCTGGCCGCCATCCTGGACCCCAGTGGATGCTTCAGCTCTGTCTGTCCTGCTTTGGGTGGTAAGGACACACATGTGCAGTACGGGCTGTCAGAGGCACAACCAGATCTGAGGAGAGGCAGGCACATAGAGGTCTGGGGGATTCTTGAACAGCCCCTGGTGAAGCAGAGGGAGTGGGACCTGAAGCCCATCATGCTGGCCCATCTCTGGGCTATTTTCCAGGTCATTCCTCAACCTCTGTTCTGAGAAATTATAGATCCACAGGGAGAAAGTCCACACCCAGAGCCACAGAGCAGTTTACTCAGCAAAGTGCGGCCTCAGCAGGCTCTGAGGCCATGGCCACAGCCTCTTCTGGGAACCAACAAGGCTGGAGTGAGGATGCACCCCCTCGTGTCCCAGAAGGACTGGGAAAGGAGACATGGTGCCGCTGTCATTTTATACCCCGAGTCCAGCTTTGTGGAGTTAGATGCGGGTAAGCCCCGCAATGCTGCAGCTTTTCCCTGTCTCTTGCTTGTTTCCCTCGGCTACCCTTTAGTGTGATCCAGGAGATGTCAAAAGTGCTTGGACAGGACCCATCAGCTGAGCTATGTCTCTTGCACTTTGGGCCTTTTCATCTTCCTGATTCAGGTAAGTTTCTAGTTTTATCAGATACATTCATTCCCACCAACCCCCATGGCAAAAGTGCCAAATTTTATAATTTATTACATAGTCCAGCTGGCTAGACTCTTGGTTCTGAGTCCTATTTGCATGTAGACTCAGGTGTGTTGTCTCGAGGTGTCCCACAAACACTCTTTTACTTGTCATCAGCAGCCCACTGTCTCACCCACTCATGGAGGGTTTGGTTCTCCCATTTAAATTGCAGCTGCCTCTGCCCTGCTTAGTCATGTGGCCATCATAACTCCTCCTGGCTCAAGGGTCCACTTGTGACCAGCACCCTCTGGCCTCCAGTCACTCCCGCGGGCCTACGTCTTAAGCAGTGGCACACTACCTGTTGTGGGGACTTTAAGTTTGATGGCTGGTGGGGCAGGTCATCAGCTTCCTCGGAGAGCAGACTGGTTCCTGGTTGCTTGTATTTCCATATACTTTGGAGGCAGCTATTTTTTTGTTGCTGTTGTTAATTAGTATAGTATGTGTTGGTGATATGTAGTAATTACATTCACCTTGGGGGACTGGTACGTATACATACCCCAGCGTGATCATTTTTACTCTCCCTGCCTTCGCCTTTCCTTCCTTCTACAGATGCCCTTCATGTGTCCACAGAGCTTGTCTCCTGGTTCTTATTTTGTTCTTTAAATTATTTATATTTTTGGTTTCTCATATTAGAGAAACCATGTGATTTTTAACCTGTGTTTGATTTATCTCAACATTATGGTCTCAATATCCATCCATTTTCCTATAGATAGATCTATAAGGAAGCTTATCCTTCTTTATTACTAAGTAGTACTCCATTGAGTGTGAGAGTAAGTGTGTGTGTGTTTTTCTTTAGAGTCCTTAGTTTGTAAAACAAGGCAAGGAGCCTGCATCCTGACCACTCCCTCAGGATTGGTCTGTGACTCTCAGACACATTCATTGAATCCTACTTTTTTTTTTTTTTTTTTTTTTTTTAGTACCAGGGATTGAACTCATGATCTCCTACTCGCCAGGCAAGTGCTTATGCTGCTGAGCTGAATCCCCAGCCCTACAGACACATTCATTCGCTCTTTTCTGTAGGTTGTCCGTTTCTCTCAATAGTATTTTGTAGATATCTATTTTTTATAGAGTTGCTATTTTTAATGCTGTTCTGTTACCTTTTATTCCTCAACTTCATTTCTGTGTCTTGGCTAGAGTCATTTTTTGAGATAAGGATAAGTGGGATAAGTGGATAACAAATTATTAACAGTACTTTGCCACCTTACCCTGCGCTCTTCCCCAAACAGCTGTATCGGTGATTTCTGTCCATGAAGCACAGCCAGAGCCTTGCTCACACCCCAGGTCAGCTGCGTGTGTCTCTGCCCCACTGTGACTACCGCTCAGTACCGGCTGCTCAGTCTATCTGTTTCTCTCTGTCCCTGAGTGCGATGCTGTTGTGCTCATCCACGCTGCATCCTGTCAGTGCCTCATTCTGTGTCGTGGCTGAGTGATCCCCTGCGCCTTGTCCACCTGAACGACACTGATCACCTCCATCCTAGGGTCACTGAACAGTGTCACTGTCCATACACAGGTCCTTATGCAGACACGTTTCATTGTCTTGGAGAGATTGTTTGTTTTTGGAGGCAGGCAACCTTTCACAGAGTATGTGAGTTGCAGTTATTCCACAGCTACTGTTTTTATATTTTGTGGTGATGGTGTTTTTTTTTTTTTTTTACCTATTCTGGTAATTTGCTTTTCCATGAAAATTCTTTTCATGTATTTATTGACCATTCTTATACCTTCTTTGTTGAAACAGTGTATTCAAGACTTGCACTTTTTGGGAGTCTATGCATGTGTGTGTATGGTATTGGGGATTAAACCTAGAGCCTTCACATTAAGATACATCCCCAGCCCTTTTTTCATTTTATTTTTATTTATTACATTTCTTTCTTTTCAGGTTTTGTTTTGTTTTGTTTTGAGACAGGATCTTGCTGTGTAGCTCAGGCTAGTACTGGAATGACAAGCATGCATCATGCCTGCTTTTTTTTTTTTTTTTTTTTTTTGGAGAGAGGGTCTCACTAAGTCACCAGATTGTCCAGGGCTGGCCTCAAATTGGGGCTCTGTTCCTGCCTCAGTCTCTCAGAGTGCTGGGATTACAGGTATGTGTCACGATAACTAGCTTTGTTACTAGATACATATTTTGGGGGGATAGTTATTGATTTTTGAGACAGCATCTTGCTGTGAGGTTTAGGCTGGCCTTGAAATCACTGTGTATGGAACCCTACTGGCCTCACAGCAATCCTTCTGCCTCAGACTCACACGTGTACCTCCTCTAGATTTTTTTTTTTTTTTTTTGCAGTACTGGGGTTTGAACTCATGACCTTGTGCTTGGCACTTATGCCACTGAGCTAAATCCCTGGCCCCTACCTCTAGATTTCTAAGACTTGAAAATATTTTTCCCACTCTTTGTCTGTCTGTTTTTTAAAAACATCACCCTTTGAATTGAAGAAGTACCAATTTTTCTTCTTATGCCACGTAATTGGGGTGTCATGTCTAGGAAATCTGCCTAACCTAAGATCCCACATTTTCTAGTACATCTTCCTCTGAAAGTTTGACAGTTTTAGCCAACTTTGTTTAGGTTATTTTTGGTTTGGGGTTTTCTTGTGTTTTTTGTTTTTTTTTTTAAGACAGGTTCTCACTGAGTTGCCTAGGCTGGGCACAATCTTAGAAATCTCCTGCCTTATCCTTCCAAGTAGTGAGGATCACAGATGTGCACCACCATGCCAAACTTGTGTTTAGTTCTCTGATCTGCTTTGAGTCTACCTACACATGTGCTGTGAAGGGAGTCTTAACTATGTTTTGCATGCACATGTCTGAGTCTTCTGACTCCATTTGCCAGGAAGAGTTGCCTTTTCCCCACGGGAATGTCATGGCATCTTTCATAGGAAGTGCTGGCTGTGAGTGTAGGGTTCCAGACTCTCAAGACATTCAGAACCTGCCCTACAAAATGGAAAAGTGTCTACTTCCACATTTTCTTAGTATGACTTTATAGTGAATTATAAAATCAAGTAGTCTGAGGTCCTACAAATTTGTTCTTTTTCAAAACTTTTTTGGGTCTTACAGTCTTTCTATGTTACTTTCTTTTTAAAAAACCTGCTGGAATTTTGAAGCAACTGCACAGGGCCTGCTAAGAAATGGTACCTCAGTAATACTCAGTGGACCCAGAACATTTTTCCATTTACTTGTTAATTTCTCTTAAGTATCCTCAGTTTGTTTATTTTTTGGTATCACAGAGCCCTGAGGGATGGAGCCCCAGAACTTTGCACATGCTAGGCAAGTACTTGGCCACTGAACTCTGTCCTGTGTTTTCAGTATATAAATCTTAGACTTCTAGCTAGGTATGGTAGTATATGCCTGTAATCCCAGCATTTTGGGTGACTGAGGTAGGAGGATTGCAAGTTCAAGCCTAGCTTATACAATTTAGTGAAAGCGTGTCTCAAAAATAAGAGGTTGGAGCCGGGTATGATGGTGTGAGCCTGTAATCCCAACACTCTGAAGGATGAAGCAGGATGATTGCTGTGAGTTCAAGGCCAGCCTGGAGTACACAGCGAATTCAAGGTCCCCTAAACTACAAAGTGAGACCCTGTCTCAAAAAAAAAAAGAGAGAGAGAGAGAATATAGCTGAATACCAAGGCCCTTGAGCTCAATCCCTGTTACTGCTGAGGATAAAGAAGTAGGAAGGGAAGGGGAGGGTTGGAAGGGAGGTAAAAGAAAACAAAACTCTCATATTTCTTTTGTTAAACAGTTGTTAAATATTTTACTAGTTTTAGTGATATTGTGAATGGATTTTTCTTAATTTCATTTCTGGATTAGTATATAGAAATACACTGAATTTATGATCTTGTATCCAGGATTCTGTGAGACATTCCCATTTCAGATGCCTGTGAATTTGTATTCCTTAGGATTTGCTACATTTAGAGTCATTTCATCTGCAGACAAGGACACTTCTAATTTTTTCCTTTTTATAGATTTACTGTCTTGTCTTACTGTGTCCCTTACTGCATGCCCATGGCTGTCTGTACCTTGTGGAATTTTAGAAGGAAGAGTTCAGTCATTCGCCATTGATTATGGTGCTGGCTGTATGCTTTGCATAAATTCTGTGACAGCTAATCCACCCCCCCCCACAGGTGCCTATGCCCTAATCCCTGGAAGCTGTGACTGGGTTAGAAGAGGGAACCGATGTTGCTGATCAGCTGATCTGAAGACTACCAGGTGAACCCGGTGTCACATGAGTGTCTTGCTATTTTGCCCAGAAGTCCCAGGCTCAGGGACTCCTTGGCCCAGATATGCTATATTCTGAAGAATGTTCTTTGAGCATCTGAAAAAATACTGGTGACACGTTCTGTAAGTAGCAGATTCGGCTGAATGATGGCTTTCTCTTTTATCCTTACTAATGCTCTGTCAAGTTATCTAAGTTTACTGAGTGGCTAGGATTACAGGTGCACACCACCATGCAGGTTGTGTTTCTCTTTTTGAGTCAATTTAACTGATTTCTGGTTTTCTAGGAATTTGTCCATTGAATTTATCTGTTTACTACAGGGTTTTCCTACTATTCTAAGTCCTATTAACTTCTGCAGTATCAGTAGAGATTTCCTTTTTTGCAATTTATGTGTTCTCTAATTTTTTGTCAATTTTTCAGTTTTGTTAATCTTTCAAATAACTTATGTTTGAGTTTTCTATTTCACTGATTTCCTCTCTCATCTTTTCTTTTCATTACTTGAGTTTCATTTAGTTTCAGGTTTAAGGGAAAGTCTACAATCTTTATTTGACACCGTTCTCATCTCAAATAGTATTTAAAACTTTAAATTTCAGCCAGATAGGCTGTACATGCCTGTAATCCCCGCACTTGGGAAGCTGAGGCAAAAGGATCCCTGAGTTAAAGGCCAAACTGGACTACATAAGGTGACCTTGTCTCAAAAACACAACCAAAGTTTCCACCTGAGCCCTGCTTTAGCTGCATCCCACAAGTTTTGACACAGTGTATTTCTTCTTTAGCATATCTTCTATTTGCAAATGTTTTTGTTTGTTTGTTTTGTCTTTTTGAGAAAGGGTTTCACTGTACAGTTCAGGCTGGCCTTGAACTCAGTTTGTAGCCCAAGCTGGCCTCAAACTCCCAGCAATCTTCCTGCCTCAGCCTTTATTTACAAATGTTTTAATTGTGAAACATTTGAGATTTTCCTAGATTTGTTTTGTGAATCTCTGACTTTGTTACAGTTAAAAAAACATACTTTGTATAATTTAAACCCTTTTAATTTTGTGACTTTTCTTGTGGTCTAACATATGATGTATTCTTTTGTTTTCATGCTTTCCAGGCAGGTGTTTGTGCCGCCCAGCTAAATCCTTGGCCCAGATATGCTGTATTCTGAAGAATGTTCTTTGAGCATCTGAAAAAACATTAGTGACATGTTCTGTAAATAGCAGATTCGGTTGAGTGACGGCTTTCTTTTATATCCTTGCTAATGCTCTGTCAAGTTGTTTTACTGGTTATTGAGTAGGGTGTTGAAGTTGCCAGTTTTACAGATAAATGACATCAAATGACCAGTTCTCTTCCTGCCTGCCCTACTTCTGCCCATTCAGAGTAGTGAGACATGTCCTGCAATCCACAAACGACTGTCAGGAGGAAAATTAATTACTGGTTGGTAAAATATAGTATGGTAGAGCTTTAAAAATTAAGGATTTTGCTGAAAAACAATAGACAGTCTTTGGGCTGGGTTGCTTACACTCAGGGCATCAAAAACTCAGGTGGACCTGTGGACAGTGCTGGCTTTCTCCCATCCATGAGCCTCAGCAGCCCCTCTATGGGGCCTCCCCACTGTGTGTGGCAGAAACATATCCATGGCAGTGGGTGGCCCAGGAGAAGACAGTTGCCAACATCCTAAATGCTTTTATTGCTGGAGAGAAACACTCCTCTGAGACTCATAACAACACAGCAGGCAGCAGCTGAGGAACATGCAAGGACCTGGTGGCATCCTACTGAAAAAGGCTCAGGATCCATTAGCTGGCCTATAGGAACAGCTAACCTGAGGATGAGCATGTCCCAGAGGCATCAGCAAAGGGCCAAAAGAAATGCACATGGATGTGGCCTGAGTTGACACAGAACCCACAACGCATCATAGAAACCAGGAAAAAGGTGGTACAATAATGCTTTAAACATGAGAATTCTCAGAAAGGAAGCACTGTAGTCAGGTCAGAACAGGTCATGCAGGCACCTCCGATGTATGTGATGCAGTGACTTCAGCCACCTGGGACACCTGTACATGTGGCAGGGAAAATAATGAAGCAAGCTCTCTGGTGCTGACCCTGGACCACATGAAGAGAAACTTGCTTCACATTTGCTTTGGAAAGGAAGTGAGAGGCCCAAGAGGACCCAGAAGCAAGAAGACAAAGGACAGTAGTTCCCCTATTGAACAAGAGAGGCGAGGATGCCCAGGTTAGGCAGTACAGACCCACCTGATTTTAAAATGTAAGACCAGAAACAAAAATCTTTATAACTCATAGCCCTATTACCACTGAAAAAAACAATTTCTGGTTTTAAAAAACAGCTGTGAGCTGGGGTAGATCTCAGTGGTGAGCACTGGCCCACTACACAGGAGGTCTAGGTTCCAACCCCAGAACTGCAACAAACCAGCTAACAGTAACAGGCTCAGAGGCTCTCAGAGCAGAACAGACTACAATTACTTTCTACAAACCCCCAAGGAAAGGAGAAACACAACACATAAAAGCCAGATGGGAACTGTACAAAAGAGGAATCAAATTGAATCCATCAACTGAAATTATGATGAGTGGGTTTAGCCCAAAAAATATATAACAGTATCAGAAAATCTGTTCAGGTAACCTGTCAGATCAAAGGCAATCGTTAAGAGGTGTTCAGCCTTAACCCAGCTCATGATACCTGCAGCAGGCTGCTCCTGCAGACTTTCCAGTTTTCTCTGTGCCTGGCTGGCTCCTCCTCATCTCCCTGACCTTTGATCTCTGGACCCAGCCTCCCTGCAATTCTCTGGGTGTGGGACTTTGCCCTGAACTGCTTCTCTCACTCAGTTCACAAGATACTACCATCTTACTGCTGGCCAGTCCCACAGAGCTCCCAAGTCCTCTCCCAGCCAGCACTGTTCCCAGCATGGGATCCCCTGGGGCTCCCCACTGTCTTCCCTAGGTAAAGCCTGGCTGAGAGGGTGCCCCTGAGTTTCACATATCTGCACCCTGGTAGGAAACTAATGTTTTTTTTGTGCCCCTCAGGCATCAGAAATCCTGGAAAAGGCCTGGAATTGGTTCCCTGGCCAACCATGGCATACTCTGCTCAGAGTAGACACCAGTGTCCACATGACCCAGATAACCCCACTTGTCCCTGCTCTCCCTTCACACTTGCAGCCTATTTGCTCTACTGTCCCAGGGCCTTTGCATTTCTCGCTCACCATCTCCTCAATTCTTATTCCAATATTACCTTCTGTGAAAGGCCTCCTCTGCTACCCTGAGAGTGACAATCTGAGAGTGCTCCATGGTGCTCATTCCTCCTCCATAACCACTAAATTTCTCAGAGCATCTTGGTACCCACCAAAGTAAGCCTTCAGTTTCCACTAACCCATCTGCAAGGCTCCAGCTGGGGGTTCTGTTCAGGGCCACTGTACCTCTGCTGTCTTCCAGGCCCACAGCATTAGAGCACCCCTGTTCACAGCAGCAGCAAAAGCCAGGATGACAAGACCTTGTAATCTCAACTATTGGGAGGCCATTAGGGAGGAAATGATAATCCTCAAAGCCCTCAAAATTTCCATTTGCCACCGTGGAGCCTCTAGCTCATTCCCTAGCTGGTGCTAACAAGACACCCAAGACAGAAAAGGTCACCAAACAGACCAAACTTGTGACTCCAGGCAGGGGAGACAGCTGAAGCCTGGATCCACCCCTGCAGCCAGTGACACCATCAGCAATGCTGCTCTGGTGACCTGGCAGGCACAGGACACTGCAGCAGTAAGCATGCTGGTGTGGACACGAGTGGGAGGGCACAGAGGTTCAGGAAAGGACCCAAGCCCTGCTCTGGGAGTGTTTCCCCTGGGCCACTGCCTGTGTGTCTGTAATAAAGCCATGATCCCAAGCACAGCACTCCTGAGCTCTGTGTGTCATTGTAGGAGTGAATGCTAGTGGTTGGCATCTGAGGTGAGGGCAGAGCAGTGGGGACCAAGCCCTTACCCTGGGGTCGGGACTGTACCGCAGTACCAAGTAGCAAAGAGCTAAGCAAATAATGGGCATGTTTTATAACTTGGACTGCACATTGCAAAAACTCACTTCTAGCATGAGCTAGCACTATTCTGGTCCTCATCTGAGGAAAACATCCTAACATCTGTTCATGAGAGCAAAGAGCTGGGATGCCCCAGACTGGTGCAGACGAGGTAGGCCAACATCCCTTCCTTGGATAAAGAATTATTCTAAAGCTGTAGCCACTAAGAACATGGGGCCAGCACAAAAAAAACATTAGTTTCCTACCAGGGTGCAGATATGTGAAACTCAGAAACCATCAATGTAGCCAAATGTGGCTACCTGGGTATCTATCCTCTATAGGAATAAAACCCAGATTCCAGAACTGGTTGTGGTGTCCTATGATCTCAGCTATTTATGAGGATGAGGCAGGAGGATCACAGGTGGAGGCAACTTAGGAGACCCTGTCTGGAGGTGCAGTTCATATTAGAACTTACTTGGTGTGTGCAAGGCTCTGTGTTCTATCCCCAGGGCCACTAAAAAAAAAAAAAAACAGGATAGGCATAAAAAGTAGTTTCGTATGAACTAGAAACCTAAATGTAAAAAGCAAAAAACTAAAGGAATTTGGACTTTGGTCACAGGAGGCACCACAGGAGTGGAAAAGAGCTGTTAAGCAGGACACAAAAGCAGTCGTGCCAGGCAGGATAGGTGCACTGACTAGATGAAATAAGAGCTTCTCAACAAGACAGTGGAAAGACAGCCATAAACAATTAACTATAAACTGTAACCAAAGAACACAAGTCACCTAAAACAAAACAATGAACAGCAGACGACAGCAGAGAAGGAGCTCAAAGATCAGCAAGGACATCAATCCATATGCAAAACTGGGGCTCCCCACTTCCATACAGTGGCTGCTCATGGGGAGGGAACCCTACTACCCAAGCACAGTGAACATGTGAGAAAGTGCTTGGCTGCCCAGTGACCAGGGGGACAGACTCAAACCTGTATGGATTACCATTTCATATGCACACTGTCAGAGACACCAACAAACAGGCTCAGATGGTAGGGATGGAGAACAACAGCCCTACAAGCAGAAGCAGAACTCATTCAGAATTTCAACAGATGAGCTGAAGCATTTTCAAGAACTGAAAATATCTCCCTAAGACCAGCAATGAGCTCTGATCATGAATCCCATAGAGACCCTCAATGGGCAAGGAAGCCACGGTTTACAGTGGCAACAGATGGGAAACTACACTGGTGCCTGCCGGTGAGTAAACAACAGCTCCTAAGCCCTGCCAGACTGTCATGACAGCCACATTGAAAGCAAAGTCAAGTCCCAGAAGGACCTGCAAAACCACCCTTTATTTAGGAATAGTATGGCAGGGGTAGAGGGAGCAGTACACAGGTGGTTGCTGGAATGGCTGCCTTGTGCTAGGCTGAGGCACATTTAAAGGTACTGCTCCTACCTGGGAGAGGAGCTCAGGATTGTGGCCACCTGTGAAGTACTGTGGCAGCTGCTGAACAAAGGTAACACTCACCTCAAAGGCAGCCATTCAGGGGCAGCCGGCTAGGAGGTGCCCCAGGGCAACCAGGACTCAGCCTGGACAGCAGCATCACACTGGCTACTCAGGAGCTCAGAGTCCACGTAAATACATGCCTGGACACTGGTACAATCTCTAAGGCAGAGTGCCGGGCTAGGGACATGCAAACCCTATTCTATGACACCTCTGGGTACAGGTGTGGCTGGGGACTCCCTCTATCATCACTAAATGACAAGGAATTGTGAAGTTCTTGTGCAACTGTAAAATATCCTGGATTCCAACCCCACAGCGGTGTGGTCCCCAGCAGAGCCAGATAAGGAACAAGCCCCTGTGGCCCCTAGAGAGAGAGAATAGTATAGACATGGGGGAGGTGGGAATGAGTGGGTGACACACATGTCCACACAAACAGGGGCCTGACCTCACTGTCAAACACAGATGACCCTTTTTCCTCACTGGGAGGCCCCATGTGCTTGGGTCCTGAGCCATGCACTCACCCTCATCCCATACCTCCTCCACACTGAGTACCATCAGCATCTGGGGCTGCCACTCTGCTTCCTACCACTGGGACCCGCCCCCCTATTATCCTGCAGACTGTGACTTGCTGCTGTGACCAGAGTCCAGTGGCTGCCCACAGTTCTGTCAGGCCCCAGGATCAGAGATGGCAGGCAGAGCAATACGTAGGAGAGTGGCTTCTGAGGACAGCCAGGATGAGTTTTTCTAAGCAAAGGCACATGGATGCTCACCTGAAGTTTCAGAATCCAGCCTGCTGGAGCAGCGAGTCAGTCACACCATAAGCAGGAACCACAGAGGTGGAGTGTCCTGCCTGGATCTGACAACATGTTGGCACTCAGCCAAGGCTATATCCAAATGTCCCCTCTTCAGGACAAGGCAGTGCACCACTCAGGACCAGCCTGTAGCGAGCCTCACCAGGCACAGGGACAGAATGCAACAAGCACTGACTTCTGAGGGGTTGTGGGGAAAACGTGATGCTGCTCCATATCAGAGACTCTGGGCAGCTTGGGCAGGGTGTCCTTCAGCTGGTGCTTGGCACTTGTTGAGATTCAGGTCAGGTGTCCCACAATGAGGTAGGCATGTGGCTACAGTGCCCAAACTAGGAGCTCACCCAGGCAGAGTTATACTGAGCCAGAGACTTCCCAACCCAGGAGCAGCTTGATCTAGGAAAGGGCCTGAGACCCAGCCCAGGCTGGGCTGGGTTCTCCCCTCAAAGGGCTCATGTCAGTTCACTTAATGTCAACAAAACCATAAAAATGACCACACAGACCCACAAAGATCCAGATCCTCCGAAAAAAAGGTGCAAGCAGGGCAATGCCAACTGCCTCCTCCTCCCTGCAGAGCCAGACCAGGGAAGGGGACTGTCCAGCCCCTCCTTGAGTGCTGTTCTGAGCAGTTTGGCTGTCACTGGCCATCATATGACTGCCAGCAGGAAGAGGCAGTGGGTAAAGTGGGTTAAGGCAAGAGACAACACTGAGTCAGCAAGCAGCAGTTATGGGAATAAATACTTTTAAACTTTTTCTCATAAATATGCATTAGAACATTTGATAACACAGGTAAGAGCTCTGAAATTAATTTTAAATTAAACCAAGACTGGATTTTTGCATGACCAGTAGGGCAGTCCTTTACTAAAACTCCCACTCCCTAAATGTGCCAGTGGTAGTAGGTTTGTGTGCAGCCACCTCAGTCCCGAGGCACCTTGAACTGGTCCTTTTCCCTGCGGATGACACGCATGGTGGTCACAGGGTCTATCTCACCTGCATGCTGCTGCACTGTCTTCTCCCTGAGGAGGCAAGAAAGAAGGCAAGTTGCAGGCTATATGCAGCACGCATGGCCGAAGAAGCCAGGACACTGTCACAGAGGATGCCGGCTAGGTGTTGTCTCCACTGTCAGAGACTTGAAAGCCTGAGCCAGGTCCTTCCAGCAGGGCAGAAAAAGAGAAGCCATGGACTTCATACGATCCTGCACTGCCCAGCACCCAGAGCCTCAGGATCCTGATAGCAGCTCCCTGCTTATAGGGCCTAGAGGCCCTGAACAGAGGGACCCTAAAACCCTGCTAAGGCACCAAAAGTGTCCCTCCCATTTAGAGATGTAGGTCAGGGCCACCTACTTGGGAGCCTGGACATGGTTTAGCCCTTTGCTTGAGGTGAAACCAGCACGAGTGTCATAGGGGCTCCTCACCTCACACGCATGAAGGGGTTGTAGGTGAACTCCTCTGCAAGCGTGGATGGCACCGTGGGCTCCCCATTGGCATACTTCTCCTGAAAGACACACTACTGTCACATGGAGACCTCATTTCAGATACCTTTTAGTGATCTTCAAATTCCAACTGAAGATGGAACAAGCAGAGGGGCAGCGTGGTAGGTCCCCAACTCGTACTCCCCTGATGAAGCCTGCTCTCTCCCACTTATGGAGGACTGGATGGGCAGGAAGTCACCCCCAGAGGGTCGGCTGCTGCTTTCACTGCACCTCCCCACTGCCAGTGCTAGAGGGGAGGGGAGAAGAAGGGGAGCTTCTTCTTCATGACTATTATGTTTGAGTTTCACAGGCTAGAAGTAATGATGCACAGAAAGAAAGAAAGCACGTGGGTGACAGCCCATCTGGAGGGAGGCAGGCTCCCTCCCTGCCAGCTCTCCAGGAACCAGGACTCAGGAGATGCCCCAGGAAGGCTTGCAGAACCTTAGGACACTTTCCTGTCATCTCTCCAGATGCCTTACTCCTGAGAAGCACTGACCAGGGAGAGAGGAGGACTCAGCCTGGTCAAAGCAGGGAGTAATTTACTTTAAAAGTTTACTTTAAAAGTTTACTTTAAAAGTTTAAAAGTATCCTCCCCATTTACAAAAGCTTCCTTTCCAAACCTTATGAAGAGAAAAATCAGTTGACAAAATTCAACACCCACTTATGATTAAAAACTCTCAGAAAATCAGGAATAGAATTAAATTTCTTCAATCCAGTAAAGAGGTCCATGCAGCCCCAGCCTTTCTATAGTCAGTCTAGTAGGAGGGCAGAAGGACAAGCTGTGACAGTGCTGCTGACACCCACACAGCTCCTGACCCCTTCCCTCAGTGCTGAGGTTCCCCATGTCACATCTCCTTCCCCCAGATGTGCTACCAACTAGTGTCCCTTCAGCCACTAGAAGTACGCCAAGGAGGGGAGCTGAAAGACTAGTGATCACTACTCTTTGCTCCATCCCTTCTGGGAAAAGCAATCCTAGAGTGTTTTGTGACATACCCTGTGCTTCATGCAATTTTCTCCCTCTTCCTACAACATCTCCCTCCACCTCTGAGAGAAGAGAACTGACTTCTCCAAGAAGGACTGCCTCAAATTTGAGGCCAGCGTGGGCTATCTAGTGAGTTCAAGACCAGCATGCGAGACTTAGCAAGACCCTGTCTCAAAAAACAAAACAAAACAAAAACTCTTACCAAAAGTGGAGGAAACACTTTTGAGCTCTTGAGGTCAGCACTATGCCAACATCAAAAGTAACAAAGACACTTAAGAAAATAAAACTACAGAACAGTATCTCTTATGAATAAAGACACAAAAATACAAAGTAGTAATATGTAAAAAGGTAATAGGCTGACCAAGATTTAACTAGGAAGATTTAACATTTGAAAACTGATCCATATGACTCAGCATATTAAAAGAATTTGTAACTATACATGATATGATACTTTTTTAACCTATTCAAACCCTCTTCCCCATTTACAAACCATGTATCTATTCAAACCCTCTTCCCCATTTACAAAAGCTTCCTTTCCAAACCTTATGATTATGTAAGAGAAAAATCAGTTGACAAAATTCAACACCCACTTATGATAAAAACTCTCAAAAAATCAGGAATAGAATTAAATTTCTTCAACCCAGTAAAGAGGTACAAAAACTCCACAGCAGGCCAGGGATTTAGCTCAGTGGTGTAAGTGTCTGCCTGGCAAGCACAAGGTCATGAGTTCGATCCCGAGTTTAAAAAAAAAAAAAAAAAAAAAAAAAACAGCAGCCAGATGTGGCAGTGCGCACCTGTAATCTCAGCACTTGGGAGGCTGAGGCAGGAGGATCACAAGTTTGAGCCCATCTGGGGACATTCTACACAAGTTCAAGCCCACCCTGGGCAATTTAGCAAAACCCTGTCTGGTGGGGGAAAAAAAGAGCTGGGGATATATCTCATTGTGAAGGTCCTGAGTTCAATCCCAATAGCATGTGAAAAAGAAAAAAAGAAAATGCCATAGGTTCTCATATTAAGGGATAAAAAGACTGAACAAGCGCAGGATATATACATGCTATTCCTTAACATGCCCTGAAGATCCTCACCAGTGAAGCAAGGCATGAAAAATAAAAGACACACGCTGGGGAAGGAAGCAATGAAATATACTAAAACAGAAGCTACAACTGAGCCCCCAAACAGTCTTTGTGACCTTGAGTATGCACAGGTTTCTAAGGACACAAAAAGTGTAAGAAAACATGGATGAAGCATATTTCACCAAGAGTATAAACTCTTGTCCTTCAAAGGAAACTTAAAAAAAAAAAAAAAACAGAAAGGAAACCATTAACTGGGAGAAAATATTTGAGGTATATATTTATATTTAACAAAGATGCATTTCCAGATGTTATATGGCACTCTTATAACTCAATAAAAGACAACCCAATATTTAAAATGGACAAAAATTCCAGCACTAAGGAGGCTGAGGCAGTGGGATTGCTGTGACTTTGAGACCAGCCTGGGCTACATAGTGAGTTCAAGGCTAGGCTAAGCCACATAATGAGACAGTGTCTCAAAAAAAAAAAAATACACTTCACAAAAGTCAGCATATAAAAGGTCAGTAGCACAGATGGTCACTTTCATTATCAGTAATGAAATGCAACTTTCAAAGTACATGATACCAAAAAAAAATCATTAAAAAAGGGGGCCAGGGATATAGCTCAGTAGCATAACATCTGCTTGGCAAGCCCAAGGTCGTAAGTTCAATTCCTGGTTATCCCTCTCAAATCACAAAGCATATGATACCAGGCTAGGTGTTTAGCTCAGCAGCACAAGTACCTGCCTGGAAAGGGCAAGGTCATATATATGACCATCATATATATACATATATGATATCACTACAGACCTATCATAATGACAAAATTTAAGACCAACAGGAGTGATAGTTGGTAAGCACGTGGGGTAACTGGTGCTCCCAACACTTTGAGAATGGTGTGCGGCACAGCATGACCTCTCTGTAATGTAGTTTGGTAGTTTCTTAAGTGTTAAATGTAGCTGTACAGCCCAGCAATTCCACTCTCAGGAATGTACCCAAGAGCAGTAAAAACATGGGCCCACAAAGGAATTTTTACACAAATATTCACAACTTTGTTCATAAGCAAAAACTGGAAACCACCCAGATGTTCCCAGCAGATATTAGATAAACATGCAATGGGCTACTGCTCAGCAACAACACCAAAGGCTGAGGAGCCAGAGGGCCAGGCAGAGGAGGGTAGGGTTACTGCCTGATTTCCATAAAGCTCTAGACCAGAGTGATCTATAGTGATGGGAAAGGACATCAGTACCTGGGGGAGGGAAGGGGTGAGGGGCCTTGAAGAGCAGCAGCACCGTGTATCTCCACAGCAGCACATACTGTCAAAGTTCTACCAGATTTCAGATGGAGGGATGGAGTGGGACAGTAAGGGAGGTGGACGAACCAATTTCCCACAAAGAAAGTAATCATTACATACTGAAACATGCACTAATAAAAATAAAAAATTTTTTTAAAAAGAAAAACAGGCTGTTCACTCAAAACAATACACTCTACAAGATATACCTGAGCCTCAAAATTCAGTTATGGAAAAGCTGACATTTACCCAGCATGTGTGAGGCCCTGAGTTTGAACTCTAGTGTAAAGAAAAACAAAAGATAACTATGCAAAGGAAGTTACCAAGTGGTAATACATTGATATACACACACTGTCAGCTAACTGAAGTAGTGTTTAAATTTTTGAATATTGTTTTGTAAGGACCTATGGAAAAGATGCTAGACAGAAACAGGTTGTTTAAAAAGTATACAAAGCTGCAGGAGGAAGCATCACTCACTGGACTCAGAAGAGAGCCATGGCTGAGACCTGACCTCTCTCACATTGTGGGCTGCATGTTTGTTACTGTTTCTCAGTGAGTTTAGGGACACAGCCCATGCATCCTGGAGAAGTCTTAGCAGGCCTGTGGCCCAGTGGAACCCCTGGGCCAAGATGGAAATAAATGCCTTTCAGACAAGGAGACTGAGGGCCCCACCTGTCTAGGAACAGCAGAGATGCTTCCCCATACAGGTCCCAACTCCACTGCTCAGAGTGTGGGAAACCAGCCAGAACCTACAGTCGGCCTTGGTACTTGTAAGAAATACAGAAGCAGAGTCCCCTAAGGGACCTATCCAGTCAGACTAGCTAGGTGGCTTCAGGCTGGTGGTAACATGGTTCCACTCACTCTTCAGACCTATGGGCAGCAGCACCCAGACCCTTGTACAACAGACACTTGGGAGGTCACAGTGCTGTGACATGTCCTATCTGTGAGTCCTACTCACCTTAGCCCAGGCAAGTTTCTCCTGAATGGCCTTGTTACTGGGCTCCACATGGCGTGCAAATTTGAGGTTGTTGATGGTGTACTCATGGCCACAGTAGACTCTCTGGGGAAAAAGCCAGGACATGAGCTTCACGGAGCTGGCAATTCCTAGGGAAGCCCTGAGGGTTCTGGGCTGGCTCATATCCTTGACCTGACCTGGGTACCATATGGAATATAGCTAGTGGACACCCACAGGGGCAGCTCTTAGGACTGGACATGTGCAAATATATGTTAAACATCAATAAAAAGCATATTAAAGAGCCACCTCGGCCTGCTTGCTCTCGATCCAGGTGAGGCCTGTACCAGGGGCCTAGGGTATATGCAGCTGTGCAGTTCTCCTGGCCTCCCAAGGTGGGGCCCAAGGTGTGGGGATGCTCCACAGAGTGGGATCCTACAGACCAGGGGGTGCAACCCACCGTGTCTGGAGGGAGCCGACCTAAGACCTGGAGCAGTGCCTTGTACATCTCATCCGCAGTCCCTTCGAAGAACTTCCCACAGCCAGCCACAAACAGGGTGTCACCTGGAAAACACCAGCAGCCATGCAGTGGAGTCACCTGAGCAGCTGGCTAAGGCTCGAAAGAGGCCAGGGAACTGGCCACAGCCTCTGGCATTGTAGGCTGAAGCAATGAGTTCACTGACCACTGGCTACATCCACCTAGACACCCAATAGGCACTCCCAAATGCTGTGCCTCGGGTCTCATATGGTGCCATGGACAACAACCAGCTGTTCAGGTCTGAAACTAAAGTCACCTTGACCCCATTCGCACAACCCCCAGGCCCACCTCACAAATCTTCCTGCTCCCTACTAACCTGGCAGCCTGTCCGAGCCCTTTCCTTGGTACTTAGGTTTTGGTAGGGCCTGCCCTTTGCAGCTGAGAGCACCTGAGGTGGCCACCCCCTGCAGACCTCCCACTGCCCCAGTCTCCACCCCAGCATTCTTAGGCCATCCCTGCATTAGGGCTTCCCTGGGCCCTCCCTGAGGTCTTGAGGCCCTAAACTGGGTCTTCCCCACATGCAGACTCCACCCAAGTTGCTCCTGTCCCTCAGGCCCCACCCTGCCTGTTCACATCTCATCCTGAATGCCTTATCCTCCACTGCAGCTACAGAGACACCAGTCCCTCCCACCGTGTCCTTCTCTGGTCTGTTGCTTCCTCCACCTCTGCCCTCCTTCAGCTCAACTGGGGGCCCTAGGTTATGTTGGCTGGACCCTGCTGAACATTGGACCGAACTGTCAATACCAGACAACTGCACTTTTCCCTGGAGGACACTGTCTATTTGCACAGGGTCATTATGCAAGTCACGCTGCCAGCCACTGTAAAACATGTGACAGTAACAAGCACAAAACAATCAAGTCAGTGTCCCGCAGCAGTCACCCTTCATGGCACCTCCAAATTCCACAATTTTCTACTGTGGTTCCCTGAAACAGTGACAAACCTGGGTTTTCTGACAGGACAGGCAAGAGCCTTGAGGGGCACCCAGCCATGTAAGCTGGATGGCTGAGCTGACTCCACACCTGCTTACCTAACCCTGAGGGCCATGTGGTACGGGCCACGCAGGTCTCACCATTTTGCCACAGCAACAACTTCAGTTCACAGAGATCCCACCCAATTCACTAGCCACAGTGAAAATGTAAGCACTGGCCAAGTTCTGTTCCAGGCCACCATTTGATAAGGTAGAACCTCTACTCTGAGTAAGGAAAAGCAGATCCAGAACCTGACATGGACTCCTGCAGGGTCCCCAGCCTACATTATATGCTACTGCCCTGAAGAAAAAGCAAGTTCCTATAGCTGTATTTAAAAATAAGCATAGGCTGTGGAACAATTTCAGTTTTATTATTGTTATTATTATTTTTAAAATAATTTCAGTTTTACAGAAAAGCTATAGACTTCATCCAGGAGTAGTAGCACATGCCTATAGTCCCAGCACTTGAGAGGCTAAGGCAGAAGGATCACCGTGAGTTTGGGGCCAGCCTGGTCTCTGTAGTGGGTTTAAGGCAAGCCTGAACTGCACAGTAAGACCCTGTCTCAAAAAAGAAAAAAGAGGTACAGGGTGTGGTGGTTCGCACCTACAATCCCAGCACTCAGGAGACTGAGGCAGGAGGATCGTTGCAAGTACGAGACCAGCCTGGGCTACAAAGTGAGCTCAAGGCCTGCCTGAACTGCATAGCAAGACCCTGTCTCAAAAAGACAAAAACAAAGAAAAAAGAAAAAAGTAACAGACCCCCACTCTCACTCCAAGAATTCCATCAAGGCTCTCATCATTCTAGATATCCAGCCACATCCATGCCCTACACTACGTGACCTGTACTCTAGCCTAGCTGTCTCCCATTTCCCAGGAGAATCCTAGGCGCCCTCAGCCAGTCTCTTTAAACCAACATGTGACCCAAAGCTCTGCAAAACTCCAGTTAGCACCACAAAGCTGAAGAGCAGGTTGGCACTCAGCCCCTGTTCTGGTGCCTGCTTGGCCACCTTTACATCAGCATCAATATTACTTTGATTTCTCTCAAAAAATTCCTGAGATTTCTGGATATACCTGTTTGTGTCCTGAGTAATTATAGCACACACACCATCTGGGAAGCTGGCTCAGGGCCCCACAAAGCTCAGTGATGGTCACAGCCACCCAAGCAGCTCCTAGAACTCTCTCAACCATTAACTGGTCCATGGTGCTGCTGGGTCTGCAGATCACTACCAGTAGGATATAGGGATTGGGCCTGGGGTCCTGTCTTATACATCACCCAGCCTGGCTCACAGAGCTCTCTGGGAGGGGGGGGTATATGGAAAGACCACATGGCACCTAAGGGTCTCCCATGGCCAGGCCCCTGCTTAGGCCAGGCTACCTGTCTGTTGCTGGAGGGGCGGGAGGCTGTCCCCCTCCCAGTCATATGGCAGCAGTATGGCATGGTGAGGGGTCAGAAGGTGCCCCAACTCTCCAGCACTACCTGATGATATACTATGTGTCTGAAGCTGAGACTCGGGGTTAGTGTGTGGTTCACCACATGGGTTTTAGGGCAGAGGACAGCATCCCTGTGAGTCCATCTGGTAGGAAAAGTTGCTTCTCTATGCAGGTGATCGAGACCATAAGCCTTGATGACGTCACAAGGACCACCTGGCCCCCATACCCTCGTACACTCACCTGTGAACACAGCAGGGGGCTCTGAACCACCAGGCTTCGTCACAAAGTAACAAATGTGTCCTGAAGTGTGGCATGGTGTTGACAGGCATTTGATGTTGAGAGACCCCACCTGAAGTGAAATGAAAGAGAGGTTGACATGAACCCTGACAACTGGGGGCCTTTCTCTGGACTCACAAACAAGTGGCACTGCTGGTCCCATACAAATGTTCCCTATCCAGAGTGTTTAGTCTTCCCAATTTTGCAGATGCCTCTAGAAATACCCAGGACGAGGAGGAGCTCTGGGTTGGGTAAAGGTGGCTATGGGACTTCCTCCTTGGGTGCAGCCCCAGATACAGACACCACTCCAGAAGGGCAGAGCCAAGGGATCTTCTTTGGTTCACTGTTCAAAACAGCCAAATCTAAACCAGGCATTTTGCCTGGGAAGTCATCGCTCTCTCCCTGTGTGCGTGCATGCGCATGTGTGTGTGTGTGTGATCGCCACTCTGTAATTTCTCACTTTAGAAATCTACAGAGGTCAGGTGTTTATCTCAGTGGTGCAGTGCCTGCCTGGCAAGTGTGAGTTCCTAAGTTTAACTCCTGGTACCCCAAAATAAAATAAAACTTTAAAAATAAAATGAAAAAGAGTCCAAACCTATGACAGAGCAGATACTGCAAGAGAGACACTCTGGTAGTTCTCACTGGGATGCCAAAATTGTACACACTTTCTATACAAACACAGGGGCATGTCCTCATCCTGACAAATGTTACCAAATAATCTTGCTACATCTCTTATATGTACATCTCAGCATAATCCCACCACTACTGCATCCAGAAAATAAACATCACTCCACAATTCCTTTTTAAATTTCCTATTTCAGCTAGGCATGGTTGAACAGCTTGTATCCCACCACCCTGAGAGGCTGAGGCAGGAGTTTGAGGCTAGCCTGGGCAACTTAGCATTCTGTCTCAAAATAAAAAAAAATTTTAAAGGGCTAGACACGTACCTCAGTGTAAGGGCCCTGGGCTCTATACCCAGTACTGAGGGAAAAAAATTTTCCCACTCCACTCAGAGCAAGTATCATGGCCTCCCCACACCCAGGCACATTTTGCACACAGATTTTCTTGCTATGAACTAGACAGAAAAAACTGTCAAGCTGCCATTCAGGCAGGCACAGGGAACACCTGTGCTGGACACTGAAGTGAAGGGCTCTCACTGTGCCCCCTTCCCAAACTGTGCCCTGGGCCTAGCGTCCAGGCAGGGCCACCCTGAATCCTTTCTGTTGGCTCACTCCCTACCTGCAGTGTAGACAGGTGTGTGACTTTGTCAGTCAAGGCCCCAATTCGGTCATCGCCACCATACACCTTTAGCCCTGGCTCCAGCTTGACCAGCTTCTCATTCCCACCAGCATGGTCCCTGGAAGTCAAACAGGAGACATGGGGTAACCCACTGGATGAAGAGGGTCTGCTCACTTGCCTACCATGTTCCTCACGAATAGAAACACATCTTCTAATACAGGAAAGGCTTCCTATCTGTCATTTAGCTCAAGTGAAAACAATAGTTTTGATGCCCAGTTTTAAGTGAGGCACTGCCATACTGTGCTATTGCTGTTTTCTGGAGCAGAGGAAGCAAATTACCCTTAGATCATCCAGACTTCTGGGAATCACCTGGAGCCCTTTGAATGGCATTCCTCTTTCAGCCTGGCCAGGCTGAGTGTCCCCACTCTTCCAAGCTCCATTTCACAGAATCAGCTCAGGCTTTTCCAGTACTAAGGAACATTGCTTCCTGTCAGTATAGCACTCAGTGTGCCCATATTGATTCTTGTATGTATGAAACTACACCCCAGGAGGAGTCCAGAGAATAAACAAGACACCTGTCTCTACTCATCAGGGCCCCAGGGAGGCAAGATGAGCTTGATGCCCTATCCTCTGCCCCAAGGAAGAGGGTTATCACACATAGGCCAGGGAGGCACCATCACCCTGCTTGCATTCATCACTGATTTTGTTGTTGTTGTTGCTTTTTTGTTAGTATTTTGTCTTTTTGCTTTGTTTTGACATCACTGATCTTTAAAACACTATTACAGGGCTGGAGATTTAGCTCAGCAGTTCAAGGGCTTGCCTGCTAAGTGGGAGGTCGAGAGTTCAGTCCCAGGTACACACATACACACAAACACTATCATCCAAACAAAAAATAACACAACACACTATGGGAAACATAGGCTCAACGCAGGAACTCAGTTCAGGACTTGGTTTCTTAAAAACATCAGATACTACTAGAAAAAACAAACAAACAAAACTAAACTCTCACCAAAGTATCAGGAAAGAGGCACTTGGACTAGGGCTACTTAGCATGGAGACAGAATCCAAGAGAAGTGTGAAAAATTGCCATCAGGAGCCCCAGAGCCAGGCTACCACAGCAGGTGGGCCTTAGCAGATTTTCCAAAAGACAGAATAGCTATATTAAGTAACCAACAAGGAAGTTATTGGTGCTGTATTCCTAGCGTTGGGAGGACATGGCTCAGAACCTCAGAGGCCTGGCCACAAGGCCCAACCAACACCAAAGACCATCTGAGCTACATCATCTGTGCTTCACTTTTGTCCACAAAAGCACTGGCAGCTCAAGCTCTGTGCTGGGCCATCTAGGGTAAACAGTCAAAGGCTGCCCTCACTGGTCATTTGAGAAAGACTATTAAGAGCCAGATAATCATTGCTACCTTTGACGAGCCTCAAAAGTTTCAAAAAGCCAAAAGGAGGGCTTTGGAAAGACAATTCCTTACAAAACACAGGAGCTTTTTTCTCATCCTTCAGTTTTCAAATATTTTTTCTCTTCCTTTAGTTTCGAAAAACTTTTTTAAAACATGGGGAAAAAAACGCTTGAAAGATAGCTGCTTATTTAAAAAGAAAAAACCAAAAGCTGATGTTTAGGATTCTTTTGCCCAACATGGAGGCTAATGTACCATTTCACAAGCCCAGGGGATGTGAGAGGCAACTGTGGGGGGGGAGGGGAGGTCCCTCTTGTGGCTCAAAGAAGTCAGGCTCCAAGGGACAGCAGGGGAAGCAGACTGAAGACACTGCCCTGCCCTTTTCTCTCCTTGCAGGCTGCATGTATCTCTCCAAGTAGTGGCTACATTAGCAGACCCCATACTTATGGCCCTGGGACCAGCACCTCAGAAACCCATAAGCCTATGGGGAAGGAAGAAGGGGCCCTGGTGCTCAGAATCTTCCCAGGGGCCTCCCTCACCCACACTACAAGCCAGCCCCTTGCCCACACAGGTGAAAGACAGACCCTTGCTTATCCCTGTGATCCTCCAGAGCCAGAGGCCAGCCTGGGACCCCACACTTACCAGTGGTGGTGGGTGGTGAGCACAGTGGTTAGCTTCACGCCATGTTTCTTCACTGTTTCTACAACCTGTGGCCACAGGGGAAGTCAGATAAAGGTCTGTCACACTCCTGGCCCTTAACTTGCCCTTGATACTTGGCCCCACTGTGGGACAGAAGAGAGAAGATAGCCTTTTTCCCTCTTGTTCAACTTGGTGATTCTCAGTTCCACTGGACCCTCTCTATGCCCACTCAGCTCTGAGGTCAGCACTGAAGCAAAAGCGTGTAGGAAAGCTAAGTCTTAAGGGCTCATAAGAGTCCAAAGACCAGTATTATGGGGCCTGTGATCTCCTCTACTCCCTTAACAGAATGGCTGGAAAGTAGCAGAAGGACACTGGTTTGTTTTCCAAAAACTAAATAAACTTGTCTCCACTTAGGTTTGACAGAGCTGCAAAGACAATACAAATGTTATCTATGGAGAAGAAGACATGGTGCTAGGTGACAAAGCACGGGGGTCCAGGCAAAACCTCACACCTTCTGGGGCTGCACAGGGTCCACAATGGCGGCTTCCTGGGTATCCTCATCGATGAGCAGGTACATGTAGTTGTCAGTAAGGGCAGGTAGTAGTTCAATCTTCATGGCGCCTTGCTCCACAGTCACACTTTTCCTTAAATCTGTGTGATGCAGGAGGATTCCCAGCAGAGGTGGACTTGTGGATCCAGGACCTGTGGACACAGGACACAGCTCCAAGTCAGTCACCAGAAATGAAAATTCAAAGGAGCCACACTCCTTCCAGCACCAAGCCTGATTTTTCTAAATTCCTCTGACAGAGAATGTCTCAGTTTCACTACATCCATAAAGAAAGGTATAGAAAATGACTCATGGTCCCATTTGTGGAAACCAGCTGTCTCAGATTTAAATTTTTATCTCTCAAAGGTCCTGAAAGGACAGAACTCCCAGCTTCAGCATGATGCACACCACTGCTGAGGGGACTGTTGTGGTCCTGGGAGGTGACAAAGCTGGATTGTTTACCCCCCAGCACAGTAAGTTGCCTCTGTTTTCTCCTGTAGTTAGAGGCTAAGAGACCTGAGTCCTATATGATTATTCACAGCCCTTCTCGCCCTCCAGTTACAGGAGAAAACAGTATTTCCTCCTGTAAATGGGAGACACTTGATATGGGTCAAACACAGAGGTTCTAAGTTGGCCACCACTGCTTACTTTTCTACAGTGGAGGGTACAAGATCACCACCCAGGTGAGTGAAAGGCCTCTGTCTTTGTGGCTAGGAGGTAGGGAGAAGTGAGTGGCTAAGGAACAAAAGTATCCAACATCCAGTGGGCACATGCCAAAATAGTCTACCAATGAAACTCCTAGTCAGTCTAAAAATTCATGGAGCCCCCCAACAACACAAGTCTGAGCTGTAAAGGGGAAAAAAAACCCAAGGTGGTGATGAACACCTGTAATCCTAGAACTGTAGGAGGCTGAGGTAGAAGTATCACAAGTAACTTAGGAAGACTCTGTCTCAAATTTTTTAAAAAGGTCTGGGGATATAGCTCAGTAAGAAGGCCCAGGGTTCAATCACACAAGGTGGCAAGATAGTGGTAGATGCCAGGCTGAGGGTGTTTCCCAAAAGGGATCCAGAAAGTGATCCCTTGACCCTCTGGAACATAACGCCTCCAGGACCTGTCTAAATGTGGGATCAATACCCACATGGCTAGGAAAACAGCCCAAATTGTGTTTGTGCTTTCTTTTGTGAGTGAGTGTGTGTGTGTGTGTTGCTGAGGATTGAACTCAAGTTCTTATGGGTGCTGGGCAAGTACTCTACCACTAAGCCATGTCACCATCCTACCCCAATTCTTCTTGACAAACTAGCTGAACATTTTCTAGGTCCTTCTCAAAGACAGTATAATAAACATTTCTGTATGATCAGGTTCCTGTGATAGTTTACCACTCCTAAACCCCAGAAGTATCCAGCCTATAGAAGACCGAGGGTGAAAGTAAGACTCAATGAGTGTGAAAATGCCTTTCTTAACAAGGTGCTCTGTGGTGTTTTCTAGTAGGACATTACAGCGCCCAGGTAGAGGAAAAGATTTATAACCCATGCTGCAACCTGGAGAAGATGCCTTTATTTCTAAGGAAGGAATTGATCTCATACCCCAGAAACCTTATTCCTTTTCCACACACAACCTACCTGAGCACTCCTGGAAAACCCAGCTCACTGGTTTGGTACCTGGGTATTTCGCATAAGCAGAAATCACAGACCTGTAGCCTGCAGTAGGCCAAGCCCTTAGACATGTTTTGCTTAGCCCACAATACACTTTAAAAATCAAGACGTTTCATGGCCCTACCTCTCAAGGCAGACTATGGCACCAAACACAGCCGAGGGCTCGCTGGAATGGAAGCCAGGCCTGCATGGACTCTGCCTGGAGAGAGATGGAAAAGCTCTCGGCCGCCACACCGGGAACTGTCTCTAATGCAAAGGCCTGTAATTCTGGGGACCTCAACAAGCCGGCTTTTTCCTTAGCAAGAGAGTGTCACACACTCCAGAACCGTGATTGTTTTCTGCGAAAGTCGAAAAAGGGCCGGGCTAAGGCTTTCCAGCTCTGGGGAGCGGTGACTCGATGTCACTCCAAAGGTTGCGAGCCACAAGAGAAGAGATCAGGTGCCCGCCCGCCTGCCGACCTCTTTGCAGCCCCGCTCCTTGTCCGGTCGGAAGGTGATCGGCTCCTACGCCCGGAGACAGCGTGGGCGCGCCCAACCGACGTCCGGGAGTGCCCTGGCACACCTACCCAGGCCGCGGCTCGCACAGGCAGCTCCCAGCGCGGCGAGGCTCCGAAGGGACAGTGGCCCACGGCCGAACACCATGACCCGCAGGGCGGCACTGTCAGGCGCCCGGTCGCGACGGGGGCGTCGGTGGCCACAACCTATCAGTGCCCGCCTAGACCACCCCCTATCAACCAGTGCCCGCCCAGCACCGCCCCCAGTCAGTCGGCGCCCGCCCATCACCACCTCCAGCCAACCAGCGCTCCAGTGCCCTCTCGCCCCGCCCAGAGCCAGCCCCAGCCAGTCACCTTGTTCGGATCCGACTAATTCCTTTCTATGTCGGGGGATAGCAGGCCGCGGCCCAAGCGTGGGACAGTTGGGCAGAGTTGAGGGAGAGGTGCTCTCGAACCTCAGTATCTCTCCGGGCCAGTAGTGGCGTTCTGAGGCAGCCAGCGAATACCTGGGAATCTCGCAAGGTAAAGCGAGCAATAAGCTGACGAGACAGCAGTCCGAGGTGGCACGTCCCCTACGGCTTCCCGTAGGCGCACGAGTTCGCGAGCAGAGCACGTGATCTAGGATTGCTCCATGGCAGGCCCTAGGCCGTGGACCCTCTTCTGGGAATGGGGTAAGAACATCATCTGCGTGGGGAGGAACTATGCAGACCACGTCCGTGAGATGGGCAGCACGGTACTCCGCGAGCCGGTTCTCTTCCTGAAGCCATCCACCGCGTATGCACCTGAGGGCTCGCCTGTGCTGATTCCCTCCTACTGCCGCGTTCTGCACCATGAGCTGGAGCTCGGCGTGCTTATGGGCAGGCGCGCCCGCGCTGTCCCCGAGGCCGCCGCCATGGACTACGTTGCCGGGTATGCCCTCTGTCTGGACATGACCGCCAGGGACGTGCAGGACGAATGCAAGAAGAAAGGGCTGCCCTGGACCCTGGCCAAAAGCTTCACCTCCTCCTGCCCGGTCAGTGCTTTTGTGCCCAAAGAGAAAATCCCTGACCCTCACGCCTTGAGACTGTGGCTCAAGGTCAATAGTGAACTCAGGCAGGAGGGTGAAACATCCTCTATGATCTTTACCATCCCCTACATCATCAGCTATGTTTCTAAGATAATAACCTTGGAAGAAGGAGACCTTATCTTGACGGGGTCGCCAAAGGGAGTTGGACCAGTTAAAGAAAATGATGAGTTGGAGGCTGGCATAGATGGGGTGGTCACTATGAAGTTTAAGGTGAAAAAGTGGGAATATTGAGTCTTTATAAGGTGCCCTAACTTCTCAGGTGTCAAGAGAGAAGAGTCCAAGACTTAGAAGCACGCAAACATTGTTAAATATGACAATCTTTTAGTAGAAACCCTTTGTACAAAATGATTGATTGACTCCTTAGCCGAAATCACAGAAAATAGACCCTTCTAGAAAAACACAATCTGGAAAAGCTGGGACAGAAGCAGGAACAACTAAAACAAAGCATTTGTGATGCATCCTAGGAAGAGTATATGTAAAACCAGGCCTTCATAAGTCTTAATTTTTTTTTTTTCTAAAACTGAACTGAGTAAGACTTCAATGTATCACTCTGGAATCTGTTCAAGACAAATCTGCAAAGGCAACTAAGTGTTATGTTCCGTTCATTGTTTTCCAAACTTCCTTGGAATTGATAGTCATCAAGAAGTCTTTATAAAAATAAAAAATTCCAAATTACTGGCTCACCTTGGACCCATTGAAAACTGTTTACAGAGGATCCCAGGTGATTTTTAACCAGGGAAATAATGGAAAACACTACTCTATATAATCAGTGAGTTTTATTTGTTAAATGAACAATTGTTTGAAGACCTCTCCTGATTATTTAGATTATCCTGCCCTATATATTGAATTTGGGAAAGGATTTGGAATATATTTTTTTCCAAATAAATAATTTTCTTTTGTGTGTCTTAAAAGTATGCAGTACTTTCTTTTCCCTAGGGTTGATACTTAACTTCATGTGGATTGTCAGACCTTGGTCTTTGACCTTTGGGTTCCTGAGCTTTGTGCTCTTCAATAGGAATTCACCACCTCCTTCACCTCCACCTCCCTACTGGAGAGGGAGGTTCTAGCAAGTTGAATGGGCTGGAAGTGCTGCTTTTGCTCTTGTTTGCACCCTTCTTCAGAGGGGTGCAGTATGCCCAGCATGGCTATCATAGGGCCCAGTGGAGTCCTGTAGGCTTAGGCTGGATCTACGTGTAGTCAGTGTATACAGAAAACATCTAATCCTTTGCAGAAAGCCTAGGACATCAGCCTTAATAATAACCTATTGATCACTCTGCTGCTAGGCATTGTGCCTAGCATAGTTTTTTGTATTTCCATATATTATGTGACCCTCAACAAAACTATAAGATAGTATCTCCCATATTACATAGCTGAAGACAGTCAGTCTAGGAAGCCTGGCCAGGGTCAGTCACTGAGACAGAGCTAAGATGTAGACTGGCTGTCTTAAGTTTTTTTTAATCAGTACCGGGGATCAAACTCACGACTCCCTGCTTGCAGGCAGGTGCTTATGCCACTGAGCTAAATCCCCAGCTCTCATGCAAGTTGTATCTTGTAAATAGATATGTAAGATGATTTGACTGTTTAGGTGTTGAATAATCCCATGTTTAAGTTTTAACTTATGTAAGGAAGTCTTATAAGTAGGTTTGTGTGTTTTATCTTTTAATGAATTTTTAAAAGACAATATCTCACTGTGTAGCTCAGCCTGGCCTCAAACTTGTAGGTATCCTGCCTCAACCTCCTGAGTTTTGGGATTACAGGCATGCTCCACCACACTTAGCCTTTTAATGATTTTTTTCTTGGCAAGACATTTATTACAGATGAGTCAGGAAATACAAATAAGCATAAAGGACAAAAACCTAAAATTCCACTTACTTAGTCAAAGTTAAGCATTTATATATTATTCCAAGTCTGTGGATGTAATTTTTTAGATAGAATTTGCTCATATCATACAATTTTCTAACTTGCTTTTTACACTGAATATTGTGACTTTTTCATACCTGTCAACACATTCCTGCAGTGTTGTTTTTCATTGATTATGTAAGATCCTGAGTTCAGTCCAGCTTTGGACATTGGAATTGTCTAGTTATTTCCAGTAGAATCAGCATATTTATTCTTTTGGCTAGTTTCCCGTAAGTGGAAAAGTTGGATCACACTGAAAGTATACTGTTAATCTAGCTAACCAGGTACAAAGTTCAAATGAGATCTGTCCAAACTGATTAAATTTAATTAAGCAAGCTGAAGGTACAAGGTAAGAGCAGTGCTCATAGGTAGTCCCAGGAGAAGGCATATGTCAGCCCCCAGAATGTACAGTGTCAAGATTCACCAGGTGGTAGAGCAAGCTTTGTCAGAAACATTTGATACCAGCATTGGAAGTATAGCACACAAAGTCCTTGAATACAAAACTCAAGCCAACTGGCACAATTCCCAAGGTTGTTAAAGTAATCCTAGTTCCCAGAAGATGTATTTTTTCTCCAGTTTACTTTGAATAAATTGAAACTTATAGAAAAGTTGAGAGATTAATACAATGAAGCCCAAATACTTTTCACTAGATTCAACAATTGCCATTTGCTGATCACACTTAATAACTTCATAATATATTAGTTGCTTGTGAGTTTTGTGTGTGTGTGTGTGTGTGTATGTGTTGGGCATTTATCTTAAAATGACCCCCACCACCACCACCACCAAAAAACTGACCAGCCACATAGTGGCATGTGTCCCTAATTCCAGAACTCTTTGAGTCTGAGAAAGATCATAAGGTCAGACCCAGCCTAGGCAACTTAGTGAGACCTTGTCTCAAAATAAAAGATCAAGGTGAGGGTGGGGTTATGGTGGCATATAACTATAATCCTAGCACTTGGGAGGCTGAGGTGGAAGGATTGCTATGAGTTAGAGGCCAGCCTGGGCTCCACAGTGAGTTCAAGGCCAGCATGAACTACATAACAAGACTGTCTCAAAAAAACAAACAAAAAGCTGGGGCTGTAGCCTGGTGCAAAGGCCTTGAGTTTACTCCACAGTACCACAATACATACATACATACATACATACATACAACAAACATTATTTGTCTACTCAGTGTATTATGAACATCTCTTCAGGTCAATTAATATGGGTGCACATATATTTTTTAATGGCTGTATCTTAGATATGTGCCCCAGAAGCAGAGCCTAAGATAGCAACTTTTGTTGAAGGAGCGCTCGCAGAATAAGGGTAGTGAAGAAGACAAAAATGGCAAGGAGCTAAGAAAGAAGAGGAGTCAATGTGAGAATGGTGTTTGGCCTTCTGGGGATCCCCCAGAGAGCACTAGAACAGTATCCCCACACTGTACTTCCCATCATCTACACAAGCAACACTTACACCCTTGCAGAAGCTGGGGGAATCCATGTGAACCTCAGGGGTGCCTGAGTGGAACCCAGCATCTCCCACAGGGTGTGCAGTTTCCAAATGCTTCATTCTTAGTAATAAGGAGGCAATAATCAGCCAATGTAACAGGATTAGGCATTTGTTCCTTTCCTTAGGAAGTCAGTGGAGTGAGATTGATCAACTGCTTTGTTCTTTAAATTTTTGATACATTTTGCCAAATTTCTGAACAAAAAAGAATATACATTACCATTACCAAATTTGTATGTAAGTATGTTTAATAATGCTCCTCCAGTGTAATAAGGTACATCACTTATTACATATAAACTAGTTGGTAGAGGCTGGAGGTAGGAGGATCACCATGAGTTTTTCTATCCTAGAAACCATAGGGATGGGCTTCCAGCACATTACAAGTCAATAAATATTTAGTGAATTAAAAAAAAATAATGCCTCCCCAGCCTAGCCATAAGCTGGATACCAAGGCTAGGGTCATTTTAATTTGCATCTCTTTAGTAATGAGATTGACATTAGTCTGTTTCTGTTTTGTTTCTTTTGAGACAGGGTCTCACTATGCAGTTCAGGCTGGCCTTAAACTCACTATGTAGCCAAGACTGCCTGAAACTCACAGTGACTCTCCTGCTTCAGCACTTGGAAGAGTGCTGGAATTACAGGTGTGGGACACCACACCTGGCTAAGAAAAGTAATTATGATACACTAGAAAAAATTCAAACTACAGAATTCTGACAAAAAAATTACCAAACATGGCCAACAAAAGGGCTAAGCTTCAACATTTATAATAACTGATATTTATAGAAGGAAAAAGCTGGGAATAAAGCTTTTGTAAATAAGGAAGAGAAGGAGGATTAAAGGGAGGAGAGGAGATTGGGGAAAAAAGAATCAAGATATATATAGGTACAAATTCCCTATGATGAATGTAATCATTATGTATATCAAGAGAGTATCAATAAAATTAATTTTTTAAAAGCCCAATGTTTTTTGATTATGGACTAAGTGTATTAGGCTAACTAAGCTCGTTAGAGAAAATAACCTGGATTTTAACAATTGCCATGAGAATTTGATTTTGCTATGAATCCCAAATGGAGACAATCAGGGCTGAAGGAGAGCCTGGGAATAGCAGATGAACCTGGCAACTCAGAAACCTCTAGTTCTAACTTTAGCTGGGCCTTCATATCCCATCTGTGAAGTGAGAAAAAAATACTTGTAACAAAAGTGCTTATCATAATGCCACATAAAAATACTCACCACTCTTAGCTATTAATACGATTGTAGCAATTTAACATCTCAAAACTTATCCCAAAGACAAAATTTAGCTTTTTATAATTAGCCAAAGAAGAAAAAGAAGAAGAGGAAGATAAAGAGGAAGAAGAGGAAGAGGAGGAAGAGGAAGAGAAAGAAGAGGACGACGAGGAAGCAGCAGCAGCAGCAGCGGCGGCAGCGGCAGCAACAGCATGGTAGTACACACCTATAATCCCAGTACTTCAGAGGCTGAAGTAGGAGGATCACCATGAGTTTGAGACCAGGCAGGTCTACATAATGAGGTCAAGGACAGCTTCAACTACATAATAAGACCCTGTCTTAAAAAAACAAAAACAAGTACACTTATTAAATGCCCAAGGGTATTACATTATATTCACTATTTTATATTCATATAATGAAATGATGTGTAGTCACTAAATATGTAAAATTTTAATGATATTGAAAAACGCTATGTGTAAAATATTATAATGTTACCTATTTGTAAGTTATGTTTCTAATTTGTGAATTATGTTTCAAAGTATTTGAACCGAGGATCAAACTCAGGACCTCATGCTTGCCAAGCAATCACTGTAGTGCAGAGCTGTGTCCCCAGTCCCAAATTCTTGTCTAGCCATGCTACTCATGCTGGGCAAATTCCTGGGCTCAAGCAACCCTTCTGCCTTAGTCGCCCAAGTAGCTGTGACTACAGGTGCATGCCACTGCACCCCAGATCACAGTACCATTACTCATATTAGCCAGAAAGCCTGGAAAAAACCCTCGATGTTATCTGGAAATGAGTAAATAAAATGTGATCCATCCATTTAAAGCACTGACACCTACAAGATGGATGAATCTCAAAAACATTATGTTACTGAAAGAAGCCAGTTACAAAAGGGCAAATATTGTCCTTAGATACCTGAAATAATTCAGTTTATAGAGACAGAAAAGTATATTAGACACTACCTGAGGCTGAGAGGAAGGGAAAATAGGGAATTATTGTGTAATGGGTACAGAGTTTCAGTATGCAATGAAGCAAAAGTTTGAAAACAGTAGTGGTAGATGTGAGTAATGTTATAGAATTAGATACTTTACAATAATTAGAATAGTAGTTTTGTGTTATGTATATTTTATAATAAATGTATTACCTATCAACCTATCAGTTTTAAAATGTGGGGTGAGATACTATGGATTTTCTTTTTTTGCTATGATTTTCTCATTTTTCTTTTCTTTTTTTTTAATTTTGAGGCAGAGTCTTTAAATTACCCAGGCTTGCCTGGGATTGTTCTGCCTCAGTTTC